CAACATGACAATTTAGTGCATGTGTTTTCATTGATCTAGGGAAAAAATATTAATTATGTTATAGTTACAGTTTCAACATGAACATTGTTGTGCATGAATGTGCTTTCATTGATCTATTTAGAAAAGTTACATACAAATGTGACTAACAAAATGATATGTCGTAACAACTACAACATTGTATTTGTAAATTACTTTGCATTCCAGTTTTTAAATGAACATTTAATGAATGTCCTTTCACTCATCTATGTAAGAATAGTTATATACTATACAGTCATTTCGTTTCAGTTTTATTAACAAATAGTTTGTGTTTTTAACAGATATAATTCAAAACAATATTGATACATTTCTCTTTCCATTACAATTTCAAATAAATCATTGTTCCATTACATCAAATGACCTTGACTCAATCAATATGTCCATTTTATAATCAACAGTGTTTTTATTTACAACGTGAAAAAACAACCATTTTGTCAAACCCAACACAAAATAGAACTGGTGTATAATCAAACTGGTGTTACTGTTTCACAAGGTCAGTAAAACCACTCTTAGGTCCCTTTGTCTCGTTTATGGGAAAACAATCACCCACACTATGCAACCCTTTATTGCGCTGCAAATATAAATGCCCAAAATGGAAAAAGAACACAACGCCACTGTTTTACAATGAAATCGTTAACCTCAGTGAAACAAATCATGCATAGCCCTCGCACGCACTTCCTAACCTGTGGTTATTACTAGTTTAAAAATTAATTTGATGCGTTTATAATCTGCTACATATTTAAATATCTTCTGACCATTTCAAATGAGCAATAACAACAAAAATTTCCGTAAAACACATTTGAAAAATCCCACGATTTGTTGAAAAAGGGAAAGTATCACGAAGCCAATCAGATCGTATATATTCATATTGGGACGGTGCATGATTATCAAAACGGATTTAACGATAAGTATCTAATATATTTTCCATTCTTTATTTTTTCCGAATGTTTAGATGTTATTTCAAAAAGCGGCGAACGCCCACAGGTTTTTGAAATGTTAAAATTGGTGTTTTCATTTTACGCGCATTTGTTCTACTTCGGAGCCACTTTTTCCTTTGCAGCAAAAGGGATAGGCAAAAATATAGGCGTCGTGAACAAGCTTATAGCGAATCGAAACTTCGGCGGATACCCCGAGTGTGTGATGGAAACGTGACTAGTAATCGTGCAGTGTAACTGCAGCAAAATTTAGTTCATCTTGTCACCCCACAACATGAATTTAGACCATTCCTTGAGATCTGAATTGTAGGTTGGCTCCTCCAAACGATTTAATCATTTGTAGATCTAGCACACTTAACGTTCAGTGACAAACACTGTCAATAATTTAATTTCTGCGTTAGGGAAGTTTATCAAAAGTTTATTACTAAAATTTTAGTTCATGTTCATTAGGGAAAGAACATGTTTCAGCCACCTCGCATTTCTCTGTTGGTTGCTCCAGAACTGAAATAAATACGGTTATTCATGGCGTGGCATTGACTGACATTGCTATGGCAACAATATACATGCCATTCTGGATAACGAGGCTGTCTGCGGGAACTTGGATCTTCAGCTAAAAGTGGTGCAACGTGACAGGATCAATTATTTTGTCCATTTTGGCCTTTACCTCGCTATTAACATCAAAGTCGTGAAACCCACCCTGTACAGAAAAGTACTTCCAAGTAAAAAGGCAGCTAAGCTTTATTGTGCTTTCGTTTGGCTGGTTTCCATTCTTCTCGCCATACTTTTCCTTAGGGGATGGGTGGGGATGCAATAAATATACATTGAACTTCGTGTCGTGCAATTTTGATCTGAGATCATGTGATTTGAAATCGAACTCGTGCTGCGCACCCGCTTGATTTTGAAATCACTTATATGACTTCAGACCTTCTTGAGAGAAGTTTAAAAAGTTTGAAGCAAGTTCTAGAGGGAAAAACCCGACAACTCCGGAGAGGAGGCAAAGGCAAGCGGCCGAACTGGTTAGTCATGACACGAAATAAAAACGATCAATAAGGAAAACAGAGTCATGTGTTTGCTTGTATATTTATAAACTAGTAATCTCGTCCAATTTAGGATAAATCACCACTCGTAATTTTTCAGACAAAAACTCACACTCGCACCACGGACTCGTGCAATTTGGTTAACCTTTAAAACACTAATTTATCCCAAATTGTACTCGAAATCATGTGATTACCATACAAATTGCACTCCACTCAGTTTAATTACCATTTTTTATTCAAATATTTATACAGCGTACGGAAACCAAAGTTTTAGAAATTAACTTGCCAAGTCGACTTTTATTTTCTACCGTATTTAACTAGTTTTAAGAATTTCGATGTAATTTAGCATGTTAGAGCCCTACCGTCTAAGAGGGCATAAGTACTTCGAGCTTTTATTGATCTGCATTTGACGTCTCCTTGGTTACATTGAAAGTAGTAAAATTTTGCACCTCAGTAGGAAGATTTTTGAGGCTAAAAAAATTGGAAAAACTGCCCAATACATAAGTTTTCCAAAATCATAGGTAGGTATAGTGGTGTTCCACGCGCATTATGCATCCTCTTTACTCTCTACATCATGTAATTACAGGACATTAGTTAAAAAACTTTTCAGCGAACCGAATCGGGAAAAGAATTTTTAAGTCACACATTGTTGGTATAAGAAAATGTGATCAGCATCGGACCTTAAATTTTCTGTTTTGTCAAAAAGAAAAAACCCGAATTTTTCCAGGATCAGCCCACACCAATGAGAGGATGCCAAAAAAGCTGCAAATGCCGATGCCTTTGCATTTTTCTTACCACTATAAATTTCACGTCTCTTGACTCTCTAAGAGAAAAGAGCAATGCTAATTGTTACTCTATTAGGACTGACGCAGCAGTTATTAAAAGTTTCTATTCTGTAGCTGAATTATAAATAAGTCAGAAACATTTGAGCTTTCCAATACTGGTTATGATAATTGGTAATATTTTTTCTACTAGTACTTTTAGTTACACATCATGAGTTTTCCCATTTTTCTCACTTCACTACAATCAATTCAAATTTTCATCTATATTTGATTTTACTTAATAAATATTGGACGTCCTACACTACAAAAAGATTATAATGTTCAAGTGATCTTTGAAATACAATCATTGTGTGTTTTAGATGAGTCCATAACACCTCAGTTTTCCAAGCGTGTGATTTCCTTTTTCGTTCCTACCTCCGACAACACCGGTATCTCCAAACCTCAATTGCGTCACGGGAAGTTTGGATTTGTCTGTGATCAAACCGCTGTCCTCCCGCCACTTCCAATCGTTCGTATCGCAGTTGCAGCCGAAGTTTATGTTTGCGCATGTGTTGTTCAATCCGCATGCACATTTGAATGGAACAGAGTCGGCTCCACCCCAGTAGGTCATATTTTCTCCGTCACGTGACACCCACCAGCCACGCATTTCCCCATTGTAAAGGAGTACTGAATGATAGCAGCCGTACTTAATAAACTGCTCACAATGAGAAGATGAAGCTGTCAGGATTGCTAGCTGGAGGAGACTGGTGTCATGGTAAGTGACATCACGAGAATAACTGCCATAGGATTCAAACCCATCCACCAGCGTCATATTTTCACTGTCGTGACTGACAACTGTCACTCCAAAGCCTTCCTTGTCAGTCATGTCACAGTATACTTTGAAAGGTTTTACTCCACCCTCTCCGTCTGGGTCGATGACGTAAGAGCCACTTTTTGCCATCGGATTGCAGTATTTGATATCACTGCAGGTTCTTCCTGAAATATGAAAATAATGGTATGGAAAACAGAATAATTCAATTTCAATGTTACGCGACCGTGCGTCATATTCCCGTTGTGCTCACTTATGACGTCAGCAAGCAAGCGGTTCGCCTAAAACTATTTCCTCCGCGATTGACTGCGAAATTCCCGTTTAGTTTTGCCGCCTGGTGTTCGTTCCATCCCGACTATTTAAGAAGCTCAAATAGAAATTTAAATATGCTTAAGGATAATCAATGGAAAAGAATCAACATCTATGCCGTAAAAGCGACTAAATGAGCTTTCGAGTTGAGGTGAATGGCCTAGCAGCCGGGCGCGTTCTCAAATAGACTAAGTGCCCGACGGTCACCATTTTTCACGGAATTTCTATCGAAAGGTTCTTTCAAACTTCTTATGGAAATTAGATATTTCTTAAGAAATGTCAAACAATTCCAAAAATTAATTTGCTTTTTTAGTGGACGAATTCTCCGAGCTTGTCCATCCTATAATATCGCTCGGATGTCAACACTTAAATTACACGCTTTTTGACCAGACTGCCGGGCATGATCTCGAATAGACTAAATGTCCAGCGGTTAAAAATATTCACCGACATCTGGCATTCTTAAGAAGTTTCTCTGTTGCAGTTCTGTGAAAATTTGTGACTTACGTGCATTTAGTCCATCTGGGACCATGCTCAGCTGCGCTGCATATTTGTTGCTTGTTCGAGTTTGAAACGCGTTGCAGCTGGAGAGGGAAAACTGAATTTTCTGACTTCACGCCAGGTCGGATCATTCTCTTGATCTCAATATTTCCCCACAATTTTTTTTTAACAGAAATTTTTGTTTGACAGCTTTCAGACTTTTCAACACAACGCTACGCAATCATCTAGTAAACAAATTCAGGTATGGTGAATCTAAAGCGCGGGTCGCCTCCACGCAAAAAAATTCTTACCTTTTCAGGTTTTAAACAGCAAACTAAACATTTCCAAGAACAAAGTTTTAGTTTAGCTTTGGCATCTTTTTTTTTGAAAATTCTACAATATACGGGGAAAACGATGAATTTCCAAAATACCTTCTCGTTCGCAGTGAGTTCCGCAAAATCCAGGTTCACAGTCACAGCGATAGGAGTTCAGTACATATTCAGTAACACAGCTCGCACTATTTTTACAAGGAGCGCTTTCGCATGGAGACTAAAAGAAATAATAAAAATCATTTTTCAATTGCAACAAATTGGCCCTTCCTATATATATAATCAACAAATACTCACCCCCGGGCTGTGATGATGGAAAGTATCATTTGCAAGGAAGTGTTTAGTCGCTTTGTACTTGTCAGTAGCCAACAATTCACACAGATGAAGACCTTTGGAGTCAGGGTACGCTGCCAAGTTCAACGAATAACACTTTGTTTCTTCAACACAAAGAAAGATGCATTCTAACTCATTTTCCACCATGATGGATGTAAGTTTTTCAGCCCGTAAATAATGAAAGGCATCTCGCCTGAAATTGCCAAAACAAACGTGGCCTGTTGAACTTCGATAAAGCGAGCTACCTTGCATTGCAATTGTCAGTTTTAACAAAGAAGGAAAAAACAACCAGAATGGAAGTAGCAGCATGATAGTGACCCTTGGACTGTCACCACTTGAAAGTGTTGCTTCAGAATATTGAACACCTTAAATGCGAATCAAAAATATGTCACTATTAGGTGGTTATTGTCTTGTGCTACAAAGTAAATGCTATTACTCATGGAGCAGGTGCAACGCTTGGGTTGAGTAGTTAAATGCTACGGGAATTTTAAAAGATTCATCTCGTGTAGATTTCAAAATAAAATTTCAGCAAAGAAAACTCAATAAAGTTTCAACTGAAAGGAAACAAAGAGGCAATAGACACAAGAATACCAAAGAGCAGCAACTGATAACAGTCTGAACCATATGATATGTCATGAAATGAATACGCAGCTCTGCGGGACGTATTTAATTTCTCTGTTCCGACCGCTAATAAAAGTTTTCTGTTACCTGTCACGTCCAACGTGATGACTCATTATCTGGACTTCATCCAAAATTTTTTGCACGTACCCAAGAATTTTGAACCTTAACGAGATATTAGAAGAGAAGGCTGTTGGGAATACGGGTTTTGTTTTTTGAAATTTCTAGTACGTGCAGCCATATATATTAAAAAGGAAATGTTGTCCTCGTATGACATTATGAACAAAATATTTTTCCTTTTGTTTAATTAATTTTTCCCGTTATTTTTCTTTCCTCATTTTAATTTTAAAAACTTTAGATAGCTTTTAGGAAATGTCAGCATGTTAATTATGCAATGTAGATCCTAACTGAGGTAAGATTTACTTATCCACAAATGAAACTTTCTTATAACAGTAATCAAAAGATTAGAAACCGTTTATATTTTCTTTCAGTAATTTAGCAGTTAAGGACTTTTTTTAACTGAAAACTAGATACATAACGTTATCACTTCTGCCCACGTTCCGTCCATATCCTTTACACCTGTCATTTATAATTAAGACACTACAATGTTTTTTACATAAGTTTTTGGGATCTTTATGATCCTTTATGTATAAGTTTTTCTCCATCACAGTGTTGTCTCAAAGCTAAGTAAAGAAGAGAAAAGAATAACTAAAAAAGAGGTAGAAAAAAAACCGGACAAAATAATAGAACAGACCGAAAATGCACAATTCTCAGGGTGGCCGGAATGATAATATGCCATTATGAATATGATTCGGGTAATTTGAGCATTGGCTCAAATGACAAACTTGTTAGAGGGGTCTTCGTGGGTGGAATTTAAAAATAATTGGAGACATATTTTCTTCGCTGTTCGAACTCAAAATACTGCAATAAAAATTTTGCAAAAGGACGAAAAGTAATTTACGTCGACGGTAATTACTAACCACCATTTGCGTGCAGTCAAGTTTGGCAGAGCAATTTCGCGTGATGCCTGACGCTATTTTTTTAATTTTTATTTGTTTGTTTTTTTTAAATTTTTTTCAAGAGCAAACACATTAGTATTCTTTATATGGTTAAAAATCCACAGGAGGCAATCGCGGAGGCAGGTCGAGCAAACGAATTGCCATCGTCTTGCTTGTTACCGTAATTTCTTCATTTAGCGTGGAATATTTCTATTGTTTTCTCTGTTGATTGAGATATTCTAACTTATTCGAACAAAATCTTGGCAAAAGACTTTTTAGTCCTCCATGTCACGGAGGAAGGATAATGTTGATTTGTTCCGTCGATGTCTCTCCCTCAAAACTCAATTAGGGGACTACAAGTTGATCCAATCCTAAATTCTCCTAATTGAAATCATAAGCATTTTATGACCGACTTTAGGAAGAATTGCTAATGAGATCTTGGGAGTTAAAGGGTTAAAATACAAAAGAATTGCAATAACTTGAAATTACCAACCTTTTACTTGTGATAACTGTTTGCTCTCAATGAGTAATTGAAGTGAGTTTTGACCATTTAAACAGACAGCGTGGTTGGAAAGCCATAATCCATTGATTAGTTTGAGCGAAAAGCATTTAAGGCTTCTTAGTCAATGAGATCAAAAAGAGCAAAGAGAAAAACGTTATTGGCGAATTTATTCCTTTCAGTTTCAACTGACGAAAAAATAAATTAGGATTAAATAATTCCAGTCATTTATACAACAGTGAACCTCTTGCGGATGGGAGAAACTCTTGAAACGAGCCTGCGGCTTATTGTCTTTTATCCTTTATACTGCGGTGTTATACAAGGATATCCAGTCCTGAGAAAGCCGTAAATAATAAGACATTTTTTTTCTCGTGTGTTTGATATCGCCAATGAGCTGCTTTCGGTTGATGAATGAACGGCAAAGCCTACACCATTCTCAATGTGAGGTCGTCTGTCGGAACTTTTTCGGATTAAGACTGATGAAACACTGAAAATCCGTATCGCTTAGAGACAGCGACGTTCAAACTTTCCTAGAAGGGGAAGAAAAAGAAAAATCGGAAACTGCGTATTCAGTGGCTTTGGTAATGACATTTCTCGCGGCTGAGAGCGAAAATCGACAACTGAAAGATTTGCCACAGGCCGATCTTGGCCGTGCACCTGAAAGATTTCTTTTGTCGGTAAGGACCAATTCAATAACTGACAATTTTGTATATTGGAAATTAGGCTCATTGTTTGTTTTTGTAGTGATTTGAAATACGTGTTTAATTTTGCATTTTATTGAAATATTCAAGTTTTGAGCTCTTCTTGGATATTTATTCATTAACTTTTGGATCGGGGTAAGTTACACTTGAATTACCAACTTGAGAGTTTCTGCTTTTTTAAATTCGTGGAGTCTTTGTAATGCGTAACAGGAAGCCTTCACATCTTGCCAGGAATTATTCAGTTCCTTGGCGACAATATCTTAACCATCCTTGCCGTAAGTAATTAAAGGGAGGGGCGGTGATTTTTTCATTCAAGATTTTCTCAGAAAAGTGCTGAGCTTCTATGATATGATTTATTTTTTCTGAAAAGCCCATTTTAATACACCCTTAAATAAGATGTTGTGGGCCTTATTGTTAAAGATAAAACTTCGATTGGTGTGTGCATGAGTATAAGTGGGATGTGGAAAAGATTTGTTATATAACGATTATCGACAGGCCTTTAAAGAAAGTTTCCGGTGTAACACTTTTTACCCGATCCTTTGGGCTGTCTAATACTTCAACTGAACATTCCGCCATCTGTTGTTATTCCCAGTTTCCTACCACACCAGAAGACGAAAGCGCAGTTGTTTCTCAGCTCTCTCAAAATACACCACAGTGGCTTATTAAGAGTAAATGGGACTTGCTCTAAAATATTTTTGCTTTCAGCAAAATCAATATTCAGAATGCAAACATTGCAACTTGAGCCTTTATTATCTATCTTCAAGTTTACAGCAGCTTCCATAGCAATTGGTATGATATTACTATGCTAATATAACTACGCGAATAAATATTTCTCTGGACTGAAATTCAGGCAGTTGATGCACCTGCAAGGACAATGAAAATAAACACTAATCAGAGTTTTTCGGATGTCAGTACTATCTACTAGCTGATGTAAAACTGCAATCCACACTCAGTCATCAGCACTCTCCTGCACGGTAGGCCCCTCCTGTGTATTCGTTCCCATGGGCTCCTTGCTCTTTTCTCCTTTCTTCTCATTACATATCGTGGCGACACTCAAAACAAAAACACTCTTAAACGTGTACCATTTTCTTTTTTTCTCAATCTTATGTTTGGTAAAAGTTTTCTTCATCTCTATCATATTTATTCCCCCACAGGAAACAAAGAACTCACTGAAATTTGACATGGTTTGATACTATTCTGATTTAAAGAATTAACTGACTGTCACCAAGAGGCTACAATTCTTAGACCCAACGATTCGACACTCCTGTCTAGTGCTTTCATCAGGGGTGAAAGCCTGTATCCCTTAGCACTCCGCACAGGAGGCCGAGATCTCAAACTCGATGGAGCACAATGATTTCATTGCATCGATGATTGAAATACAAATGACAGCGGTACTTAGCAATGCGGACTCTGTTATTCGCGAGCCGGTTGACCCTTGTACCACTAGTTTGACTATAACTTTCTTACAAATAAGATATATTAAAGTTCACACGGCAACCAGGTGGACAATCGGACATGATTTGGTGCTACTCTGCTTTAAAGATTTAATGAATGTAACCGAGAAGTTACAATTCATAGACCAACGTTTCGACACTCCTGTCTAGTACCTTCATCAGGGGTCCCTGAAATTTGTCTTACCAAGCTCAAAGAAGTTGAGCTTCAATCGTTCTTCGCCACACCCTGGCCAGTACACCAACTGTACTCCCTCCCCAGGCCGTCCACCGTCTGGATGAACACAGTAATTGTTCTTCAAATTCTTCAGGTTATTCTGTGTCGGCAACCTAAAGTGACCAAAACTCAAGGTATGGGAAAACCATTATTCTCCACGAAAAGGGACGTACTTTAACTGGAATATGAATAACTCAAACTAATTTGACGATTTCATCACGTCATTTTCCGAGATTTTAACCACACAAAAGAAGTCAGGAACTCAAATGTGTTTTTCCTTGTGCAGCGAAAGACCCTTTAAAGAATTGGATGTTGTCGGTATGAAAATGCATGGAATGCTATTTAGGTTTGTAAAGAGAAACGTGCAACTTCCTGATAAATATTGGAAAGCAGATGACTCAAAGCGAAGGAGAAAGAATTAGCACGAAAGTAATAGTATAAATAAGGTTAAAATGTAAGGCATAAATTGTCATTCTGAATTACCACGAGAGGAATAGTATAAACTAGGTTAAAATATGAGGCAAAAAACATGTCATTATGTTGCAGCTTTTACATTTACAACACACCTGACATGCCTTGAAATATTTAGATGGCATTCATCTTTTAAAATAAGTTTCTTTCCCTTGGTAGTGTTATTGTCTACGAAAAATAAGAGGGACAAAAACAGACAAACAAAGTTCGAGTCTCAAAAAACGGATTGTGCATGACGAACTTACGAATCTGGGTTCAATTTCTACAAGAAGTGTAAATCGAGACGAACGATGTTTTTCTCACTTGCAATTTTAACATCTTCTCTCCCTAGAAATGTTGGTACACGTGCAAAGTGATCTATCCCCGAGAAAGGAGAATTTTAATGGGTCAAGCCTGGAAGGGGAGTAACACCTGAGGGATGTTGGAGTTAACTGAGAAATGTAAGAGCATCACTCTAAAATTTTGCCGATGATCGTAGCTCGTAAAAAACAGAAACAAAAACAAAAACGAGGACAACTGACTACGAAAATAGTCAATAAGAATTCAGATACAATTCATAAATAATTCCAGAAACAACAACACTTAGGGTACAAAGTAAAACAAGAAAATTGTTACCCTGTGGACAAACTTTTTTCTTGCTGCACTTGTGATAAATAACTCCATCCTGGTCGAGAATAAAAATCTGATCGGTTGCATTACAAGCATTGCCTTCCTTTTTGGTGAAGATGAGGTAACTGCCGTCAGGAGGGGAACAACCTCCTTTGTTCGGCACCACACAGAAGTCACCGTAACTTTGTATTCCGCTCTCTAAGGAAGCACATCAAACAGTCACTTCAATGCACCCTGGTCAATACGCTATCTAAAAATGTCACCACAGTGTTAACAGTATAGGGCGTGATGTTGCAACCATGAAAACAAAATAAAATAAAATGAAGCGGCCTGATTTTCACGATGAATTATTGTTTTGTCTTACGTATTATATGTATATATACATGATCAATGGCGGCTTTACCCTTCTGATCAAATTTAACCAACATAACAAAGCTGTGCATAAATGAGATGTCGTCTTCATCTCCCTAATAATTTATTCCCTCACGGGAAACGAAAACCTCACTGAAATCTGCCTATTAAAAAGTGGCTTCGTAGCTTAGTAGTACCGCCCAACTAAAGCATGTCCAGTTGCGCTGCACATTTAGCCACAGAGTTGCTCGTTCGAGTTCGAAACGCGTTGCAGCTGGAAAAGGAAAACTGAATTTTCTGACTTCACGCCAGGTCGGGCTATTCTTTTGATCTAAATATTTCCCCCAAACAGAAGTTTTTGTTGACAGCTTCTAGACATTTTAACACAACGCTACCCAATCATCTAGTAAACAATGATTCAAGTATGGTGAATCTAAAGCGCGGGTCGCCTCCATGCAAGAAACTCTTACCTTTTTAGCTTTTTATCAGCATATTAAACATTTAAGTTTAGCTCTGGCGTCTTATTTTGCAAATTCCACAATATACAGCAGAGAAAACAATGAATTTTCAAAATACCTCGTCGTTCGCAGTGAGTTCCGAAAAATCCAGGTTCACAGTCACAGTGATAGGAGTTCAGTTCATAGTCAGTAATACAGCCAGCACTGTTCTTACAAGAAGCGCTTTCGCATGGAGACTGTAAAAAGAAGAAAAATCCATTTTCAATTGAATTCTTTGTTTAAATTGGCCCGTCCTATATTACTCATCCCCGGTCTGTGATGATGGAAAGTATCATTTGCTAGGAAGTGTTTAGTCGCTTTGTACTTGTCAGTAGCCAACAATTCACACAGATGAAGACCTTTGGAGTCAGGATACACTGCCAAGTTCAACGAATAACACTTTGTTTCTTCAACACAAAGAAAAATACATTCTAACTCATTTTCCACCATGATGGATGTAAGTTTTTCAGCCTGTAAGTAGTGAAAGGCATCGCACCTGAAATTGCCATGACAACTCTTGGACTTCGATCAAGAGTGCTACCTTGCATTGCAATCGTTAGTTCTAACAAAGAAGGAAAAAAGCAACCAGAATGGAAGTAGCAGCATGATAGTGACCCATGATAGTGTTGCAGTGTGTTACAGAGTAAATGCTATCACTCATGGAGTAGGTGCAACGCTTGGGTTGAGTTGTCAAATGCAACGGGAATTTGTTGGTAAAAGAAAAGGCATAAACGTGCACGTTACAACTTCAAATGTTGTTGAGGGTTGTTTTATTGTCCCGCTTCCATGACCTCAGGATTCCAGGGAAACCTGAGAAAATGTCTTCGTAAGGACGAGCCATCACGGGTTTGATTAAATTAAAAAAAAAAAATATATATATATATATACTATTAAAAAAATTCAATTATCACTGGATTCGCAGAGTACCTTTCGACATTGTGAAATGCACTTTTGTCCTTTTTTCCGACATCGTTTCTCGAAAAAGCGGTAAACGAATCCTCAACATAATCCAAGGACTGACAGAGGTATCATTATTGTAATTATTGATGACTGTTTTTTTTTTTGTTTTGTTTTTTTTTTCAGGAAGTGGAATAAGAACTCTTTTTTCCAGTTTTCTCGTGATTTGTTTTTCTAGTAGTAGAATAGCTCGAAGATTTTAGATAGTGCGCGAATACTAGACAAGCAAGCTCAATTTGACTCCCAGAGTGTATTCCACATTCGGAAAATTTTAAATAGTAATGATTTTCGTCGCTCTTGTAGGTGCACCATCGAGGCTTAGTTCCAGTGGGGAGAAGAACTTATTCGCTTATTGGGAAAAAAAAGTGTATTAGCATTGCGATATATTACAATCTAGATGATGGATAATAAAGACTCAAGTTACAAATTTTGCATTGTGAATATTTATTGAAAGTGACAAATAATGCTATCACACTGCCATTGCACGTGTACCTTAAACATATGCCTCGGAAGGATGCATCCATATCTGCCACTTATCAAACTCTTTTTTTGTGAACCATCGCGTTCATTCCCAATCCTTGCCTATTCGCTATTTCAAGTTTTCTTCTACGAACTCGGCGATGGAGTTAAACACTTAGAAATTTAAGAGAAACCCTGAGAAGTCCTCTATCAGTTTGTAGGAAAAGGAACATTTTATTAGAGTTCTGAAAGTTCTGCAGGGAGAAGAAGCAGGTTTATTTTTTCAAATGAAACTTTTCCTTCCGAGGAGCCATTCAATTTACTTTGCAAAGACACTCTACGCAGCCAATATTGTGAAATATTTTATGAAAAGATGATAATTATGTCCTATCAGCAAGTTCTATCTGGTGTAGATGATTCCAAAATGAGAAACAATAAAAACTTGTATTTGCATGTGGGTCAAAAGACGTGTTTTTGTTGATTTAGCTGATGGAGTACAGTGTGAAACAAAAATACCTTGCAAAGCCGGTAGTTGTTTTTCCAGCTCTGAATGTACTCAGAAAACAATTGCAAGAGATATTCTTTGAAAAACATGGGCTTAATATCTTTCGTAAGCGCTAGTTAGGCAAAGACCGTGAAAAACGGTCAACCTATCTACGATTCTTAAAAAGGTGTAATCCGAGAATTAAGTTGCCTCAATTCTTGGATTACACCTTTTTAAGAATCGTTGACATGTTTGGATGTGTTTGTTGGCTCCTAGATGAAGTTGATGAAACGGTGTTAATTTTGTAAAGGTTCACAATGACGATAAATTACCTCTTCAAAGGTCTTTGTCAAACTTGCATTTAAAACACGAAAAGAAATCAAGCCTATGTTTTCACTTGCAATTGTAAACTATCTACATTCACAGATGGAAAAAAATTCGTTTTTGCAAGATATCTTTGTTTTCACACTCTGCACTCGAACACCTAAATCAACAAAAAACATCTCTTTCGACCGATCTGGTAATATTATATATTATTGTGTTTTACTTTGGAATCATGTACGGCAAGCTTGACTGGCTGTGTTGTGGAAAAAAAAGTTTGCAGGTAGGACATAAATATTGTCATTCGATAAAATCTTTCACACTCTTGGTTATGTAAGTTGGCATCGTAAAGTAAATTGAATAGCTCTTTATAGGTTATTCTAAGGTAGTAATTCTATGCAAGAGTTTACTTCGACATTATATAAATAAATACCTACATATATATTTGAGTAGATACGATGGTTTTCTCTCAACCCTTCTCGTGCCATTTAAGCTCTGAGGTCTAAAAATTTTTAAATGCTTATAATAGAGCTAATAATAGAGCAAATACCCTGTTCTTTAATTCGTCTGCATTTTCTACTTTCTATCAAAGTGCATTAATTTCCCAATCTGGTGATAACAGTCGCTTGATGGCGGTCAGAGAAACAGTGACACGAAGAGTAAGACTGCATGCGATTGGGGGCCTGGCATCCTCCGTAAATTACTGGGTGACTAATGTTGGTTTTTCCTTCTTGACGTCTTCACGTCAACAATTTCTTTCTGCTACTCAATTTTAATGTAAGACTCCAGATGTGAAGGCCTTCATTTAATGTCACTAAAGGCAATTTAGAATTAAAGAAAAAAAAATGTAATCACGTCTTTATGACTGTCCACTTAATGGCCTTTTTATGATTACTGCTATTATCAGTGATGAAACTAAGGTTTGGGGTCTCTTCGTTGCCTGGTTAAAAACCTTTTATCACTATTATAGTTTAGTTGAGACTCAAACAAAGTTTTCATGAAATAGCTGAGGATTCCATTGCCGTACATGCTTTTTTTTAAAATATAGGCCTCAGTTAAAGTCCACTCTAAGCATCTTGAAAATGAATAATTAAACATATACAATGGTGACAAAGTCCACAATAAGTCGACAATAGTTTGGCGAAAGCCTATTATCTTAGTTGGAAATGATATCTTTTAAAGTTATACGGGCTTCTCATTGGTTGTACTATTTAGTTACAAACTTAATTAAGCGTATTTATTTTGTTGAAATGTGGATTTAACGTTATTTTATTTAAATGTAGAATTAACGTTAATTAAGGCCTTAAAATTTTTAAATGCTAATAAAAGAGCTATTAATAGAGGAAATACCCTCTTGTTTGATATGCCTGCATTTCTACTTTCTAGCAAAGTGCATTAATGTCCTAATCTAGTGATAACAATCATTTGATAGCGGTCAGAGAAACAGTGACACGAAAAGTAAGACTGTATACGATTGGGGACCTTCACGTCAACAATTTCTTTTTGCTACTCAATTTTAATGTAAGACTCCAGATAAGAAGGCCTTCATTTAATTTCACTCAAGGCAATTTAGAATTAAAGAAAAAAAAATTTAATCGCGTCTTTATAACTGTTCAGTTAATTGCCTTTTTATGGTTACTGCTATTATCAGTAATGAAACTGAGGTTTGATGTCTCTTCGTTGCCTGGTTAAAAACCTTTTTATCAACTCTTATAGTTTATAGAGTCTCAAACAGAGTTTTCATGAAATAGCTGAGGATTTCATTGCCGAATGTGTTTTTTTTAATATAGGCCTCAGTTAAAGTCCACTTTAACCATCTTGAAAATGAATAATTAAACCAATGGAGCAGTGACAAAGTCGACAATAAGTCGACAATAGCTCGGCGACAACCTATTATCTCAGTTGGAAATGATATCTTATAATAAGTAATAAATAATAATAAGTTATACCAGCTTCTCATTGGCTATACCATTTAATAACAAACTTAATAAAGCGTATTTACTTTGTTGAAGCGTAGATTTAACGTTAGATAAGGGAGGATGCTGCTGGTGAAAGAGCTCGATTCGTTTATGATCTGCACTCTATGGTTACTCTTGCTCTACGCAAGCCTCCAGTTTACAGGTAGGCATGTAATTAACGGATATTTTGAACAAAATAATTTTGGTTTTATCAACTAGGTTGATAAATTGAGTTGACCATCGTAAAGAATTTCAAAGCTGAAGTTTCGAGCGTTACGCAAAATTTTCTTGTGATATTCTCCACTGACGCAGTATCACAGATTTTTAGAAACTTGTTCCCTTGATATTTTTTACACATGATGATCAAACACATTTTCGCTCTTTATATCAATTTCCTTAGCTTTAAAAACCAAGAAAAATTTATCTTCCTTGTAAGGCATGCGCTATTCATGGGCAAAATCGAAACAGACCTCTGCTAGTGCCAACTGTATGACTTTTATTTACGTCTTCTACGGGGATATTTAAACTTCTTCACCTTATTAAATAGTCGCTTCTTGTTTTTAAATTTACCCTGGACAATAGCGATAATGTTAATGAAGCCGACACGCTGAGAATTAAATCTGTCTTTGCTGGGTTTTTATCATACATTTATTGACAGTCGTTTATTCATCACTTTACGGGTTGATTTTAGAACTAACATATTTATTTTCACTACTGTTTAAGGAGTGTTCATTACTTGTAAAGATCGCTTTCATGTTCACTTCTTTATCCGCAGTTCACGCACATGATTTTCAAATATATACAGTCATTTAAAAATCTTTTGATTAATTTATATTTTGCATTTGTTTTGACTTTGTAAGCAGTTTACATATAGTTACGCGTTTCGATGGTATCATGATGTCATTTGCAAGCATGTCAAACGAAAAAATTATCACAAATTAAAAAAAAAAAACAAACAAAAATTTAGGTAACAAAAGAGAGCCAAGTTGAAATAGTTTTATGCAAAATAAGAAATGTGTTCGGTTAATTAAACACCCATGATGGTGACTCAAACAAATACTTTTGCTTTTCGGATAAAAATCGAAGCTTAACCCCAAAACAGACTCCATTCGAACAAAAATGTTTGACAAGATTTCCGCCCAGCCTCATACTTCACTCTTGTTATAGTTCTTTAATTAAAAAAAACAATTGCTAAAACAATGAAGTGGGTTTGGAATTACGAATTTGTTGTTTTAGAAAGGTATATGGCTTTATGAATTTCTTTCCAAATTTTTGTTTGTCCTACTAACATGCGGATGGAATAACCCTGGGCAAGAAATATTTTTTTTTACTGGCCACAACATCACTAATCGTTTTAAATAAACTGCATGGAACTATTGGTCTCTGGCAGTCTACTTCCATATATTGTCATTTCTTTTTTTCCATCTTTATAATTATTATGATTTGACAATGATATACTGATGCTATCATAACGTTTTACGATTTTCTTATGCTTCAAACTTGACTCAAAGATTTTTTTAAAATTATCTTGCTCTTTCACTCTCAAGAACGACCAAGTGCTAATTTTCCTTTGAATTATCAAATATATGCAAGCAGAAAGGTGATGAGAAGAAACAAACACTGTTTCAATGGTTTGACTATAATCTCTCATGGACAAACCTATAGGAAATGTATGATGGCAGATACTGCAAAGAGTTGATATTTATCGCTCGGCAGTGAAAAGGTTAACAAAAGACGGTTTGTAATTGCAGACGGGGCTTATCCAAGAGAATATGACATCACTTTCCCGGAACGCGTTGATGGCAGGCTGGAAAAAAGGGATTTATCAACATCTGAAAAGGTCTTTTGAAGACAAATGCTTTGACAGTCATTTGAACATTATTTTAATAATACTTTTTTAATTCTCTGCGAGAAGGGTGGAAATCAAACGCGTTCAGTTCTGATGATTCCTAGTTTAATAAATAAAAGAATAGAGAAACTGCTCCTGCCAAACATTTAAGATACATGGAAACGATATTGTTCAAAACATTTTCTGCCAAGCAAAATTCAGGAACTCAGGATTTCTAGTTCTGTTTGATCGGAGTTTATTTCATAAAACGTTATTAATAATTGATGCGAACAAAAAAAATTGACCAATCAGAGAGTTCATAAGATTCTGGCCGAGCGGAACTACCTATTGCTTTAAAGTCCTTCGTGCGTTCTTCGGAACGCACTATCCTTGAATGTACTATCCTCAACGACCAAGATGATCAACTGTTAATTAACACTTGTGAGGTGGGCACCGCATGACAATACTACGTTATTTTAGGGAGGTCACGTGGATGATGCCTCTTACCAGTTGACTGCCTTTGACAAGGACTGGACCCTAGATGTGAAGAGAAATAAGTATGTTCCATTTCATCATATAACTGCTGCTAAAGCCTGATAATGATTCAGGTGTCTCTGTTTCATCCAATGCTTTTCTACAGTTCTCTAAGCTCACAAAAGCCCAGGGCCGGTTTGTTCAAAGCTGGGTTAAGATAACCCAGGGTTAGTGTGAAATCTGGTTTGAGATCTGAAAGCTATAAGAGAAAATTCGGTCTTATTATCTTTGTCCAAAATTTGATTATTGGATGCTCCAAAAAGAAGGGAGAACTTTTTCCCAAAAAGGCATATGAAAAAGAAATACAGAAACCTGGATTTGAATTTAATGCTGGGGTAGCGCTCATCGACCTTCAAACAACTGGGCGTTGAATAAGAAACTTGATTATTTTCTGTAAGTTACAAGTATGGTCACAAATGCTCAGAAAAACAAATTTTACGCCCAAACCCAAAAGAAGATGCTAACGTCTTCTCTACTTCTCTTTGTTTGAACGTCCAGCATATTGTGAGACAGAGACAATTTCCGAAAAAAATTCAAACTCTATTGCAGTTATATTAGGTTACACTTTGGCAAACAAATATTAACGATTCAAAAGAAGCAAAATTAAAGAAGCTTAAGTAAACATACAAAAAGTTTATTTATTTCTGGGACAAATTCCAGTTAACTTTTAAAAAGTCTAAACGTCTTTAATTTCTCAAAAAAGCAAAACTTTATTCAATGTCTTCAAATATTCAAAATATTTGTCTCAGTATCTATCTTTACTTCCAAATCGTTATCATTAGAATTATTACATTCTTTTTTAAAAGTATGGTTCTGTACTCCCTCAAATCTCACATTCAAGCATGTTAACTCAACTAGAGGCTGACTCCAAATCTTTCCAGTCATTCAGCTTCCAGGCTCTTCATTTGTACAATTTCTCGGACTGTTTGTTTTAATTATCTTTTAGTGTTGTAAATCTGTAATGTGTTATTACTATGTTATTGTTATTGTTATTGTTATAATGATTGCTAATTTATCAGTTTCTTTATAAAAAAGGATTTCCCTATTACTTTTTTTTGCTTTAATTATCCCACAGAGAACTTATTTCTCCATCATTTGCCGTTCGCACGTTTGCTAGCGATGGTTCAGAAGTGATTCAAGAGGTGATTTGCTGAGAAATTGTTTTAAAAGTCTTAATATTATCTGTCATCACAAACATACCACTAGCATCTCTTTAGCACTGCCATGTAAAGAAAGATTACTTTGGCAATACTAACTAATCAAACTGGCATCCCTACCAGGTGCAAAAGGGTTTAAAGTTTAAACAGTTTGCAAATATCTTACCAAAACTATCTTACCAAAAAGATCGTCACGCTGTTCTTTCAAGAATGGAGAGCTGTTTATCAAAAGAGAACTGCAAACTCAATCTATCATGGACACATTCCGTTCACGTTGAAGTTGTTAGGTACTACGCTCATTGATATTTTTTCCCTCAGTGTCTTTTTTCTTCTTTTTCCGATCTTTTTCAGGGGGGTTCTGATCATTGCCACTATCAAGGGTCCATCCGGGGCTCGAAAGATTCCACCGTTGTACTAAATACTTGCTCGGGACTGAGGTATTTTTATTATTTATAGATATTTTCTTTTAAGTTTCGAGAAGATATCATCAATAACTTTTAATATAAGTTGCATTCATGAATGAAAATCTGGGAGCGATGCCTCGAAAAACTAGCTTAGGTTGCTGTGTGAGTCACTCAAGAGTAAAGACAAACCAGTAAAGCAATGGGAAAGCACGATCGCCCATTGGAGGATGGTCTTTGAAGGACTGTTGTCGATGTCACATCAGATTCAATTGCCTATGATGATGGCTTACGCATAGGTTGTCAAAGTGCACGAGAAAAGTCTAAAGAAGTTCTTGCGTTGAAAGAACACACAAGCAGCTGATCATGAAGGATGAAGGAAGAATAATTTTTTTTCCGTAAGAAAGTACGAATTGTTTTCCTTGTGAGACATGACGAAGTTACGAGTACAACTGCAAACCGAAAATAGCCGTTTCGAGGTTTTGATCAGAGTTTGCACTTCTTTGGTTTGGAGAGTTGGATAACGTAGCGGATATTTCACAAACATTTTCCTAAGTAGGGCCGGGGAGAAAAGAAGTTCTTTTTTGAATCCTCGGATTATATTAAAACTGCGGACAGAACTCTTACGTTAAGCCCTCACCCGCACAATCCAATCACACGATTTTTACCATCATATTCAGACCACTAACTTAAAGTAAAAGCAGAGTAAAGGAACTAATTTACAAACGTGGATATTCCTGGCTAGCTTCGAATTACCATGAGTCATACCCAGCTATAACAGTAGATGAAGAAAATCTTATAATTTCTTTTGACAGAGGGCTCATAGATGATGGTGAAGATACATTTTATATAGCACCCGAGTCGGGAAAAAGAGTAAGTCTTGTTATTGGAATTAAGATTTTAATCTAATGAAACTTAAAAAAGTGAATTTTACAATTGATTCTTATTTGTGATTTAAAGATAGAGTACAAAACTTCGATTACTAATTCTATTCGTGATCAAACTTCTTTATAGGAAACTGGGGCCCACAAAGTGGTCTGGGCGAGGCAAGACGAAGCCACTCGAATTCGTAATAACTGCGGTAGGGTTATACACGGAATGAGAAATGTTGTAAAAAAAAAAGGTTGAGCTCATCTCAAAGCATTCATATTCTAATAACGTTGATTGAGGTTTAAATCAGTTCTGAGGAACATCAATGTCAGTTTCCTGCGGCCATAGGTAAAAGATTTCTTTGATTTGAATAGCACTCTCACATGTTGCCACGTGCCCTCGGGCACTGTACGTAAAGTTGATGACTAATGTTATAAGGGTCAAATGCGCCTTCAACCAAGATTTTGCACAGTCCTAACTGTAAAGACACAAGCACATTCTGACATAGAGAGGAAACCTTTTGCTCGTTCTTCTTTTATTTGTAATGAAAGAGTCTCAAGAGCTGTATTCATTTTAGCAAGGCTCGTTCCTAACATGAATTTTTGGTCGTATTTTCTTTACCTCAGGGAACAAAGCAACTCACGCGGATTCCCATTATTCAGATGAAAAGTCAAGGCCATTTTCTAGGGTAAAATGCTGATTATGATTTTCCTGTTATTAAGTTTTAGATTTCTGTAAGTTCTGTATAGCAAAGAATCAGTGGATGAAGTGCATGAAAAATTTAAATTAGATTAAGTGTTTTCTGCGTTTTCATTTTACTAATAGGTAAGAAGAAGCGTTTTGGGTGACATTGATGAATTCTACAAACCATTTCTGACAACAAACGAGACACGATACAATGAAGTGCTTATGGTTGTTGATTTTGGAATGGTAAGTAAAGGATGATAACCATTTTGACTCCAAATTATCTGGTCGAAATGTATCCTCCAGCTGCCATAAATTTTCTAGCTTTTACTACTTGAGACAATTAGGTGTTAGTTCATACTGTTTCCTATACATTTCCTATGGTCCTACAAAAGATAAATTATCAAGAAGTTTTTAAAAGAACGATAATTTTCTTTGTTCTCACGACCTTGAAGATTAATCCGGGGAGTAAAACTTCAGAGAGAAAATAGCTGTTAGTGTCTCTTAAGAGTTAATACGATGAAACTCTCAAACAGCCAAGTGTTTTTCATCTCCTTGCCTTGTTTTTTTCATACTGTTATGGTTGTAAACACTCCTTTGACATACGAAAGTGAGAGTTTCATCATAACATTCCTAATGAATTAAAAATATCAGAACCTTTTCAGAAAGATGTTTAATATATAATGATACTTTAATGAACAGTATCCTTGGAGTTTCACGGTTAAAACCTCGTTTAAATGTTTAATTCTTCTGCATCAGATTCAGAATTTACTAGGGGCTTTTCGATTTTTATTTTTCAGTACCTGAAATACAATAATGACACCGATGTCATTAAAGATCGCGTTATAACACTGGCAAATGCTGTTGATGCCGTGAGTATACAGTTTTAAAAGCAGAGATTCCAATATAGACATAGTCTTTCAAAGATAGAATGAAGGGGGGGGGGTGCAGTGAAGAGGGGGAGAGGGGTGAGGAGGGAAGGAACCGAAAAAGTTGCAAGCTTCTTTTTTAGCAGTTACCACACGTCTGACAGTATGGTGGTTAAAAATAATAAAAAAGGGCTTTCCAGTTGATTGAGAAAGTGGCTTCCCATTTAGTTATGGTACAGGTCTGCCATTTATTTTTTAAAGCGACTCACTCTTCGAAGATCAGGATGTTAGATTCACTGAAGCTCTATTTTACTAACCCTGAGTCAATATTCATCTTCTGGAATATAAAGCCATTCCCCTCGTCCCTGGGGGAGAACAGCATCAATCGAATCAGTTTAGCGGAGTGTCTAGCATGTCCTGATTAATTTTCCTCATTCAGATTTATCAGCGGATAAATATCAGGGTCGTGGTAAAGGGGCTGGAAATTTGGACGAATGGCGAAGCTTTTGAACGTCAAAAGACAGGAGGAGCCGACCTTAGTCGCTTTAACACGTATCGAAAAGAAATATTGGAAAAAACAATTCCTCATGACAACGCCCAATTATTGAGGTAAGAAACCCTCAGTTCCTGTTAATTCAAAGATTCCAAACGACTTAGGGATTAAAAAAGTCGCTATTGAGGGAGTTTCTTGCGAATTAAAAACTACATTGATCAAGATGTTCGTTTCAAAGACAATGATTACTTGTATTAATTGATTTTATTGACTTAAATGTGATCATGTGTAAACTTGTCATCAACCACGGCCACTTCCTCGACCTACCCCGGCTTCTTCTCTGGTAAAGATCTGGGGTACCTCCAGTTATGTATAGATGACAAAAAATTTTCTAATTGATGAAAAAAGTAGACTTAAGAAAAAAATCCCAAAATGATTTAGTCTAAACAATTGATTAAGGCCTGGTTTTGACAAATATCCAGCATGCTGATTTTAATATCTGTCCTGAGGTTTCTTAAAATCTCCTGTCATGTTTGAAAAAGAGGAAAACTGAAGCACGCAGCGTTTAAAAAATTACTGTAATGGCAGCCGAGTATAATCTTTTTTAAATAAAGCAAATAAAATTTACACAGCCCGAGGCTAACTATTAAACCACAATACTTAATACGGTTGCCATGGTTATAATAAGTTAGTAAATCAAAGACAATTTCTTGGATGCAAAAAGGATGAGTTTTTTTCAAAAGTAACTTTAAAAAACTGAGCCGCTACTTTTAAAGGCCTAAAACGCACAAGCTACAATTAACGAGTCTAATTCAATACAGTAGGAAATAAAATTATATGGTCTTTCAGGCCACAAAAAAAATCGGATTCTTTTTACGTAGCTTATAAAAATTTGTCGTTATTCAGTAGAGGAGCTGCTTCGAGTTGCCCTCTTCTTTTTGGTTTCAGCGACTGGAGCTGGTCTGACTGTGCTGGCATGGCATTCGTGATGGCGATGTGTGGCTCTGTTTCAAGTGGTGTTAATAACGTAAGCTAGAAAAAAAAGGAAAAAAAAAATTAAAATTGCCACACTGTTTGTCAACAAATATGAATGAAAATCATAAGAAAGACTACCCTTTCAACCTGGATAGCAAATACCTCAACAAAAACGGCATTACATGTTTGCTTATTCGGGTTTTGTGATAAAAACAAAGTTAGTGGAATCAATTTGCACTTATGGCATAAATTAAAATTTTAAAAATGCGTAACATTATGTTTGTCAAAAAATATAAAATGAAAAACGGACAAAGAAAAAAAACCAATTTTTTAAGAAGAACCATATTGGATAGCTGCTGTTTGTCTTAAACTGACACCAGTTGTTCAACTTTACTATTCTAGTGGGACTATGGAAGTATCATTGGCCCTTACGTGACTGTTGCTCATGAAATGGGTCACAACTTTGGATTCAGCCATGACACAGGTAGTGATAGACCCATGTGACTGAGTTCCGTATTCGATCTCAGGAAACACGAGATTGCACTCCACGATTACACGAAGAGTTCTCTGTATTATTCACAGGAAAAAAACTTGAAAGAAAACTTATTTGTTGTTGTCTTTATCCATTCATTTATTTGATTAATAATCTATTTTTACACAAATTTTATATTTTCACAAATTTACAAATTACCAGTGTTGTTTAACCTGTAGAGAGTAAAGAACATTGTTAGTCTAATTATTATACCTAATTTTGAAAAACGCATTTACCAGGTCAAACACATCCTTTTTTGTTTGAGTTTTCTGTTATTTGCTTATTGTAACGTATTATCTGGTAAAATTCCGTAGTGCAAACCCATAAATGAATTTACAACTAAGTGGTTATTCACAAGATTGTCTGCACTTTTCGTTAAGTTATCGAAAATAATTTGTTCTTTTCGCAGGAAGCTGTAAGTGTTTGACCCCAAGAGGTTGCATCATGGGCGGTCACAAGTATGTTTTTTTCTCTAATATTTGTAATACAACTTTGCACTAGATGTAGATGAATATGCACTCGTTTTCGACCGATCAAAAGCGTTTTTTTTTCTGTATATTATTAGCATGAATATGTGCATGCTATTTCGAAACATGAGACGAGTGTTCAGTCAACAATACTTTTAATTTCTCTGGTCATTGTTTTGATCATTGGCCACAGATAAATTCGGTAGTACATGGTGAAAAACCGTAAGCAAATGCATTTGGAATAAAACAGGCGTCTTTGGCAAGTTACATGACTCATTCCAAAATCTTTTGATTGGGCGTTCCAGAACCAAAACCAAGCTGTAAACCACAAGCAGCCATCTTGAGGCAAACATTGCAAAGTTACTAACACCGTTCTTACCTCGTCAGTACTGCTATCGGGGTTACTTTGAGATAGACGAAAATCACGTGATAGGAAAAAATGGCGATTTTCCCATGGAAGAAGTACCACGAATCACATTGAGCAAAAATAGCAAGGAACTCAAACGTAATTAATTCCTCCATTCGTGTAGTTAAGGCTGACTAAAAGGGTATTGCAAGTTTTTCGGGCTAATCACAGAGATATACAATTTGGCTTGCAGGACCAGAGTTGCAGGATTCTCTAACTGCAGTTTGACTCAGCTTCAAAAACTGAATGACTGGTGCTTATATAACGTGCCATCGTACAAGGTAAACATTTTGATTTCAAGAACGAGTATTAACCAAAGTAATAGAGCGATCAAATGTTATATTAACCAAACTTCAGCCTTGAAACATACACAGCGTTAAGTCAACAGGTTTGTTGGTGTCAGAGGTATTTAGGTGACATTATACCCCGTCAGTGTTTGCCATTTTTTACCAAATCGACGCAGTTGTAAAGTGTATCTATCCAACTAAAACTTGTTCTAGATAAAACAATATAAAAAGATTGATTCGCCATTACCTATCTCATGCAATAACTTCAATGTGTAATCAATACATAGAAAGATGACTTTCAGTTTCGTTTGACATTCTGTTTTTCAAGTCTGCTAACGGTTATTGCGGAAATGGAATTCGCGAAGAAGGAGAAGAATGTGACTGTGGCACTCCGGAGGTTTGTTAAGTTACATTTTTATAATTTATTTTTCATTGCTTTGATTTTTCTATTTTGTTTTCCTTGGTCATTTTCTATGTAATGTAAGGATGATAGCGATTACAATGAAAAAATAAAACAAAATAATAAAAAAGAGGGAGCAAAGGACAACGATTTTGGAAAAATTGTTAAAAAACACTTTTAAAAGTTCTAATTCTTTTTAGATGTCTCTCGAATATTATTTAATGAACGAATTTTGGAACGAGAAGTGGTGATACTTTTGGCTCTAATAACGATGAAGAGCCGCGCTTAAGGCTTAAACTGGAGACTATACTATCACATGAGTAAGGTTGAAATATTATTTAAACACAATTCAGTCAATGTCAGGTCAATTCCTATATTTCAAGTCACTAGAATAAGTCTAACTTAGTTAATATGATCCCGCCTGTCTGAAAACGGATCGTAAGATTGTTTGTTTTTGACGAATGTAGCTAAAAAAGATCATCATTGAAAGAACTCGATAACGATAATCTTTTCACGCAATAAGGTAACGAATCTAACAATAAATTCGTCTTCGCCCAGCCTTAAGCTCCGACTCTTAGTTTTTAATTTACTCAATTCAGTTTAGTTCAATTCAGCTAATTACTGTTATACAGTCCAAGAGTTTTGACTTACGAACGTTGATTAGTTAATTAAAGTTCTAAATCGACGCAAAAAAGTAAAAGTTTTTTTTCGATGAATAAGGAAAGATTCATTATTTTCCTCAGATGTGTGAGTTAAAAGATCCCTGTTGTCAACCCTACAAGTGTGTTCTCAAAAGGGAATCACAGTGCAGTGACCTACATCATTCATGCTGCGAAAACTGCCTGGTAAATAATGTAATGTAGTATAAGCTCAAAATAAATTCAATTTTTTCTAGGAAGCTGTCAATTTTGACTGCATTAGATATAACGATTTCTGATTAAATTTTAATGTAAATTCTCTGAGAGTACACACCATTGGTTCTAGGGAACTTAAATAGTTTAGAATTTCTTTTCACCCTAATCTGCCCGCCTGTGGAACTTCGCTCGTTTGATTCAAGGACGCAAACGATACAGGGACAGGAGGAGCCGGGAATTTCAAGCGAAAATGAAACCTCTTTTTTTCGCATTTTGGTTTTTTTGCTTTTTTGTTTCCAGAAGAAACATTTCCCCGGAACTAGGGCCAGATAAATTATGCTGGTTGAATTTTGGGCATAATATTATAGTCATAAAATCTAATTTTTTTAATTGAAAAGGATTTTTAAAATGTTTCAGGGTTAAATAACAATATTTTTGGTTTTTTTTTGTGGTTTGTTTTTCGTCTTTGCGTGAAGCGATCACTAGGCTATAACAACACGGTTTTTTGTGATCAGAGGGACTACTATCTTTTCGACATTTGGCAAAAATAAAAGCTTTAAGGAAAAACGTTTCTCCAAATTATTTTAAATGAGTGCCAAGTTACATGTGTAAACGTTATAGTCATCACCTTTTACTCACTTATCTTTAGTTTAAGAAACAAGGATCGTTGTGCCGTGAAGTCGAAACAGATTGTGATGTTCCAGAATACTGCACCGGTGATTCTGGCGATGTAAGTATAGCTCTAAGAAATGCATTAACTTTGGACTTTTTCACACCACATTTATGAATGACCCGGCAATTGCATCCCGCAGGGGCGATTAGACAAGATATCCAAGTTTGTCCGCAGGGGATTTTTTTTGATTAATGTTTGAAATGAGTTCTGTTTTATTTTACAGTGTCCAGGAGATACATACATAATTGATGGATACCCCTGCAATCAGACCAAAACAGTGAGTGAACCCCGCGTTTACCACTACTCAGCCTTTTGACCCATAAGATTGACTTGATTTAAAATTCTTGATTCTATATTCTTCTTACAGCATCCTCCCTGAATCAAACATTAAGGTCACAAGAGTAAAGAAATAAATTACGTTCGCGATTGTTAAAAAATTATTCTTGTTAAACATCAAAAAATGTAAAAGAATGGAGAATTAATGAATGCTGATGTTGGGAAGTAAAGGGTTACAGAGTGTAGCATGTGCAGCAGCGTGTCATTTCTGCATTAGTGAATTTCTTCATTGCAGTAATGTTTAGAGACGTGAGAAGTGAGAGGTGATGAACAGGAGTTATATAAACACATGTAGTGAAAGTTCAAACTGTGTTGCAGGGACTTGACTGCAAGCAGATTCTAGTTTGCAAATTTGTAATATATTCCTTTATTTGCTCTGTCTTGCACAGTAATTAGCTGGTAGGGAAAAATTTATTACTGATCAGATAAGTTTAGCACTTGCAAAATTTTTGTGGTTATTAAATGGTCATACTAATTCAAGTTTTCTTTAAAATCTTTTATTTAAGACATGCTTGCACTGAAAATTATGATAGCCTACCATTAGTTGCTCCACGCTTTTTATATCATTTTCCCTCTTTATTTTTGTTTCGCCTTATATTGAATATTATACTTTGCAATTCTCTCTTTGACTACATTTTGTCCCCAAATATCATTTACTAATCTGGGCATGGAATGATGGGTTTATTAATGTTATGTATGTTAATTTCATTGATCATTAATTGCAGCTAATTAATGCGATGACCATTATATTTTTATAAAGGTTATACTTGGAAACACTAACTATTATAGTGTGGAAAGTAGACCTCTCTCTCCAAGAGTCAATGCTCGATATCTTCGTATCAATCCTCAGTACTGGAATGGTTGGCCTTGCCTGAGAACTGAGTTTCTGGGATGTTCAACGGATGAGGGTAATTTTAAAGTAATTTCATTGCCGCACTGTAGGGAAAGTTCTTTCCCACTTGAGATGCTCTCAACGATGATGAGTCATCCTTTACCATAGACATATTTTACAGCGCTTTGAAGTAAATTAAATTTAAATTGTTAGCAACTAATTTTTTTCCTGTAAATGGAAAAAATTGTTTTGACTTCTTTTATTTTTCCTCGCCAGTCTCAATTTTTGAAAAATATTATGGAGTGTATAAAAAATAAAATAATAATTTATAGATAAGTGATTGAGCAATATTTAATTGATTTATAAGTTATCCAAACCTTTCATACCCAAGGTCTTATTAGTAGTTTTAATCACTGTCTGTCATGCAATTCTTATGTTGTTAGTCTGTTGAATTTGGTATTGAATCAACCAACAATCCCATGATTGACATATTACTTTACCCTCATCACTTGTATTGATGTTGTAAGGGGAAATTCTCTCTTGGTCACTCATGGGAGTTAAAAGGTTGAGACGGCAAAGGTGTTCTTCTGTTTTCAAATGTTTGATTTCAAAGAATTTCTGAGATGTGGTAGGGGGAAGTACTACAGTAGAGCCTCGGTTAACCAGACTCGCAAGAACTGGGCTTAATAGCGCACATAATGCAGATTCCGGATAGTCCAAATAATGAATGTAAAAATTCCTAGATGATGGGACCAGAGAAGCAAGTTTGTACTCAAAGCTGAAACAATTCGAAAATTAAGAGCCAAGTTAACACACTGTTTATCAATAAGGGTCAATAAAAAAAATTCAGTAACTTCAACCAGAAATTTTGACCTAAAAGTTAGTGCTTCTAAAACCCCTCAGGAATTTAAGCAATATTAGAAAAAAATACGAATTTTATGAATCGCTGAGATCATGTCACCATAAAAACTCGCGTTTAGGCTACACTCGTAAATAATCCACTCCGCAAATATCAAGTATCAAATATCAAGAGTGATTTTGAGGAAAAATACAGACTTGATTGTTTATTGACAGTTGTTCATGATAAACTTGCTGAGATCTGACGCTGTGTATGCGCAGCGACCTCAATAAGTTAGCAGCTAACACGCCAATGATATGGTTTTATAAAACCTTGTTTTTGATTTGGCGTTATGTTTATGGATTTCTGGCAATCTTATGACACTCTAAAAAATCAAGCTATAAATTAATTGCCTTTGTTTTCCACAGTTGGTCCAACTGCTCCAACACCTCTAAAGTCCTATGGTCTTGATCTTTGTCTCACTCCATCAAGTCAGTCTTGCTCGCCAAATGACAACGAGCGTCTGATATACAAACCAGGTCAGTGCACGGAAAGTCACTTTCAGTTCACGCTTGATGCCGATGGGGTTTTACGTCATAGTTGCAGTGGGAAGATGGTCTGTCCTGAGAATGGCGGCGATGGTAATGGTGCGAAGATTGTTGTAAGCAGTGCTTGTAAAGTTGAAGATTCAAAATTTGAGCGAACATCAGGTAAGATTTATTTACAATGTAGTGCTTTTCCCTCGTGAAGTACCGTGAACGTCTTCAGTAAGGGGGCTCAGAAAATGCATCATTCAGTTTTTTTGCGGAAGTGACACCCAGAATCAATTCGTAGTATTCACAACATACATTATTTCTAAGGCTTGCAAATGTAAATACAAATATAGTAAGTGTGCAGGCGCTCAGATATTGATATTGATCCATTTTAGTACGAGTTCTCGTCGTCTCCGTGGGATGTTTCCGATGGAAAAATACAAGTGTGTCACTATCTTTTCTTCTCTCCCTCTCTATATATTTTCTTTTTTTTGACAGGACGATCTTTGAAGCAACTAAAGAGTAACAAATGTATCCATACTTATGGAGCTTGGCCCGGCGTCGACAGACATATGGTATTGTGGTCAGGATGCGACGAAAAACGGCTAGAAATATGGTTTGCAAAGCAAGGTATATAGAGTACCGCTCGCGTTTACTGCAACATTACACGCGCTTCAAGCGCGTGCAAATCCCAAGCAATGCACCATGCAAACTGCACGTCACTACTCTCACCTACTCTTGAAACTATACTTTTTTTTCTTAAAAAGAAAATGATGAATATAATGTCAAGGAGTTTTTGAATAACGTAACTAACATATTTTTTGGGCAATTAAATTTGGGATCTCAAAATGGATGCAATAAAGTGGTAATTGAACTTCGTTTTGTGTAATTTTCATTCCAAATGATATTTGTGATTTTAAATTGAACTCAACTGTGGCAGATTTATCACGCTTGCTTACACGCTTGCAGAACTCACTGAAATTTTAGAAGTGAAGAAACATCGGTTACAATTTTCCCCATGTATCAAGCTTGGAGTCTGATTTTGGCTTCTTGTGACTGTCAATTTTTTCTGGTAGGCCATAGTCATACTAGAAACGTAGGATTTGTTTTAGCGAAACTTAATCGAAAGTCAAACATCACTGGCGCAATAATGCCTCTCTCATATATAGAATGTATAGACCCTCTTGGAATGCAGAGCGGTGATATCAAAGACAGCCAAATTACTGCGTCTTCATACAGGTCATCGGAATTCCCATATTATGCCAGGTTGCATAACGGAAAGTATTGGTGTGCCAAAGATAAGAAAAGAGATGGGTACTTACAGGTTGATCTTGGACAGGTACGTTCAATTTTTAATTTATCTGATCATGTAATTTCTGTTCTAAAGGCTTTTCGAAAGACATCACGTCACGTTCAATGTATCTTATATCGTGTAAATCTTCCTCGTACATTACCATCCGAGTTCCTACCTCTATTTGAAAGACATCACGTCACGTTCAATGTATCTTATATCGTGTAAATCTTCCTCGTACATTACCATCCGAGTTCCTACCTCTATTTGATAATCTCTTACAAGATTTTGTCTCCTTTTGTTTTGTTCTTAAAATTGATTTGGTTCTAGTTTAGTCAGGGGCAAATAAATATAGCGGAACGTTGCGAAGTGCATCCTTAAAAAAGGGAGGTTGAGAAAAGGAACGAGAGAAAACACTTGGGCTTCATAGTATCAAGCCTCATTCTCGATGTGTTTGACGCTGTAAGTGATTTGAGTAAAGTTTAAACTCGGAAAAAACGTTAGTCTCAACGGATTTTCTTCGTCTGCATTACTGACTCCAAGTTACGGGAAAGTGCAGTCAAATATCAATGTTCAGTAACTTTTGGCTTATTTTTCATATTTTAGCTACGAACGGTGAACAAAATCTTGATACAGGGACGTGGAAACTGGTATGACTGGGTGACTGGCTTCTTCTTGTACTACAGTGATGATGGTCAGCGGTGGAAAGGTTATTCAGAGAGTGGAGACAAACAACACTCCAATGTATGGAAAATATTTTAAATGGTGATTTTAAAGGCCCCTTTACCCTTTACACCATCAAGTTTTCAAGGAGTTTTACCGTAATCTTATAAATGATTCAATAGGAAGTAAGGACGATATTCGCTCGTATAGAAGAATTGGTAAGAAAACAAGGAAATTGTAAATGATTTAATGAAGAGAAATCCTAGCCCTGAAATTTTCTTTCGAAAATGTCATTCACAAGTTCCACGGCAATAGAAGGTAGCGCACAAGTGCTCCTTTTAAGGAAAGCTTTCTAGAGCCATTGTGTGTAAATAGACTAGAGAAGTTGTACGCTTGTGTCAATAAGAGAGCATCTTCCTCCGCCATTTCTGTTTGTTATCATCTGAGTGCAACATGCTCGTTGACTGAAACAAAACTTTTTCTTTGTCTTAATTAGTCGCATTGCTATCAAGGAAAATGCAGCGAAATTCACGAAACTCAGTGCAAGGATTTGTGGGGAGCCAGTACGTTGAAATGATTGTTTTTATTATTGCACTACTACTATGTTTTACCACTTTACCATCATTCTACTATAGGAATGCACAAGATGTGCAACGGCACTACGTACACTGTAGAATAGGGTAAAAATATGGATAGAAAGTGAAAAAAAAAGGCTGCACAGAACCAACCAAAATGAGACATTTTCTGTCGCCTTTTAACCTAGAATTTTGAATTAACAACGCGCCATATGTGATCAATAAGATGCTTAGATAAGGCCGCAGGCATTCGATGGTTGAACATAAATATGAATGGAAATTTTGCTCATTGTTCGCACAATAGCCGCACATCTTATGTGTTAAACCATCGAGTAAGATTTATTTGTCATATCTATGCAAAATTTGATTCCCTTACAATTAAATGTATCAGATCAACAACTCAAATTGATAATCCTGTAAACAGCTTCATCTTTAATTATTCAGGTAGGCATTTACGTGGTTTTTTAATTTAAACTCATGAAAAAAAAACATTTATCTTCTTAGATCTGAGCTTCTAGCACTTCTATCGTTTTCGCTTTTCTGTTAATTTTCCAGCCGCCAAAAATGCCGACGAAAGATGTTATAACATACTGAACACTAAAGCGGATGGATATGGTACATGTGATCCACTCAGAAATGTATCATGCGCTGCGAGGTACAAGATCAGAGTATTATGAAAAAAGATCTGATTTTAAATCTTTCTTAGGAATTAAGCCTTAAACGCTAACATCAGTACGCTTATTCTCTATACCATCCTCTATACGTTTCCTGAGGGGCTGACAAGGAGAATTCGTATAACAATCAAGACCTTCTTTAGTTGATGATCTTTCATCTATTCTCATGACTTTAATGTTTGATTCAAGGTGATATTTTATGGATAAATCAGATGCTAATCACCCGAAGGGATCAAAGGTTTAAGGCCACAATCATTTATCTTTATTACAAAACAGTACCCACAAAATTTGTGTTTCAAGACGTTTATAAGGGCAGCTGTCCACTCAGGTTACTCAGGTTACTTAGGCTATGATATTTTTTATTAGCGACCGGAGACCGAAAGACTGAACATTTAGCAATATATACTATAAATGGTAATGGTTATAGAGATGAATGAAAGTGAAATTACTATACGTATCAACAGCCTCCAAGGTATTCTGTACGCGAACGCTGCAAAATTCCTAATATCGACGTGCTTGTGTTTCTTTAAATTTTATCTTGAGGTAAAAAAAAATGGTTTTGAAGCAACCACTGATATTTGAAAATTAAATGTACATTTTGTAAACGTCATTTATCAGTTTTCCATTTTTTATTTTATTTTATCAGAAACGTGTTATGCGGTCAACTGCAATGTGAAGACAACAGAGATAAACCTGTTATGGACTACGGATGGACTTACACTAAGATCAGTATGGATAACGGAAAACAATGCAGGTATTACTTTCGCTCACTTTCCTGTTGCAGAAAAAAGCACCAGTAAGTAAACATGTTCTTAAAGATTAAACAACAATCAACTGATGCGTTTATACTAAACTAAGAGATCTTGAACGGTGTTCTAGGGAAAAACCAAGCCGTAAGAATTATCAAGGGAAAGCACTGTATAAAGTAAGGGTGGTAAATTATCTATCAAAAAGTATCAAAATTTTTCGTGGTTGGAGACACCACACCTATAGGGTGTAGGGAATAGGGTTTCAACTATAAACCACTGCCGGAGTCTATTTTTTGGCGGTTCCCTTTGCTTCCTTCCACCTTATGTTCTCATTAGCGAGCTTTTCTTTCACACAAGGCCTCTAGGACCACTTAAGACGGTATCTACCTCTCTACCCCTGAGGGTTCCATTCCAGGGCGGTACAGCACAGATTCCCATGAAAATTAACCAACCTGACGCGTTCTTTTTTCCCACAGTGCTGCAACCTTGAAGTCCATTGATGACATTGGTGAGGGAATGGTCAGAGAAGGGACAAAATGTGGAGATGATAAGGTGCCACTGTAAAACTTAGCCCCTCCGCTTACAGAGCGATCCACCCATTAATAGTTTATTATTACAATATCACTACGTTGTCGGGTAGAAAAAATGATGAGAAGATAGCGAATTACTAGTAAGGGAGCACTGGTTACTTTAACACCCAGATTCCTGAAATTTTAAGAGCCTAAATTGTTAGAAATGTCTGGCAGAAAATGCATGGAATGATTTTGAAACTGCAGATACTTGCGCGAGTTATCTTTTAAGTGACACTTCAAGGGCCGTTTACGCCACAACTGATACTTAAAAAAGAGGAATTTTTTATACGAAAGAATTATTGAAAAGAGATCTAACCTAGTAAATTAAACCTTGTTTTCCGAGTTTTGACGAGTCGATGACGGCAATAACTTTAACGCATTTTGTTGCAGATGTGTGTAGATAACCAGTGTCAGACGTTTGATTCCCTCAACGTCGGAAAGTGTCCAGTGATGAACAACAAGGAGTGCGGAGGAAGAGGGGTAAGTCTATGTTTTAGGGTGAATTTTTCAAGTTCTTTGTTTGTAATCCATGTTGATCCTCTAACTCGTCAGAAGACTGAGTAATTAGGGTGCTGAATTTGTAATTTGGTGTTCCCGCGTGTGACTGAGTAATTAGGGTGCTGAATTTGTAATTTGGTGTTCCCGCGTTCCAGCCTTTTATCCTGATACTCCCTTGATTTGTTCTCGTTTGCCCAGGGTTCAATCTTTGGCTTCACTTTGAATATAGCCAGCTGCTCTGCCCCTGCCAGTTGGGATTTTATGAAACGCTTTGTTCATTCATATTGTTTGTTTGCAATTTGTTTGTATTGGCCCTGAAAACCTCCATAGAGGGCGTGGTGAATAAAGCATCCATACATATATATACAAATCATTAACTACAATTGTCCCGGTATAATCATTCTTGTCTCCTTTGAATTTTTCTATCCGAGTGAGTAATTCTCTCAAAGGCATTTTTATTTGTATAAAGTTGTTCTCCAATTTTGTGACATTTTGAGTATTTGAGTAATCTTGTTTGTATATCTTACACTTCCGCCCAAGTATAATCTATGGCGCAACCATGACTTTAGTATTCTATTGGCATCCCCAAAGGTGACAACCAGCAATATTTTGAAGGTTCTACCCTCCTCGTCTTTGTAATTTTCTCCCATGTTCAATTCAATCTATTCCTAGTTTGAATATATTCAGAGAAAAGCCTTCAACGTTTCTTTTTGGGAAGGCATTCAATTAGTGCTTTGTTTGAGTTAGTTAGTCCTTATTTAATCTGCATTGTTATGGATTGATTTTAAAAATGTTTTTAGAGCTTTAGAATTGCGATAAGATATAATAAGGCGGCTGTTGAATACAACGAGAAAAGTTTTTTGAAGAAAGCGTATAAGTGCATGGGACATCCTCGAAAGGTATTGGGGGGTAGTGTTCAGGTAACGGTTCCGGCTTGACCTCAGGATTTTAGAGAAATCTGAGAAAACGTCATTGTGAGGACGAGGCATCGCGTGTTGATAAATTATGTTCTTTACTAATTAAAGTTAATTGATTACCGGATGCCCAAATTACCGTTTTAAGTTAGTCGCATGCAATGTTTTCCATTTTTTTTTTCGCCTACATTTCTCTAATTTATGTATTTGTGTAGAACCTCAGCTGCTCAATGAAAATTCCAATCTCCTCTGCCACTTTTGTAATGCTTTAAAAGATCGCGTCTCAGTTTGTTTTAAAAACTGATTGATGAATGCAGGCGTGTAAATAATCTTTACTTTCTAATTATATTTACAACAAACTACAGAAAACCTCGATATACAAACAACTAAGCAAGGCATCGCGATCTTTTTTTTTTTTTTAATGTTTTCTCGTATACGCATCAACGAATATTTCTGCAAACTTACACGACATTTTTAAAGTTTTTTTTTTAAGTTTAAAAGACATTTACCTGCTGAAATTATAAAGGTTCACAATAAGAAGATGAAGAACGCTAGGGTAATTAAATTTGATTACACGAATTTAATCACCAGCTCTGATTTAATATTCATTGTTTGGTTCACTATCGGATTTGACAAAGCTTCTTCTTATCGGGGAGTAAAATCGAAGAGTTTACCGCACTAGCTAAATTAAAGAACCCAATATTGAATAACTCGAGGACTAACTAACTCGGTATAAAACATAGCGCTTCTCTGACTGTCTGCTTTACTGCTTGTCTTACTTCTCTAATCTTCCAGCAGTAAAGGAACGAGTTTAATGTTAAGTTAAAGGACACTAAAATTGGTGCTATACCCCAAGTGAAGATGAAATGTGATGAATTGGTTTTCCTTAAACTTAGCACAATAACCAGTGTACCATATGGTAAATAACAAACAACTAACGCTAATTGCACCCACAATGCACTGTACACTGCCTTCCTGTATCGCGCCATGTTCAGTGTATTTGTTTGGCTCGGCTGTTGCAGAATACGTTCTTGAATTTGGGCGCTATGGTGACGGAGACTCCGGAAAATCTTTGCGTGCGAAACCATTGAGATTATCAGGCAAATTGTCGTATTGACACAGTCAAACTAAAACGTTACAGTGTAATAAAAAAGACTGGCTATGACGATACATGATGGCTATGATGGCTATGACGATATAAATGCGCCTTAAAATCACGACTTGTCTATACCTCAGTCGCAACAGCAAGGCGAGAAGTCTGTCCACGCTTATAGCTGTCATCGTCATTAAGGATACCGAGCATAAGATATAGCCAGTTAAATAACATGCAGAAAATGTGTATCGGCAAATTCTCCATTTCTCACGAAGCGTGGACATCCAATGAGTAGCACTAAGGGGATGACTAAAAGACCGACCAACAGATCGGTTGTTGCCAGACAACGATAGAACAGTTTGGAAGGTGGATGCAGGGAAGATTCCTTATGTAGGGCAACAAGAATGAGAAAATTCCCAAAAAATGCCGTGAAGGAGAGAAGAATGTTAAGTGCTGATAAAGAAGTTGAAAGCTGTTGTAACCTACCATACAATGAAGCAGAACATATCAGATCTTCAAATGCTTTTGTCTGTGTTACACCTATTGTCAAATTTGTTGCAGCCATCATTTCGCCTTCAAAAGCGAGAAACAGTTTTTCCTAACAATATCCTCCCATTTGCGATCCCTTTAAAGTCACGTCCTTTATGAGATTTGCATAAAGACTTCCCGCCGAGTCAGGTGTCACAAACATGTTTATTTATTTTTTATTTTGTCTAAGTGGTGTTCCTAGGCTTAGTTTGATGGTTTATCTATCCGATAAAGGGAAGAATCTAGGCCTTTCCCGATTATGCTACTAAAATTGGCATTTTATGCTCCTAGAAATTCCACTTTACGCCAAAAAAAATGCTCAAATTATGCTCGATTCTCAAAATAATGCTACTTTGGTTTCAGAAAATGCTTTGTTTAATTTCAAGCAAAACGTAGAAACTCAGGCAGTACTCAACTCAGTGTGTATCAGCAACTGTTTAAAGTGAAAAGTGTTAAGTTGTTTGTTTATAAAACTCCTGATACAGTCAAAACTTGTCCAATGATAAAACAGATAATTAACGTTCGAAGTCGACCGTCGAAGTCCGACCGCGGACAGCGGACCGCCGAGGGAGCAAATCACTGAATGAAACAGCAAGGATCGAAATGCACCGATCAGAGTTGTTGAAAAACAACTAGTCACAGCAGAGCATCATGCTTATAGGATCACGCATGAAACAAAAACAAACAAACAAACAAACGCACAAACACAAACGCGCACACGATAAATTCAATCAAGTGTACAAATTCAGTACCACTAAAAAGTAAAAGCGCTATTTCTTACCCCAAGTGCTGTGTAGAAATGCCTTTTTTTCTGCAGAATTTTCATGTCGTGTTTGATGTGTATTCATTATTTCTTTAGGTTTGCACAAACAAAAAGGTGTGTCATTGTGAGGGAGGATTTGATTCGAAGGACGGTTGTGCATCAGGTAAAAGGTTATAACTAGTTTCGAATGACAAAATTGGAAAGTTTAGGTTAGGTTTTCCACTCATGATGAACAAAGTTTAATGAAACTATCAGTCGGTTTGCCGTTTCAGAAGTAATTTATAACTCATGTAACAGATTCATTTCTTATTCTGTTTTGCTGAATTAAGCATATTCCAAGGATTCCCGATGATAATAACAAGAGTATGTTTTTGTATTCTTCCAAATTTTCCACAATCGATAGTTTTTAAAAATGCCTTGAAAGATGGCACAAAATAAAACAAAATTTGGTTGACAATTGATCGCTTTGTGCTAAGGTTTTGTTTATCACAGTCTCACTTGTAATGCTTGCATTTATTAAACTGTTTCATTCCAGCTCTGGTGCCTCGAGATGGAGCGTGGGGCGATTGGTCCTCATGGACTGTTTGTGACAAGGGCTGTAATGGTGGAAAAAGAAAAAGACATCGCTTCTGTGACAATCCATTTCCTCTACATGGAGGGGCTTACTGCTCTGAACAACGACACGAGACAGAGGATTGCAATACTCAGAGTTGTCCAAGTGAATTTAAATCTACTTTTAAAACTTTCTGTTATTTCCTTTTTTCTGTTCTTTGATTTAACTAGTCCTCTCATATATGAACTGCAAAAGAGCAATTACTCTGTGAGGCTAGAAAAATATTCTTAAAACCTGTGTCGCAATTTTTTAGTGTGGTTCTTATTGCATTTTACAAGAGAAATGGAATAGTAAATTTTCTTATGTAAAATGTTAGTGCTACAAAGGGGAATGCGCCGAAATAGAAAGGGGAAATCACGGGAACAAGTCTGTTCATGTGCAAATTCCTAATCCTTTTCACATGTATCGTATTATGCCTTTTCTAAGACAGAGAGTAAAAATGATCGGCTCAACAAGTTGTGAAAGATCCTGACCTTTTGGAGTTCAATTGGCTCAAACTCTTCACTTTTTGCTTTTAGATTAAAAGAGATCTGACTTATTGGTGCCAATCCATTTACCGATTTTACTGGTACTTTTATGGAATCTGGAATTTTGTGTCTGAATTAGTAGAGAGATCAATAAAAGAACATGTAAGATAATTCTCGTTTTATACGAGTCGTTCAGATAATTATTCTTTTATTAGCAGCGGTTACATCACCACCAACATCATCGCACGTCTCCCCGTGTTTTCATTCCAATGGAAAAATATAGCAAAAACTTTACTAATGGCAAAATAATACTTATTGTAAATTTTTGTATTTGCTACTCAGAGGTGATATCATGCCGTCACCTACTACAAGTTGGCGAAGAAACGAATCACAATTATCCTGATGCCGTCTACAAGATTTACCCCATAGGTTCCCAGCCAATCATGGCATACTGTGATATGTCGCGTGACGGTGGAGGATGGACACTATTGGTTACCAGTCATACTAACAGCTGGACGGCACAGAATGTGAAATTACGAAACGCGAACTCTCCGAAGTTGACTGATGATTACTCCATCCTGCAGTATGCAGACAGTATTAAAGATAATATCAAAGTAGCTGGCTCTACGTTTGAATATCGATTAGAAGCTCAGAGCCGAGGTAATTCATTATACTCAAGGAACCTTGTTCCCTTTCAAACGGGCAGGGCAGGGGTTGGCTAGCACGGCGAGTTTCCGTAGCCGCAATAACAAAGTGTGGTCAACATGAAAGTCAGAAGTCGTGTTTTTTCTAACAAATCGCCAAGTAATGATTTCAATAAAAACATTGCAGGGGAATATTCTAACAAAGAGAAAACAATTGCACGAAATGCAATTGCTTATTAACCTTTTTTTTTAAGCTAAACATTGAGGAACACAATTCTTGTCGTGATCACCAACATGGAGGATACTATGTCTCCAAAATTTTCATCACTTACACTAAATTTCTTTTTCCAAAAAGGGTAAAAGACTTAAACGAACTAAAAGGGGCTTCATCCGCCCCTTCCCACTTTCCCTTCATTTGTTGGTTACAAAGCCTATACGTCGTAAAATGTAAGGGCAAATCTCACATCACTTGACACCGTAGTGGCTCTTCGTACCCTTTTACAGTTAACACGTTTATTTGTGTTTCGGTGGAGTTTTATGCACGAGGACACTTAGAGACCATTAAACAGAATGTGAATCTAAATCATGGTCAACCCTGGAATGAATCTGAAGAAAGATGCTTTATTTTTCAGGTCGCTGGGGAGGTATCTGGAAGGCACCCAGAGGTTTTACGTTCACAGCTGACAACAACAAACAAACGGATATTGAGCTGGTCAAGAAATTTGACAATTGGAAATATTCAGACAATGGAATTGAACAAAGAATGCCATGGATTTCTGATGCCAGGTTAACTACATCCCATGATGCTCAGCGAAATTGGTGGGGTACAATAACAGGTAAATAGGCTTTACTATTATAGAATAAACAAGCAATAAACTTCCCACGCACTCTTTAAGAAATACCGAAGGCGAAGAAAATAAATTTTCTTTCATTTAATTCTGATTTTCGAGATAATCATTGATGTGTCAAGGAAAGTCTGATGAAATATGTATTTATCCTTTTACATTTAGTCTTCCTGTCAGTCGTCTAAGTTATTTTTTATGGCTTGAAAATTCTAATAACATTTATTTTACAATTTTTCGAAGGAAAACATTCCGACAACCAATGTTTTTGTAACAAAGTTTTTAACGAAAGTTTCCCACGTTTTACTTCGGGCAAAATCACCTGAAGCGAAGTGCAGCGTTAATCTTGAGGAAAAAGGAACAGATAAAATGTATGCTTTCTCATCGGATCCTTCCAAAAGATTTATTTCGGATAATGATTTGATAGTTGATATATTTTTGTAGCGGACGATATGGAATACCACCCCGCTCCATGGATCAACGGTCACCTGAAGGAGCGTCAGCCATCATATATCTGGTACTGGATGAGAGAGGGACCTCTTGAAACTCCTAGCTCATGTAAAGAAGTATACTTCAGAGGGCTCCTGACAAACCCTGTGTCAAGTAAGTCTGGTTATGGTTTACGAGGCTGAGTTGTTTAATCCAATAACTCAAAATTATTGGAATAGTTCTTTGTTCAATGTCAGAAGAAATGTTTGATTACATTGGTTGTGCTTTAATTTAGCCACAATGGCTATGATGAGTTGTGATCACCTAAATTTGTCTTCGAGCTATGAAAAAGCCACAACAGTATTTTGGTCGAAAAATTTGATTTCGATAAAAATGTTTATCGCCACTAATTTTTGTCGGTTGCCTGCTAGTTATGGTGCCCCCACGTCCAGCCTACCTCCCTTATATCCCCTTTCAACGATTCTTCTCCAAGTTTCCCTAAGACAGCTTTTCTTTCGTCGTTCGTCGGGAATCCATCGTAGGGCGACCTTAGGCAGGGCTGAGGGTGGCATTCGAAGCGCGTGGCTGATTAGTTTTCCCAAAGTTAAGTGTAACCGTGAATTTTGTTTCTTTCTTTCTTTTTCAGATGGAGTTTTCGCGATCAAACCTCCTGGACAGCATGAAGTTAAAACGTATTGCGACTTTGCGACTGAGGGAGGGCCCTGGACGCTACTCGTGACGAGTAAGACCCACAGTGGGTGGGACAAAGACAGCATCAAAGAAAGAAACTCAAAAAAACCTTCTTTACAGGATGACTATTCCATACTGGGGCTTGCAGACGCCATAAAGGACTTTGACAAAGCTCAGGTGAATCCATCGCAATGAGATGAGTTTGACTTCTTAAGGATCGAGGGTTGATTTTCGAGGACACGCTCAGTATATTTGTCGAAGGAAAATAAATGATGATGTTTCCTTACAAATTGGTGCCCATACGAAATCATCCGACTGCTTTCCCCTTCGTGGGCCAATGTCCCTTTTGAGTTGATATATGGATTTTAAAGACGTTGATATTTTCCATGGAGACGCGATCAAAGAACAGTTGTAGAGTGATTGTTGGAAGTAACCCAGGATTGCACTATAGAGCAATTTTCAAATATTTATCGCAAGAAATCCTTGATTGCTTTATGATTTGGTTCTATCAACTGAGTCAATAAAACCAAATTATCTTGTTATACTCCCCAACAGACGTAGCACCACTTTTTCTCAAGAAACGTACCCCCTTCATTGATGATCGCTTTAGCTTTGCCCCAGTCACTCGCGTTTTCCGCCAAATTGATGCCCATACGAAATCATCCAACAGCTTTTACCCCCTTTATTCATGATTGTTTTAGCTTTGCCTTAGTCACTCACGTTTTACACCATATTTTGATCATGGAAATGCAATATTTTCGATTGACACTTATGTTTGTTCTGCCTTGTCTTCAAGCAGGAATTCTTTCAATACCGAATTGAGGCAGACGGCAACAACCGCTGGGGAGGGATCTGGGAAGCACCACGTGACTATACATTCCTATCTACGTGTGACAAACAAACCAAAGTAAAAATCGTGAAGAAATTCGACTCGTGGGATGAGAACAGCAACTTGGGAAAGCGCATGCCCAGACTGGGATTATCTAACGATCTTTTATTAAGCAGTGCATCAACTGTGGATTACTCATCAGGGTCCTTGGCATATAACAGTGGCGCTAGCTCCGCCTCGTATCTGGAGCAAGAGAAGCCAAAACCGAATGTCGTTCGATACTGGATGAGAGAGGGTGCTAGGTGAACTTCAGATTTTTTTTTACGTCCAGATAGTCATTTGCAGATTATTTTGAGTAGCATATGTCTTAAGTTAAGGCTGTGGCCGTGTTGTAAACGTACACTCTTTTTTGCCAGTCATTCAATGACAAGGAGAAATTCGAATTTTCAACATTATCAAGGACAGATATAAGTATCACGTTATATTCACTGATCAGTATAAGAGTTATATTGGTAGATCTCTTCCTTACAAAGTTTTCCTTGTTGAAAAAGACTTTTGCCATAAAATTAGATATTTATATGTAATTTCCCTAATTTCTCTGGAAGAATAGCAAACCATTGCTTTGTGAAACAAGTAGTTGTTCAGCATTCACAAAAACGTTTGTATCTTGATGAAACACCAAATTATCGTGGGCGTAGATTTACCTTTGCAACGATGACCTTTAAAAAAATTGATTGCCCTCGTTAAAAGTGCACGAGTTGTGCACCTTTAAGTTTTTCACCTTTGATTCTTTCACTTCTATAATTTAGACTCGTTCCTCTTTCAACAGGCTATCTTGTAACGATTTGAAATTACATGGAGTGAGAGCTGGTATCAAGTATGACGATAGTTTTCAACTGTTAAAAACCAGTGATACCCAGTACCTCCCGGTCTACTGTGATATGACAACAGCAAAAGGAGCTTTCACTCTTATTGTGACGAGTGCTCACAATAGCTGGACTCGAGCACAGGTCCCTCACAGGTAGTAATGGATAACATTTGCCCCTCCTCAACCAATGAGATGAAAGGCTAAAGCCAAAAGTGACTTGGTCAATGCTCTTCGATCGCAAAAAGATGAAATAATGACAAGAAGACTGATAACAATAATTATACAATAATGTTGGTAATGGTATTAATAATACTAATGACAAAAAAATGAAAATTATGATTACAATGGCAAGACATTTTTTGTTTAGTTTTCAAACTATTTACATAATAAATATCAACGATTGCGTTTTTATGCTGTGTCCAGTCCTGAAAAAAATATGTTTTAAAATATGTTTAGCCGGGTTTGTGCAAGGACGTTACCTTATGGAGAAAGTAAAGTTATGTGAATAGTTATTAAAGCGATCACGGTTTGTTGATAGATATTTCTGTCATTTCTAGAAATGCCCTTCATCCAGGACTGAATCGAGACTACTCCATCCTAGACTTAGCAGACAGTATTAAAAGCCTGAACAACAATGGAACATTCCAGTACATGCTGGATGCTCATTCTAGACGCCATTGGGGAGGGATTTTTGAAGCTCCTACATCTTACAGGTGGGAAAACAGGAAAGAGAATGATGATTCTTATTCTAAGACAAAGGTCATAACTTTATTCCATCCGCAGTATACAAGATCAGTGGTTAAAGTAAACTAGCTAATAACTGTATGTAGCAAGAAACGAGGTGCACTTTTTGTAGATGCATAATTTGAATAAGGCTTTCTTTTCTCCCGATAAAATGAGGGTACGTCTTGAAAAATGGATGTTTTAAAATCGTTCTTTACATTATTCGAAATAACTCACTTGTTGATAGCTTTACTCTACCATTGGTGGTGACTGTAAAACTTTATTCAAATATTTTAAAAATTCACATTACTTCACATCCAGGATGACCCAACGTATTCTACAGCAAGTTTATATATGATAGTCATGATTGTTAAGCTCTATCACTCGCGACGGCTGCAGCAACGTTCTGCTTGAAAAAAAGGTGCTGCATTAAACAAAATAATGTATAGTGTACAATATACGAGTACCGTAGGCGGGATACATCTGGTTATTGTGGCTTATGATAGCGTCGTTGGACAGCCTTCAGGCGGAGTTACAAAGTGAAATCAACTGATTCATTTGTTCGGTTATTCATTAATCTGTTACGTGATTCGTAAAGAGCCTTTAATGGTTTAATTAATTGATCTCTGAACTCTCTTACTCGACCACTCACTCACGTGCCCGTACGTACGCGAACGCTTGAACGCACGCATACACCCACCCACCCGTTAGCTCGCTCATTCACTCACACACTAACTAGTTCGATTCTTCTGTGCTTATTGAAGCTTCATGGCATCGGATAATTCGCAAACCAACGTCGAATTAACGAGGAAATTTGACGATTGGAAGTTTTCCTGGTGGAAGTCGTTAAACAAGAGAATGCCGTGGTTTGACGCCAAAGGAACTGAGAAAAAGGCTCTGCTGACCACATCCAGCAGCACGACCTACTACCCGTCGGGTTCGATCATTTGGGGAGGCTCGGACCGGTATCCGTCCGATTGGATCGGGTATGGGGGAATGCAAAATCCAGGAGTGATCTGGTACTGGTTAAATGAGGATGATTGTGACGAGGAGAGAAAACCAGGTATTGACGTAAACGCAGGGAATTATCCTAAATTTGATTACAACAAACTGGGTCAGTTCGGTATGAACAATCACTACTCCACACTGTTTCTACATTTTACAATTTTGTTTTGCTTATGTGGTTCTGCTTGGGTTCTTAGATCTCCCCTTTTGTGACCGGCTCACCAGCTGGCCCGAATAGCGAGGCGAATTTTTTCTTCTGTTGTTATGGGAAATGTCAGCTAGGTGTAGCAAGAGGCAATTTTACCCCAGTCACAGGTCGTATGAGGAATTTCAGCCCGCAATCGATAGCCAAGATTAACAAGGCGAGACCCTCTATAGCAAGCGGGGTTAAGTATTTCCTAATGGTGACAATGTAAGCCCATTTATAGAGACCTTGGAATCAAAAACCGAGATCACGACATCCGGGCTTTGCTTGCTCTCATAAAAAACACTAAGCAAATTTTTGAACGGAAACAATGTTGAATCTAGATCTTAAACACCGAGCCCGCGAAATGCAGGCGAGAAATTTTCCATACAAACACTTTAGCCTGATTAACTAGATAAGTGAATAGGATTGCGCCTAACTAGTCTTAAGGTATTGGTAAGCCTTTTTTATCCTTTTAGAGTCATGCGCTAATTACAAATGCAATAGTAATCCTCGTGAAATAAGTTTTTGGATTTCTCAAGATCTTAATTTTGTTTGAAAAATTTTCTTCTATCCCGTTGTATTTGTTGAACATTTGTATTGGTATTCAGTGGATGGCGGACTAACCGAGTGGGGTGAATGGGGAAACTGTGACAAATTGTGCGAGCCTGGTAAGCAGCGAAGGTACAGAACATGTACAAACCCCAAACGACGTTGCGGTGGAAAACTGTGTGATCCAAACATTCAGACAAAGCATGAAAGAGACTGCATGTCTTGCCCTGGTAAGTTATTATACCTGATTATACCTGATAGCATATTGACCAAGCTAGGCACATCGAAGTGACGATTTGATGTATTTCTTTAGAGAGCGGAATACGAAGTTACGGTGACTTCTGTGTGGCCCCAAATAAAGGAGGTTGTTCCCCTCCTGACGGCAGTTATCTCATCTTCACCAAAAAGGAAGGCACGGCTTGTAATGCAACCGATCAGATTTTTGTTCTCGACCAGGATGGAGTTATTTATCATAAGTGCAGCAAGAGGGAAGTTTGTCCACAAGGTAATAGTTTTCTTGTTTTACACTTTCTACACTTTGTTGTTTTTGGTATAATTTATGAACGGTATCTGAATTCTTATTGACTACTTTCGTTGTTTTTGTTTCTGTTTTTTAAGGGCTATGATTAACAGCAAAATTTCAGCAGTGAACCCTAACATTTTCTTAGTAAACACCAACATTCCGAAGGTGTTATTCCCCTTTCCAGCCTTGACCCATTAAAATTCTCCTTCTTCGAGGATAGATCACTTTGCCCGTGTACCAACATTTCTAGGGAATGAAATATTAAAATTGCCAGTGGAAAAAACTCTTTTGTCGAAGATGGTTTGTCTCGATGGAAACTTCTTGGAAAAATTTGAACCCAGATTTGTAAGTTCGTCACACACAATCCGTTGTTTGAGACTCGAACTTTGTTTGTCTGTTTTTCCCTCTTATTTTTGGCAGACAATAACCCTACTTATGGAAAGAAACTTATGTTAAAGGATAAATGCGATCTGAGCATTTCAAGGCATGTCAGGTATGTTGTAGATGCAAAGGTTGTTACCTAATGACATAATTTTTGCCTTATATTTATCCTAATTCATACAATTCCTCTCGTGATAATTCATATGGCAACTTTTGCCTAATGTTTAAAGCTAATTCATACTATCCCTCTCATGATAATTCACATGACAACTTTTGCCTCATATTTTAACCTAATTCATACTATTTCTGTCGTGATAATTCACACGACAACTTTTGCCTCATATTTTAACCTAATTCATATAATTCCATTCGTGCTAATTCTTTCTCTTCCAATTACACCATTTATCAACGCCTTGAGTCATCTGCTTTCCAATATGTATCAGGAAGTTGCACGTTTCTCTTTAAAACCTAAATAGCATTCCAAGCATTTTCACACCGACAACACCAAATTCTTTACGGGTCTTTTCCTACACAAGACAAAAACACCTTTGTGTTCATGACTTCCTTTGTGCGGTTAATATCTCGTGGTGAAAAAATCGGTTTTATTAATTGATATTCCAGTTAAAGTATATCTCTTTTCGTGGAGAATAATGGTTTACTCCTACATAGTATTTTGATCACTTCAGGTTGCCGACACACAATAACCTGAAGAATTTGAAGAACAATTTCTGTGTTCATCCAAACGGTGGATGGCCTGGGGAGGGAGTGCAGTTGGTGTACTGGCCAGGGTGTGGCGAAGAAAGATTGAAGCTCAACTTCTTTGAACTTGGTAAGACAAATTTCAGTGACCCCTGATGAAGGCACTAGAGTGTCAAAACGTTGGTCTGTGAATTGTAACTTCCCTGTTACATTCATAAACATTTTTAAAGCCGAGTAGCATAAAATCATGTCTGATTGTCCACCTGGTTGCCATGTGAACTTTAATATATCTTATTTGCGAGAAATATATTGTCAAACTGGTGTTATAAGGGTCAACCGGCTCGCGAACATCAGAGTCTGCATTGTTAAGTATCACTGTCATTTGTATTTCAATCACCGATTCAATGAATATAATGTGTTTCCATCGAGTTTGAGATTTCGATCTCCTGTGCAGAGTGCTAAGGGATACAAGTTTTCACCCCTGATAAAGGCACTAGACAGGACTTTCGAAGCGTTGGTTGGTTCTATGAATTGTAACTTCTCGGTTACATTCATTAAATCTTTAAACCAGAGTAGCATCACACCATGTCAAATAGATATGAAAAAACAATTTTACCGAACTTACGACGCTAAGAAAGAGAAAATTGGAAACGTTTAAGAGCGCTTTTAATATGAGTGTCGCCAAACCAAAAACATCACAATATGCAATTAGAATAAAGGAGAATAGAGCAAGGAGCCAATAGGAACGCACCAAGTGAATACACGAGACGGGCCAAAAGTGCAAGAAAGAACACGTGACTGTGTGGATTGCAGTTTTACACTAGCCGCGGATAGCATTGACGTCCGAAAAATTCTGATAAGTGTTCGTTTTTCATTTTTCTTGCAGGTGTCCCTACTGCCTGAATTCCAGTGCGGAGAAATATTTATTGGCGTACTTATATTATCATGGTTATATTATACCAATAGCTGTGAAAGCTGCGGCAAACTTGAAGATAGATAATAAAGGCTTAAGTTGCATTGTTTGCTGTATGAATATTGATTTTGCTGAAAGCAAAAAAATGTTACTGCAAGTCATACCTACTCTTAATAAGCTACTGTGGTTCATTTTGAGAGAGCTGAAAAACGACTGCGCCTTTGTCTTCTGGTGCGGTAGGAAACTGGGAATGACAACACAAAGCCATAGCAACGCTGCATGAGATGGCGGAACGCTCAGTTGGAGTATTAGCGAAGGGGTGGGTAAAAATTGCTACGCTGGAAACTTTCTCTAAACGCCTGTCGATAATCGTTGTATAACAAATCTTTTGCACATTCCACTTATACTCATGCACACATCAATCGAAGTTTTATCTCGAGCAGATTTTGCGCCGTGAAAATGAAACAGATATTTACGGTAATAAGGTCCAAAACATTTCATTTTAACGTGTATTGAAATGTCCTATCCAGAGAAAATAAATCCAATCATGGGAACCCAACGTTTTTTTGATTCAATTGACAGTGTTTGTGCAAAGAACGTTAAGTGTGCTAGATCTACAAATGATCAAATCGTTTGGAGGAGCCAACCTACAATTCAGATCTTAGGGAATGGTCTAAACTCATGTTGTGGGGTGACAAGATGAACTAAATTTTGTTGCCGTTACACTGCACGATTACTAGTCACGTTTCCATCACACACTCGGGGTATCCGCCGAAGTTTCGATTCGCCATAAGCTTGTCCACGACACCTATGTTTTTGCCTATCCCTTTTGCTGCAAATGAAAAAGTGGCTCCGAAGTAGAACAAACTCGTAGACCCAAAAGATCAGCAGATAATCGAATTTTCCACAAAGCATGCTAATATGTAGCTTGGCTTTCAGTTTGGTTCTTTTGAAGTGTCCAATTGTGTTAGGCATGCTTGGGTGAAAAGCACAATGGTGGTATTGGCGTTTTGCAAAGTCTTCGTGTGATAATGCAGTGTTTTTCTTATCATCTTTATGATGCTGCGGTAGCCGGGAATAATCAATGCCCCCTTCTTTGCGATTTTATGACAACGAGAAAAGGTTAAGGATGGTTGAAATTTCGGCAACAACATTTATCCTCAAAATGTACAGAGAGCCAAAGACTCGTCCCATATCCTGATCTTTTTAGTTACCGTGGTGACGGGATAATTTTAAAAGGTAAGAGACCAAAACCCATTTCAAGAAACCGTTATTTCTTTTAATAATAAGCGAGTTTTTTGCGGCATTTTCGAAAATTTCAGCGTTTTTTGATAAAAAACTTTACAATTATCATGCTAGTTCGTGCTTGGCTTTTCGAAAGGGAATTACTAAAGATGAATATTATACTTTTAAATGGCTAATAATTAGGCGATTTGAGAGAAGATTTAGAGCAAATTGAGATGCCTTTTCTCGCAGTTCGATAGCGCACTAGCATGCTATTATGCAACACCATAAATTTGACAGATTTTTTTTAAACCAAGTACACTTAAATCGATTTGCATGTAGAAAAAAACGCAAAATTTTCTTAGCTTCATGGTAACATATGCTAATTAACTTTTACTCCAAATATTTTCAGTAATACTTCTCTGAGTTTATAATGTTTCGACCGAATTAAACATCTAAGTCTTCTAAAAATCCCTTCTCCTCAATATGGTTTAAATATCTAAAGCTGCGCTGTGAAAATAGAATTTTCTGTAAACAATTAAGTTGCATGATCAACTGAATATTGATTATACTCGGAGTGTGAGGGTGTACCTGACACTTAAGAAACATTTTCTAAACACAATGCTACATTTTCATACTTAATAACTAAATAATAAGCTCTGCTTTTGCATTAAAAGCCGTAGACGCGACTAGATATTGCACTCACCGGACTTGAAATTGTTTTAGTTTCTCTCTTTTTCGAGTAGACAGACCTCTATATCACCTCACCTTGCTCCTTTGGCCTCTACCAGCTGTAGCAATAAAATTAGGAATTCAACTTATATTATTTGTTTTTTTTTTCGGCAAACAGGAAGAAATCATGATTAGGCGAGGGTAGCCGGTTCTCTGATTATTTGCACGTTGTGGCTGCGTTTACTCTACAGCAGTTCACATTATGCTGGTAGGTATTTTTTCACTCTTCAGTTTCCCTTACTTCAAATGAATTGGACATAAGCTTTCAACGTAAAGTCTTCAGATTTTAGGCATCTTTTCCCGTTTTTGTTCCTCGACTTCAAATAAATCAAACGTTGCAATTGCCTTTCGACTCTTTTACTCTGCAGCAGTTCACATTATGTAGGTAGTGATTTTTTTTTCACTTTTCATGATCAGTTACACTTACTTCAAATGAATTGGACATAAGCTTTCTCATATCAAACTCACGGGGTACAAATAGTCTTAACATGAATATAGTGACCACGCCCACTTCAACGCCCCACTCAAATCGAGTGTAATTTTCGAACATTTTACCATCGTGCGGATTCTCTACGGAAAAAGCACTCAATCTACCTCTGAAATATTAAACTATAATATTGTGGCTTTCTATTTCACTAATTTTCTAACTTGAAGGTGAAGTTTTTCCCTCGTCATTTTAACCTTTTCTCCGAGCGGTTGCGTGAAATTAACAAGGCGTTTTTGTTCAAAACACAACCGAGCGAAGCGTCTCAGGCGATATCCCTTTTACGCAAGCGCAATTTAAAAATGTACCGCTAGAATCAAAAAGAGGAACAAATTTCCTTTGTTTTGATGTGTAAAGCGTCGAACAAAAAGCAGATTTACCCTCGTCAAATGGCGTTTCAAAACAGCTGTATCTTCCTCCTTTTGATTTTTTCCTGTTTGGTGAGCGTGAAAGCAGTAGGAGAGGGATCGGGAAACTCAGAAAGCACTTCGGGAATTAATCTGCCACTGTTTACTTACGAGATAAACAAGTAAGATTTGTGAAGTTCATCGCAGTATGAAGTCTAAATAAATGCCTTTTTTAAGCTTGTTCGCTGGATTTTTCGTAAACTTCCCTGATTAATTTTTCGTTTCAGCTTACTAATCTATACTATTTCAAAGCAAAGAAGTTTTCAGAGAAAACCATGAGTCGGTCATTTCAATAATTGTAAACAAAATGTTTGAGCAATCAGGTATACGAGGTATAATAATAGCCATATATCAGAAGTCTTCAGAAAGAAAATATTCTGTTTTCAGAAAGCTGTCAAGAAAGCTAGTAATCGTGGCAATTAAATGCACTTCTTAGCAATTTGGAAACGGGCCCTCGGTATCGATTTAAGGTGTATTACAACGAGGTTGATGTACATCAGCTTAAAGATGAGAACAGCCAGTTGAGGGGAGAAAAAATAAAATTAGAAGAATCGTTGGTACAGGAGAAGGCAAAGCGATTGCGAGTGGATAAAAAAGCCCGAGAAGCTCTCGAGAAAGCTGAGAAGAAAGGGGCCTTCTACAATAAAAAATTTATTCAGTTGGCCAAAAAAGTGATTACAAATGGGAAAAAAGGTAGAGGCCCAGCTAAGAAGAAGTTTGATGACTATTCTAAGCACCATCAAAATAGAATTAAAAACCAACTGAAGGAGGAGTGCCAAACTACACTCTCCTTTCTTAGGCTGTACAAATTGAAGTCCTCAAGACTGAGACTAATCAATATGAAACTTTCAATCTTGTTGGAGAGGGAGAGCTGCCATTTACAGAGTCTGGCCCAAAGGCCCTTAATAATGATGACATTGATAACATAAATATGTGGCTTTACCTCAAAGATAAATTCATTATTTCAAACGAGGCCTGGCATGAAATTGCCATTAAGGCTAATGATCCCCCCAATATATATTCCATCAAGAAGCGAATTAATGAGCTAAACAGTGATTGGAACTTGAAACCAACACCAGGAGATGCTGAAGGTGTTCAGTTAGGATTTGCAGAAAGCTTGCAAAAGCACATTGTTAAGCTTCAGAAGAATGGAGAAATCAATGATGGAGAAACTATTAAGATCAAGCTTAGTGGTGATGGTACAAATATTGGAAAGGGGCTTACAGTTGTCAACTTCACTTTTACTATTCTCCATGAAAAGGATGTGGTAATGGGTGTGAAGGGAAATTATATACTTGCTGTTATAAAAACTACAGAGACATGATAATCTGAGAGACAGCCTAGCAGACCTTGGAATGGAAATGTCCAACTTAAAGGAGATAAGTGCAAATTATTGCACCTATAAAATTGAATACTTTTTACGTGGATATTTGAAATTTTTAGCACTGGTATGTGGTTTAGGCAGGGCAAATGAGGATTATGCTTGTGTGTGGTGCAAGTGTCCCAGGGAGCAAGGGTGGGACACATCAAGACATGGTCAATTAATGACCCCAAATTTGGTGCTAGAACTGTCACCAAAATAGTAAGGTTTTCCACAGGAAGGAAATTAAACTGTAAGGCACAACCATTATTTGGTTTTATATCTATGGACCTTGTCATCATAGATACATTACATTTTTTCTGAGGATTTCAGATGTTTTGATTAACTTGTTCATAAGAGAGCTGAGAAGAAGTGATGCTATTGAGAAAAAAAAAACCTCTGATGGATTCCCAAGAGATAAATATAAACACATGGCATGTTATGAAGAATTTATCAAAAGTATGGGAATCACTTTTAATTTTAGAATCAACAAAGAGAGCAAAAAGCTGGAATATAGAGATCTTACTGAACCTATGCTTGTCCCTCTTTGCAGTCAAAACAAAGACATACAAGTGATCTGGGCTAAATTTATGGACATAATTGGTGATTTGAGGCTAGATTTTACATCTGAAGAGGGTATTCTTGAACTGCAAAGAAATATCAAATCATGGTTTGAGCACTTTCTCAAAGTTTACCAAGCAAAAGATGTCACTCCCTATATGCATGCACTATGTTATCATGTTCCTGAGTTCCTGTCACTTTATCAGAACATAGCATATTACACACAGCAAGGCTTGGAAAAATACAATAATAGAGCTTCTAAAGATTTCTTCAGATCCATAATTCACAAAGGGGTTGATGCCCTCAAACAACTGTTTCTGAAGAAAAACAGGATTCAGTTCCTGGAGGCAGCAGGTTATGAAAGGGTTTAAGAACACCTACAACGATGAGCTTGTATTCAATGATTGGACTTCTTTGTGCCAGCCAATACTTAATAGTTCTTGGAATTACATAGGCAAAATCTCCAGCTACATTTAAAATTCTTTGATCTCACTTCAGCCCCAGATATGAATCAAGCACCCTATTTGACTCCAATTGGTAAACCATCTTCCCTCTTTGAAGAACGCCGGGCAAAACACTCCCAAGACCTTCCATGAAAACATCTTGGTCAATATTAAGGTCTATGTTTATATCAGGGTCCTCTCGCCGTCTAGACCAAAGCTTTCTCTTTATTTCACGAGCAAGTTGGCCATGGAACGATTCTTTTCTATCCTCTAGAGAGTTTTTCGAGGGAATGAACAGCTTTTCGCTGCGAACAAACGGAAAATATCCAGATCCTCTATCGGCCCTGAAGGGTGTCCATTTATCGAAGCATGTGCTATAGCCAACGTAATGAATTTTCAACCTCTCTTGTTGATTTTGTCAACCTCCCTGATCTCAATATCATACAGTTTTGTATCTTTCTATCGTGGATTCGCCTTTCTAACGGGGGTTTATGTTAAGTATTTGTTGCAAAATCGCTTTGCTTTTTTTATTTCCCTCTTTAGCCTGTCCGCCATGGTCGCGTACACCTGGAACCGAGAAAAACAAATGTGCGTCGCGCTGGGGAAAGAGTTTGATATGTATGATCTTAGGCGTCATCTCACGGTTTCTTTCTTCAACTTGAAATGAGTCAAAAGTAACCTTTCAACGGGAGGGATTTTAAATCCTCTCAAGAAATTATTTTAATCTTCAGATGTGCATTACGACGATGATTACCACCTCACACTTCCAAACCGTGTGGATGGCAGACGGGAAAAGAGAGATCTTTTGACCTCTGAAAAGGTTCTCCCTTCAACAAATTTTATTCATTTTTTTTTTTTTTTGAAATTTCGGTGCAATTTTCAGTATAGTAATTTTGAACTGAGTTCTATTAATCGGACGGCTTTTGCCTTTTGCGTGACAATGACATCGATAGATAGGAGCTTTGATAATTGATAATTGTGAAATAGATGTGTCTGATCGGTCTTCAATGAATTACCGAGTGATTTGCATGTGTGCATGAGTATAAGTGGAATGTGGAAAAGATTTGTTATATAACGATTATCGACAGGCCTTTAAAGAAAGTTTCCGGTGTAACACTTTTTACCCGATCCTTCGCGCTGTCTAATACTGAACATTCCACCTGCATGAGATGGCGGAATGTTCAGTTTACCCCCTCCTTCGCGCTGTCTAATACTTTAACTGAACATTCCGCCATCTGTTGTTATTCCTAGTTTCCTACCACACCAGAAGACGAAAGCGCAGTTGTTTCTCAACTCTCTCAAAATACACCACAGTGGCTTATTAAGAGTAGATGGGACTTGCTCTAAAATTTTTTGCTTTCAGCAAAATCAATATTCAGAAAACATCGCAATTTGAGCCTTTATTATCTATCTTCAAGTTTGCAGAAGCTTCCATAGCAATTGGTATGATATTACTATGCTAATATAACTACGCGAATAAATATTTCTCCAGACTGAGATTCAGGCAGTTGATGTACCTGCAAGGAAAATGAAAATAAAGACTAATCAGAATTTTTCGGATGTCAGTACTATCCACGGCTGATGAAAACTGCAATCCACACTCAGTCACTAGCACTTTTCTGTACGGTAGGCCCCTCCTGTGTATTCGTTCCCATGGGCTCCTTGCTCTTTTCTCCTTTGTTCTCATTGCATATCGTGGCGTCACTCAAAGCAAAAACACTCTTAAACGTATACCATTTTCTTTTTTCTCAATCTTTTTTTTGTTTTCTTCATCTCTATCATATTTATTCCCCCACGGGAAACAAAGAACTCACTGAAAATTGACATGGTTTGATACTATTCTGATTTAAAGATTTAACTGACTGTCACTAAGAGGCTACAATTCTTAGACCCAACGATTCGACACTCCTGTCTAGTACTTTCATCAGGGGTGAAAGCCTGTATCCCTTAGGACTCCGCACAGGAGGCCGAGATCTCAAGCTCGATGGAGCACAATGATTTCATTGCATCGGTGATTGAAATACAAATGACAGCGGTACTTAGCAATGCGGACTCTGTTGTTCGCGAGCCGGTTGACCCTTGTACCACTAGATTGACTATAACTTTCTTATAAATAAGATATATTAAAGTTCACACGGCAACCAGGTGGACAATCGGACATGATTTGGTGCTACTCTGCTTTAAAGATTTAATGAATGTAACCGAGAAGTTACAATTCATAGACCAACGTTTCGACACTTCTGTCTGGTGCCTTCATCAGAAGTCCCTGAAATTTGTCTTACCAAGCTCAAAGAAGTTGAGCTTCAATCTTTCTTCGCCACACCCTGGCCAGTATACCAACTGTACTCCCTTCCTAGGCCATCCACCGTCTGGATGAACACAGAAATTGTTCTTCAAATTCTTCAGGTTATTCTGTGTCGGCAACCTAAAGTGACCAAAAAACTATGTATGAGTAAACCATTATTCTCCACGAAAAGGGACGTATTTTAACTGGAATATGAATAACTAAAACTAATTTGACGATTTCATCACGTCATTTTCGAGATATTAACCAAACAAAGGAAGTCAGGAACTCAAAGGTGCTCTAAGACCCGTAAAGAATTTGATGTTGTCGGTATGAAAATGCATGGAATGCTATTTAGGTTTTTAAAGAGAAACGTGCAACTTCCTGATACATATTGGAAAGCAGATGACTCAAAGCGGAGGAGAAAGAATTAGCACGAAAGGAAAGGTATATATTAGGTTAAAATGTGAGGCATAACTTGTCATTCTGAATTTCCACGAGAGGAATAGTATAAATTAGGTTAAAATATGAGGCAAAAATCATGTCATTATGCTGCAGCTTTTACATTTACAACATACCTGACATGCCTTGAAATATTTAGATGGCATTCATCTTTTAACATAAGTTTCTTTCCCTTGGTAGGGTTATTGTCTACGAAAAAAAAGGGGGAAAAAACAGACAAACAAAGTTCGAGTCTCATAAAACGGATTTTAAATGACGAACTTACGAATCTGTGTTCAATTTCTACAAGAAGTGTAAATCGAGACGAACGATGTTTTTCTCACTTGAAATTTTAATATCTTCTCTCCCTAGAAATGTTGGTACACATGCAAAGTAATCCATCCCCGAGAAAGGAGAATTTTAATGGGTCAAGCCTGGAAGGGGTGTAACAACTCAGGGATGTTGGTGTTAACTGAGAAATGTAAGAGCATCACTCTAAAATTTTGCCGATGATCGTAGCTCGTAAAAAACAGAAACAAAAACAAAAACGACGACAACTGACTACGAAAATAGTCAATAACAATTCAGATACCATTCATAAATAAATAAATAATTCCAGAAACAACAACACTTAGGGCACAAAGTAAAACAAGAAAATTGTTAACCTGTGGACAAACTTTTTTCGTGCTGCACTTGTGATAAATAACTCCATCCTGGTCGAGAAGAAAAATTTGATCGGTTGCATTACAAGCCGTGCCGTCCTTTTTGGTGAAGATGAGATAACTGCCGTCAGGAGGGGAACAACCTCTTTTATTAGGCGCCACACAGAAGTCACCGTAACTTCGTATTCCGCTCTCTAAAGAAGCACATCAAATACTCACTTCAATGTACCTTGGTCAATACGCTATCTAAAAATGCCATCACAGTGTTAACAGTATAGGGCCTGATGTTGCAACCATGAAAACAAAATAAAATAAAATGAAGCGGCCTGATTTTCACGATGAATTATTGTTTTGACTTACGTATTCACAAAAAATGTACATGATCAATGTTGGCTTTACCCCTCTAATCAAATTTAACCAACATAACAAAGCTGTGAAAAATGAGATGTTGTCTTCATCTCTTTAATAATTTATTCCCTCACGGTAAACGAAAACCTCACTGAAATTTGCCTTTTAAAAAGAGGCTTCTTAGCTTAGTAGTACCGCCCAACTAAAGCATGCCCAGTTGCACCACACATTTAGCCACAGAGTTGCTCGTTCGAGTTCGAAACGCGTTGCAGCTGGAAAGAGAAAACTGAACTTTCTGACTTCATGCCAGGTCGGGCTATTCTTTTGATCTAAATATTTCCCCCAAATTTTTTCAACCGAAGTTTTTGTTGACAGCTTCCAGACATCTCAACACAACGCTACGCAATCATCTAGAAAACAATGACTCGAGTATGGTGAATCTAAAGCGCGGGTCGCCTCCATGCGAGAAACTCTTACTTTTTTAGCTTTTTATCAGCATATTGAACATTTAAGTTTAGCTCTGGCATTTTATTTTGCAAATTCCACAATATACAGCAGAGAAAACGATGGATTTTCAAAATACCTCCTCGTTCGCAGTGAGTTCCGAAAAATCCAGGTTCACAGTTACAGTGATAGGAGTTCAGTTCATAGTCAGTAATACAGCCAGCACTGTTCTTACAAGGAGCGCTTTCGCATGGAGACTGCAAAAAGAAGAAAAATCCCTTTTCAGTTGAATTCTTAAATTTATTCTTAAATTGGCCCGTCCTATATTACTCACCCACGGTCTGTGATGATGGAAAGTATCATTTGCAAGGAAGTGTTTAGCCGCTTTGTACTTGTCAGTAGCCAACAATTCACACAGATGAAGACCTTTGGAGTCAGGATACACTGCTAAGTTCAACGAATAACACTTTATTTCTTCAAGACAACGAAAAATGCACTCTAACTCATTTTCCACCACGACGGATGTAAGTTTTTCAGCCTGTAAGCAGTGAAAGGCATCGCGCCTGAAATTGCCATAAGAAATGTGGCTTGTTGGACTTCGATGAAGAATGCTAGCTTGCATTGCAATCATTAGTTCTAACAAAGAAGGAAAAAACAACCAGATTGGAAGTAGCAGCATGATAGTGACCCTTGGACTGTCACCACTTGAAAGTGTTGTAGTGTGTTACAGAGTAAATGCTATCTCTCATGGAGCAGGTGCAGCGCTTGGGTTGAGTTGTCAAATGCAACGGGAATTTCAAAAGATTCATCTCGTGTGGATATCAAAATAAAATTTCAACAAATAAAATTCAATAGTGCTTCAACTGAAAGGAAACAAAGAGGCCATAAACACAAGAATGCCAAAGAGCGGCGACTAATAACAGTCTGAAACCGATGATATGTCATGAAATGAATACACAGCTCTGCGGGACGTAATCAAATGCTCTGCTACATCTGCAAATAGAAGCTTTCTGTTACCTGTCACGTCCATCAAGGTGACTCATCTCGGCTTCATCCAAAATTTTTGACACGTACCCAAGAATTTTGAACCTTAGCGAGATATTAGCTAGTCTCTGAAAAATTGTTGATGGTTAGAAGAGAAGGCTGCTGAGGATACGGGTTTTGTTTTGTATTTTGCAATTCTAATCAGGAATACGTGTAACCATATATATTAAAAGAAATACATATATATTTGCATATGTGTGTGTGTGTGTAGTCCTCGTATGACATTATGAATAAAATATTTTCCTTTACAAACTCCTCAGATTGAAAAAGCAGGTTCTTTCTTTTGTTTTGAGTTATCTCCCGTTATTATTGCCAAAATTAATATTTATTAAAACGTAAATCGATAAGTTTTACTTATCCATAAATGAAACTTTCTTATAGCAGTAACGAAGAGGTTATAAACTGCTTACATTTCTTGAAGTAATTTAGCAGCTAAGGACTTTTTTTAACTGAAAACTAGACACATAACGTCATCACTTCTGCCCATGTTCCGTCCATATCCTTTATACCTGTCATTTATAATTAAAGCAACGATGTTTTTCACATACGTTTTTGGGATCTTTATGATCCTTTATGCATAAGTTTTTCTCGATCACAATGTTGCCTCAAAGCCAAGTACAGAAGAGAAAAAATAACTAAAAAGAAAGGTATTAGAAATAAACCAGACAAAACAATAGAACATACCGAAAATAACAATTCTCAGGGTGGCCGGAATGATAATATGCCATTATGAATATGATTCTGGTAATTTGAGCATGGGCTCAAATGACAAACTTATTAGAGGGGTCTTCGTAGGTGGAATTTAAAAATAATTCGAGATATATTTTCTTCGCTATTCGAACTCAAAATATTGCAATAAAAGTTTTGCAAAAGGAGGAAAAGTAATTTACGTCGATGGTAATTACTAACTACCAATTGCGTGCAGTCAAGTGTGGCAGAGCAATTTCGCGTGATGCCTGATGCGATTTTTTTTTATTTTTGTTTGTTTATTTTTTTTTATTTTTAGGCAGAAAATTAGGATTATATAATTCCAATCATTTATACAAAAGTGAACCTCTTGCGGATGGAAGAAACTCTTGAAACCAGCCAGCAGCTTATTGTCTTCTATGGTCTATACTGTGTGTGATACAAGGATTTCCAGCCCTGAGAAAGCCGTAAAAATAATTGGATACTTTTTCTCGTGTGGTTGATATCGCCAATCAGCTGCTTTCAGGTTGATGACTGACAGGCAGAGCCTACATCATTCGCAATGCAATAATTTTTACGGATTAAGACTAATAAAACACTGAAAAATCCATATTGCTTACAGACAGTGACGTTGAAACTTTCCTAGAAGGGAATAAAAAAAGAAAAACCAGAAATTACGTATTCAGTGGCTTTGGTAATGGCATTTCTCGCGGCTGAGAGCGAAAATCGATAACTGGAAGATTTGCTACAGGCCGATTTTGGCCGTGTACCTGAGAGATTTCTTTTCTTGGTAAGGACCAAGAGAATTCTGTCTATTGAAAAGTAGGCCCATTGTTTGTTTTTGTAGTGATTCAACGCATGTGTTCATCTTGAGTGCGCCGACGCACTTTCCGATCTTTATGTGGGGATTCTCGATCCTTTTATTTTCATTTATAATGGAGTCGACTTTTCTTGTCAATAAAGGGCTATTGTTTCTATATGATAAAGAAAATAATACATGGTTACTTTTAGATACGGAATTTCTTTTCTCGTGTTCAACTCGACATCTCCCTCGTTCGCTTTGAGATGTCACAAGCGGGGCAAAATTACTCAATGCTGATTGGCTGGGACAGGGAGCATTGTTTTTTAATAACAGGGTCACTTTTGGTAATCGACTCAAGCAATTTTGGGAAAACTTTGCAAATACGCGAGAAAGAAATCCTTAATTGCACTCGGGCCCTGCGATTGCATATAGAAAGCAAGTCTTGACACCACGAACGCCTTATCCAAAAAGCGAAGGCAAAATCGAAAGTAAGTGCAGTGACGACGTATTGCAAAAGTCAGAGGAGCTGTCAGATTGAATTATGCGCCTTAAGTGGAACTTTCGTTTCATGCCACGCGCAGTTTTACCTTGGTATGGCCAGTTGACATTTTGAAATACATGTTTAATTTTGCATTTTATTGAAATATTCAAGTTTTGATCTCTGCTTGGATATTTATTAATTAACTTGTGGATCGGGGTAAGTTACACTTGAATTACCATCTTGAGAGTTTCTGCTTTTTAAATTTGTAGAGTCTTTGTAATGCGTAACAGGAAGCCTTCACATCTTGCCAGGAATAATTAAGTTCCTTAGTGGAAAGATCTCAACAATTCTTAAATAATCTTCCTTGCCGTAAGTAATTAAAGGGAGGGGCGGTGATTTTTTCATTCAAGATTTTCTCAGAAAAGTGCTGGATTTCTATGACAGGAATTATTTTTTCTGAAGAGCGCATTTTAATACACGTTAATATAAGATGTTGTGGACCTTATCGCTGTAAATGTTTGTTTCTTTTTTGCGGCACAAAATCTGTTTGAGATAAAACTTCGATTGGTGTGTGCATATGTAAAAGATTTGTTTTACAATGATTATCGACAGGACTTTAGAGAAAGTTTCGGGCGCAACACTTTTTACCCGCTCATTCGCGCTGTCTAATACTTCAACTGAACATTCCACCATCTCATGCAGCGTTGCCATGGTTTCGTGTTGTCATTCCCAGTTTCCTACCGCATCAGAAGACGAAAGCGCAGTTGTTTTGTCAGCTCTCTCAAAATACGCTACAGTGGCTTATTTACAATAGGGGGACTTGTTCTAACATTATTTGCTTTCAGCAAAATCAATATTCAGAATGCAAACATTGCAACTTGAGCATTTATTATCTATCTTCAAGTTTGCCGCAGCTTCCATAGAATATAGTGAGTGACATAGAATAAATATTTCTCCGGACTGGGATTCAGGAAGTTGATGCAAAATGAAAATAAACACTAATCAGAATTTTTCGATTGCCAGTTCTATCCACGGCTGATGTAAAATTGCAATCCACACTCAGTCATCAGCAATTTCCTGCACGGTAGGCCCCTCCTGTGTATTTGCTTGGCGCGTTCCCATTGGCTCCTTGCTCTTTTCTCCTTTGTTATGATTGCATATCGTGATGACTTTGGTTTGGCGACACTCAAAACAAAAGCGCTCTTAAACGTATCCCATTTTCTCTTTCTCTCAATCTTACCGTCGTATGTTCGGTAAAAGTTTTCTATCACATATATTCCCCCACAGGAAACAAACAACTCATTGAAATTTGACATGGTTTGATACAACACTGGTTTAAACCAGTGTTGACTGTCACACATAGGTTACATTTCTTAGACCCAACGTTTCGACACTACTGTCTAGTGCCTCTAACCAGGGGTGAAAACCTGTATCCTCATTGCATCGGTGATTGAAATACGAATGAAAGCGATACTTAGCAATGCAGACTCTGATGTTCGCGAGTCGGTTGACCTTTGTAAGACCAGCTTGACTTTATTTTTCTCGGAAATAAGATATATTAAAGTTCACAAGGCAACCAGGTGGACAATCAGACATGATTTGATGCAACTCTGGTTTAAAGATTTAATGAATGTAACCGAGAAGTTACAATTCATAAACCAACGTTTCGACACTCCTGTCTAGTGCCTTCATTAGGGGTCACTGAATTTTTTCTTACCAAGTTCAAAGAAGTTAAGTTTCAATCTTTCTTCGTCACACGCTGGCCAGTACACCAACTGCAATCCCTCTCTAGGTCATCCACCGTATGGATGAACACAGAAATTGTTCTTCAAATTCTTCAGGTTATTGTGTGGCGGCAACCTAAGGTGACCAAAAAACCATGTATGAGAAAACCGTTATTCTCCACGAAAAGGGACGTACTTTAACTGGAATATCAATAAATATAATCAATTTGACGATTCTATCACGTCATTTTTCCGAGATATTAACCACAAAGGAAGTCATGAACACAAAGGTGTTTTACCTTGTGTAAGGAAAGACCCATAAAGAAGTTGTTGTCGGTATGAAAATGCATGAAATGCTATTTAGGTTTTTAAAGAAAAACGTGCAACTACCTGATATATATTGGAAAGCAGATGACTCAAAGCGGAGGAGAAAGAATTGGCACGAAAGGAATGGTATAAATTAGGTTAAAATGTGAGGCATAAATTATCATTCTGAATTACCACGAGAGGAATAGTATAAACTAGGTTAAAATATGAGGGGAAAATTATGTCATCGTGTTGCAGCTTTTGCATTTACAACATACCTGACACACCTTGAAATGCTCAGATAGCATTTTTCTTTTAAGATAAGTTTATTTCCCTTGGTTGTGTTATTATCTACCAAAAATAAGAGGAAAAAACCAGACAAACAAAGTTCGAGTCTCAAAAATGTATTGTGTATAACGAACTTACAAATCGGGGTTCAATTTCTACAAGAAGTGTAAATCGAGACGAACGATGTTTTTCTCACTTGAAATTTTAATACCTTCTCTCCCTAGAAATGTTGGTACACGTGCAAAGTGATCTATCCCCGAAAAAGGAGAATTTTAAGGGGTCAAGCCTGGAAGGAGAATAACACCTCAGGAATGCTAGTGTTAACTGAGAAAATGTAAGAGCATTACTGCTACGATTTTGACGATGATCGTAGCTCGTAAAAAACAGAAGCAAAAATGACGACAACTGACAACGAAAATAGTTAATGAGAATTCAGATACTGTTCATAAATAATACCATAAACTAAAAAACGCAGGGTAGAAAGTAAAACAAGAAAACTGTTACCCTGTGGACAAAGTTCTTTCTTGCTGCGCTTGTCATAAATAACTCCATCCTGGTCGAGAAGAAAAATCTGATCGGTTGCATTACAAGCCGTGCCTTCCTTTTTGGTGAAGATGAGATAACTGCCGTCAGTAGGGGAACAACCTCCTTTGATTGGCGCTACACAGAAGTCATCATGGCCTCGTATTCCGCTCTCTAAAGAAGCACATCAAACAGTCACTTCAATGTACCTTGGTCAATACCCTAAAAATGCCACCACAGTGTTAACAATATAAGGCGTGATGTTGCAACCATGAAAACAAAATAAAATAAAATGAAGCCATCTGATTTTCACGATGAATGATTGTTTTGACTTACGTATTCACAGAAAATGTGCATGATCAATGGCGGCTTTACCCTTCTAGTCAAATTTAACCAACATAACAAAGCAAGCAATCATCACGCCCTATACTGTTTACACTATGGTGGTATTTTTAGATAGCGTATCGACCAGGGTACATTGAAGCGACTTTTTGATGTGCTTCTTTAGAGAGCGGAATACGAAGCTACGGTGACTTTTGTGTGGTCCCAAACAAAGGAGGTTGTTCCCCTCCTGACGGCAGTTTTCTCATCTTCACCAAAAGGGAAGGCACGGCTTGTAATGCAACCGATCAGATTTTTCTTCTCGACCAGGATGGAGTTATTTATCACAAGTGCAGCAAGAAAGAAGTTTGTCCACAGGGTAACAATTTTCTTGTTTTACTTTGTACCCTAAGTTTTGTTGTTTCTGGAATTATTTATTTATTTATGAATGGTATCTGAATGTTAAAAGATGAATGCCATCTGAGCATTTCAAGGCATGTCAGGTATGTTGTAAATGTAAAAGCTGCAACATAACATAACTTTTATATATCTTATTTGCGAGAAAAATCTAGTCAAGCTGGTGTTACAAGGGTCAACCAACTCGCGAACATCAGAGTCTGCATTGCTAAGTATCGCTGTCATTTGTATTTCAATCACCGATGCAATGAAAACATTGTGCTTCCATCGAGTTTGAGATTTCGGCCTCCTTTGCGGAGTGCTAAGGGTACAGGCTTTCACCCCTGATTAAAGGTACTAGACAGGAGTGTCGAAACGTTGGGTCTAAGAATTGTAACCTCTTGGTGACAGTCAGTCTGGTTTAAACCAGTGTAGTATCAAATTTCGGTGAGTTGTTTGTTTCCTGTGGGGGAATAAATATGATATAAAACTTTTACCGAACATACGACGGTAAGATCGATTGAGAGAAAGAGAAAATGGGATATGTTTAAGAGCGCTTTTGTTTTGAGTGTCGCCAAACCAAAGTCATCACGATATGCAATCAGAAAAAAATGGAGAAAAGAGCAAGGAGCCAATAGGAACGCGCCAAATGAATACACCGTGAGGGGCCTAACGTGCAGGAAAGTGCTGGTGACTGAGTGCGGATTGCAGTTTTACATCAGCCGTGGATAGTACTGGCAACCGAAAAATTCTGATTGTTTATTTTCATTTTTCTTGCAGGTGCATCAACTGCCTGAATCCCAGTCTAAAGAAATATTTATTCCTGTAGTTATATTAGCATAGTGATATCACACCAATTGATATGTTTAACAAATACAAAGGAATAGAAGAAATAATTTTCTAACAAAAATCAAGATCTTACGATTTCCATGACTATAAAAGATAAAAGAGGTTTACCAATACCTTAAGACTAGCTAGGCGTAATCCTCTTTGCTTATCTCGTTAATCAGGCTGGAGTGTTTGTATTGAATATTTCTCGCCTGTATGTCGCAGGCTCGGTTTTAAAGATATAGATTCATTTTTTATGAGAGCGAGCCAAGCCCGGATGTCGCGATCTCGGTTTTTGCTTCTAAGGTCTCGGTAAACGGGTCTATAATGTCACCATTAGAAAACACTTCACCCCGCTTGCTATGGAAGGTCTCGCCTTGTTTATCTTGGCTACCGATCACTGGTTGAAATTCCTAATTTGAACTGTGACTGAAGTGAAAACGCCACTCGCAACACTTAACTGACATTTCCCATAACAACAGAAGACAAAATTCGCCTCGCTATTGATGCCAGCTGGTGAGCAGGTCTTATGAATAAGCTATCGGTCACAAAAGGGGAGATTTAAGAACCCAAGTAGAACCACATAAGCAAAATAAAATTGTAAAATATAGAAACAGTGTTGAGTAGTGATTATTTATACCGAAGTGGCCCAGTTTGTTATACTCAAATGTAGGGAAATCCCCTGCGTTCACATCAGTACCTAGTTTTCTCTTCTAGTCACAATCATACTTGTTTAACCAGTACCAGATCACCCCTGGATTTTTTATCCCCTTAGTCGAAATCCAATCGGACGGATACCGATCCGGGCCCTCCCAAATGATCTAACCGGACGGGTAGTAGGTCGTGCTGCAGGATGTGGTCAGCGGAGCTTTGTCTTATTTCCACGACATTCTCTTGTTTAACGAGTTCCACAAAGAAAATTTCCTCGTTAAGTTGACGTTGTTTTGCGAAATATCCAGTGCCATGAAGTTTCAAAAAGCACAGACGAATTGAACAATTAGTCAGCGCGTGAGTGAATGAGCGAGCGAGCGGGTGGGTGGGTGATGCGTGTGTTCAAGCGTTAGCGTGCGTTAAATACGTGCACTTGATTAAATTTCTTGTGTGCGCGTTTGTGTTTGTGCGTTTGTTCGCTTTATTTTGATTCCCATTAACTGGGAATAAAACTCCCACACCGATCTATAGAGCCAACGAAAATTTTGCGTACCAAGTTAGCAGCAATTTAAAAAAACCACAATAGTAGTATCCATACAATTGATATGAACGGAGGCCGTTTTCTCTCTCACAAGGCAAAGAAGTCAACTTTGCGAAGGATTTACAAAGTAAACGTTTCATAAGAAACCTCTGCCTTTCAGCCTACTTGATAAGCGGTTTTGAATAGAGGCGATGCGAAATTGCTGGAATTTCCATCCTTTAAGCAAATCGTTAAGGTTACAATTCCCAGTTTTAAGAAAGACTTCGTAAAATTTTACGTTCTCTACTTAGTCGTTTGCGTAACCTTACGCTAGTCTATTAACTGGGTACAAGACTGAGAGAACAGAGGGGATTATAGAGTTGAATTTCCCTGATACAGCTGCTATATCTTTGATATCCTATTCACGTGTGCCTCGGAAGTGGAAAAGCATGTCGCTTAAGTAGATATTTAAAGAGGAAGAGGTCTCAAAATCTAAATTATCATTGATGCTTTTTTTTAAGCATGCCCGGTAGGCACCTACACGGTCGAACTTATTAGATTCTCAATGTGAGCAAAACACAAAAGTAATTGTTCAACTGCGTGAATCATCTTAATAACGAGGTATTCCAAAACAGGAGTAAGGATAAGATACTACTGAGGCACAGAGACCATACGGTGAGTGAGGTCTACTACAAAGTTCATATGAGACGCGTCCTGCATACCGCTAGGATCAGCAATGTCAATAGCACCATGTTTGTTAGAGGAATAAGAGGGATGGTAAGTTTTGAGCTCGGTAAGAAATAGAGAAAGATGTTTTTCGTCTTGTTACAAAATCTTTATCTCTACAACTCAAAACAAATAATAGAAGAAAAGAAGAAATGTTTCATTTCAGTCATTTTCAGTATAATTTGATTATTAATTTGACGCTTAAGTTTGCTTTCATGCTGAATATCATAGCCACCTGTCGTGTGCAGTGACACGGCTTTGATCATTATTCAAAAGTGATTCAAGGAAGTTTTTCTATCGCATCTCATGTCCAAATAGTAAAAGTACATGTCTTCTGTTTCTACATGAATTAATTCTTGTTTGCATTCTATTTTCAGAACATCCTTTGTTGGCATTTTTGGCGGATGAAAAATTAACGGAAGAGCAAAAACGACAGAAGTGTCAGAAGCTCAGATCTGAGGAGGTACATATCCTTGTCATGAGTTTAAATTAAAAAAACTTTAGGTAAATGACTACCTGAAAAGTTGTTTAATCAAAATTCTAGCCTAAAAGGCGAAAAAAAGGGTCACTTTCGTTGGTTCTGTGCGGCCATTTTTTTACTCCACTTTCCGTCCACAGTTTTGCCCTGTTCTACGGTGTACTTAGTGCCGTGGCACATCTTGCGCATTTCAATGGTAGAATGATGGTAAAATGGTAAAACACATAAATGGTAAAATGGCGTAGCGGTGCAATAATAAAAACAATCATTTCAACGTGCTGGCTCCCCACAAATCCTTGCTCTGAGTTTCGTGAATTTCGCTGCAATTTCCTTGATAGCAATGCGGCTAATTAAAACAAAGAAAAGTTGTTTCAGTCAACGAGCATGTTGCACTCAGATGACAACAAACAGAAATAGCAGAGAAAGATGCTCTCTTATTTACACAAGAGTAGAACTTCCTTAATCTGTTTACACATGATGGCTCTAAATACAGCTGTACTCTAATAATGAAGATGAGTTAAACTGAACGTTGTCTTTCCGTGCTGCCTACTAAAAAAACTAACCCTGAATAAAATATGGTTCCGGTTAGTTAATATAGTTAAAATTGGGAAATCAAGTTTTATGGTTAAGTGAGGAATAGGTGTTTTGATTCTCTAAGGCCAATCAATACTTTTGGCTAAACCCTTTAACTCTGATGAGTGACCAAGACAGAATTTCTCCTTACAATATCAACACAGAATCAAGCAGATAAGTGAGGAGAATAAAGAACAAAACTCAATTAGGGGACTACAAGCCCAAATTCTCCCAACTGATATCATAAATATTTTATGGCAGACAGTAGGGAGAATTACTTATGAGATCTTGGGAGTTAAAAGGTTCAAATACAAAGGAGTTGCAATAACTTGAAATTTCCAACCTTATTACCTGTGATAACTGTTTGCTCTCAATGAGTAATTGAAGTGAGTTTTGACCATTTAAACAGACAGTGTGGTTGGAAAGCCATAAACCATTGATTAGTTTGAGCGATATGAGTCAATGAGATCAAGAAGTACAAAGAGAAAAACGTCATTGGCGAATTTATTCCTTTCAGTTTCAACTGACGAAAAGTAAATTAAGAATTAATTTAGATATGAAATTTCTCTTCTCGTGTTCAACTCGACATCTCACTCGCTCGCTGTGAGATGTCAAAAGTGGGGCAGATTTACTCAACGCTGATTGGCCGAGACATAGGGCATTGTTTCTTAATAACGGGGGCACTTTTGGTAATCGACTTTTGCAATTTTGGGAAAACGTTGCAAATACACATCAAATTAATCCTTAATTGTCCTCGCGCCTTGCGATTACAAAAACACAACAAGTCTTGATACAACGAACGCCTTACACAAAAAGCGAACGCGAAATGGAAAATAAGTGATTTAGACAAAGTTGAATTCTAGTGAAAGTACACTGACAATTTGCAGGGCCGACATATTGTAGAAGTATGGGGTGCTATCAGATTGAATCATGCGCTTTAAGTGGAAATTTCGTTTCATGCCACGCGAAGTTTTGCCTCACTATTGCCAGCTGACATTTTGGAGTACATGTTTGCATTTTATTGAAATATTCAAGTTTTCAAGTTGAAATATTCAAGTGAGCTCAGCTTTAATATTCAATCATTAACTTTTGGATCGGGGTAAGTTACACTTACTTCAGCCTTCTTGCAGTAGAAACTGAATTACAAGGCAGGTCATAATTTACAAATACTTCTACATTATGCATACATATAACTATTTTAGATATCAATTAAATATAAATTTAAAAAAATATAAATTAAATTTGTTATGCCCAACAGGAATCCTTTACATCTTGCTAAGAATTATTCAATTCCTTTTTTTTTTTTTTTTTTAATGAAGTCTACGAGTCCTTCCTTAATCTTTCTTGCCATAAGTAATTAAAAATCGCAAAAGGGAGGGATAGTGAGGATTCCTGAGCACAGCAACATCATAAAGATAATAAGAAAAAACACCGAATCATCACACAAAAAGGCTGCAAAACACCGATACGATCAATACCGCAACATGCTTTTTACTGCGGCCATGCATAATTACAAACACGATTGGACACTTAATGAAGAACCAAGCTGAAACCCAGACTGCATATTAGCATCCTCTGTGGAAAGCTCGATTAGGTTATCCGGGTACGGTCGTATTGAACTTCAGCCAGTCGCCAACAAGAGTAAGCGATTCAAAAGGGAGACTCAGAAACCGTGTCTATCTACGCGATGGAATAACTTTGTCACCAGTATTACAAAATACAAAAATTAAGGCTCTGCGACTACATATACTTTGTTGAGTCACCACTGTATCTAGCACCAATGGAAGGAATGGCGATTGATGCACACATACACTGTTCTTGTTAAAGCACTTAGGTATTGTGGAGCTAGAAATGTTAAAGTAAGCTCTTATGTTTCCAAGTGTTCGTGACGTGTTGCAAAGCTGAAAGGAACCCTTTTCCCTCCAAAATCTTTACAAATTCAATAATACGTTGGCCAGTCGTTCTTAAAGAACAGGTAGCGAACAATTACACTTTCTTAATTCTTCCTTTATTTTTTGAACAACACTCCGTAAACTCGCGGAACGAAACAAAAAAAGGAGGCCACAACCCGTGCGGATTCGGGAGTATTGGACAGTGTTCCCTATTGTTTTTCATGGATTTTTGGTTGTGTGCGATGCGTCGCTATGTAGTTTTCTTGTTTTTTTTTTTTTATTTTTAATTTTTTTCGGTTTGGTCAACTTCGAGCGACAAGCGGAACGAAAACATTGTTGTGTTGATATTTCACGCGAAGTGTAGAGGATGTTTAAAATGAGGAGGTGGGTGAAACGTTTTGATCTAGTACAAATTTAACGAAGGTATAATTTTTTTTATGTATATCCACAAGAATAACTTAAGTTTCAAGGATATCAGTATACTTGTGTAGAACGTGATAAATCTACTCCATTTGAATTATGAATTTTTTTTTAATTTGTAGGTGTTGATACCCTGCTCTTTTTGCTTCTGCTGCTTTCAGTTCTGCTTCCCCTGTAGTTAGTGGCTTCATACTTTTCACAAAGCATCAAACTTATTTTCTGTTCAGGTGATGATTTCTTCAGAGATTATATGACAGTTTTATGACTTCTCTAAAAATGATCTGCTATCTGTGAATACCAAAGTGAAACCAACCCACTGCTTCTCTTACTTCCTAACCGACTTCCCACCTTTTCTCCGTTGGTGTCAGTGTAAGAGACGTAAAAATTACTTTTCTCTCCAAATATGATGACAAATTAAGGTTCTATTTTTCATTCAAGATTTTTCAAAAAAAGTTGGGTTCCGATGATTGGATTTATTTTCTCTGGAAAGGCCATTTCAATACACGTTAAAATGAAATGTTTTGGACCTTATTGCTGTAAATATCTGTTTCATTTTCACGGCGCAAAATCTGCTCGAGATAAAACTTTGATTGATGTGTGTATGAGTATAAGTGGAATGTGCAAAAGATTTGTTATACCACGATTATCGACAGGCGTTTAGAGAAAGTTTCCAGCGTAACAATTTTTACCCACCCCTTCGCTAATACTTCAACTGAGCGTTCCGCCATCTCATGCAACTTTGTTATGGCTTTGTGTTGTCATTCCCAGTTTCCTACCGCACCAGAAGACAAAGGCGCAGTCGTTTTTCAGCTCTCTCAAAATGAACCACAATGGCTTATTAAGAGTAGGTATGACTTGCTGTAACATTTTTTTGCTTTCAGCAAAATCAACCTTCATACAGGACACAATGCAACTTAAGCCTTTATTATCTATCTTCAAGTTTGCCGCAGCTTTCACGGCTATTGGTATGATATAAGCATGATAATATAAGTAGGCGAATAAATATTTCTCTGCACTGGAATTCAGGCAGTTGGTACACCTGCAAGAAAAATAGAAAACGAACACTTATCAGGATTTTTCGGACGTCAATGCTATCCGCGGCTAGTGTAAAACTGCAATCCACACAGTCACGTGTTCTTTCTTGCACTTTCGGCCCGTCTCGTGTATTCACTTGGTGCGTTCCTATTGGCTCCTTGCTCTATTCTCCTTTATTCTAATTGCATATTGTGATGTTTTTGGTTTGGCGACACTCATATTAAAAGCGCTCTTAAACGTATCCAATTTTCTCTTTTTTCCAATCTTAGCGTCGTAAGTTCGGTAAAATTGTTTTTCATATCTATTTGACATGGTGCGATGCTACTCTGGTTTAAAGATTTAATGAATGTAACCGAGAAGTTACAATTCATAGATCCAACCAACCAACCTCGTATCCCTTAGCATTCCGCACAGGAGATCGAAATCTCAAACTCGATGGAAACAGATTATATTAATTGCATCGGTGATTGAAATACAAATGACAGTGATACTTAGCAATGCAGACTCTGATGTTCGCGAGCCGGTTGACCCTTATAATACCAGTTTGACAATATTTTTCTCGCAAATAAGATATATTAAAGTTCACATGGCAACCAGGTGGACAATCAGACATGATTTGATGCTACTTTGCCTTAAAAATGTTTATGAATGTAACAGGGAAGTTACAATTCATAGACCAACGTTTCGACACTCTAGTACCTTCATCAGGGGTCACTGAAATTTGTCTTACCAAGTTCAAAGAAGTTGAGCTTCAATCTTTCTTCGCCACACCCTGGCCAGTACAACAAGTGCACTCCCTCCCCAGGCCATCCACCGTTTGGATGAACACAGAAATCGTTCTTCAAATTCTTCAGGTTATTGTGTGTCGGCAACCTAAAGTGACCAAAAAACTATGCATGAGTAAACCATTATTCTCCACGAAAAGAGATATACTTTAACTGGAATATCAATAAATAAAACCGATTTGACGATTTCGTCACTTCATTTTTCCGAGATATGTATGTCATGAACATAAAGGTGGTTTGCCTTGTGTAGGAAAAGACCCGTAAAGAATTTGGTGTTGTCGGTATGAAAATGCTTGGAATGCTATTTAGGTTTTTAAAGAGAAACGTGCAACTTCCTGATATATATTGGAAAGCAGATAACTCGAGGCGTTGATAAATAGTGTAATTGGAAGAGAAAGAATTAGCACGATTGGAATAATATGAATTTTGTTAAAATATGAGGCAGAAATTGTCTCTATGAATTACCACGAGAGGAATAGCATGAATTAGGTTAAAATATGAGGCAAAATTTGTCATGTGAATTATCACGAGAGGGATAGTATGAATTAGCTTTAAATATGAGGTAAAAGTTTCCATATGAGTTATCACGAAGGGAAATGTATGAACTAGAATAAATATGAGGCAAAAATTATGTCATTAGGTAACAGCCTTTGCATCTACAACATACCTGACATGCCTTGAAATGCTCAGATCGCATTTATCCTTTAACATAAGTTTCTTCCAATTGGTAGGGTTATTGTCTGCCAAAAATAAGAGGGAAAAAACCGACAAACAAAGTTCAAGTCTCAAAAAATGGATTGTGTGTGACGAACTTACGAATCTGGGTTCAAATTTTTCAAGAAGTTTCCATCGAGACAAACGATCTTCGACAAAAGAATTTTTTCACTGGAAATTTTAATATCTCATTCCCGAGAGATGTTGGTACACGAGCAAAGTGATCTATTCCTGAAAAGGGAGAATTTTAATGGTCAAGCCTGGAAAGGGGAATAACACCTTCGGAATGTTGGTGTTAATATAGGTAATCACATGATTTCGAGTGCAATTTGGAATAAAGACGAGCCCGTGGGGCGAGTGCAATTTGTGGTCTTTGAAAAAATTAACAAGTGCTTGTTTGTTCCAAATTGCACGAGAAAAATCATGTGATTACGTGTTAATAATATACATGGAAAAATTCGAGATGGCTTATCAAAATTAAGCATAAGCAAAGGGCGCGCATCAAGTGCAAAAATAATTTATTCAAACCGTACGTTCGGTCCAAACAACAACGTACGATCAAAAGAATAATATGCAATGATATCTTCACATCTTTAAGGCGCAAAAGAGTTCAAAGTCCAGCTAAACCGTTCAAGGAATTTTTCAGTCTGTGTCCGAATCACTTTCGATGAAATGGAATCGTCGTTTCCGAGGTTTAACCATGTTTGTTTCTAATTTCGGTGTTGGATCGCTCGAGCAAAATGTTAAGCTAGGTCGGCTCGTAATTTTCGATTTCCTTAGCAATTCCATTCCCTAAACACCACTTTTTCCAAACCGAAAACTAAGAAGCAGTGCTTTTTACAGTATTTTCGTTGTTTGAGCTGTTTCTCAGTGGCGGTGGCGAAAGAAAACCTACTTAAAACGCCGGTCATTGTTTCGCTCGCAAATTTTCACATTTTCAAATTTTGTTGCGACATCCAAGGCTTGCATTTGATTGCCTATCTGTGAGTTTCTTTGATTATTGACCAATCAGAATGTCTGATTTGTTAATTTCTTTGCACTGAATTAACCCTCTTCTGCACTGAATTAACACTCTACTGCACTGAATTACCTGAAAACTGCATTTATCTTAACCAATCAGAACTGATAAATTTTTCCATGTATATTATCAACTGAGAAAATGTTAGGGTATCACTGCTAAAATTTTGCTGTTAATCGTAGCCCTTAAAAAACAGAAAAAAAAACAACGAATATAGTCAATAAGAATTCAGATACCGTTCATAAATGTTACCAAAAACAACAAAATGCAGTGTAGAAAGTAAAAAAAACAAAACTGTTACCTTGTGGACAAACTACCTTCTTGCTGCACTTATGATAAATAACTCCATCCTGGTCGAGAACAAAAATCTGATCGGTTGCATTACAAACCGTGCCTTCCTTTTTGGTAAAGATGAGATAACTGCCGTCAGGAGGGGAACAACCTCCTTTACTTGAGGTCACACAGAAGTCACCGTAACTTCGTATTCCGCTCTCTAAAGAAGCACATCAAACAGTCACTTCAATGTACCTAGCTTGGTCAATACGCTATCAGGTATAATCAGGTATAATCACTTACCAGGGCAAGACATGCAGTCTCTTTCATGCATTTTCTGAATGCTTGGATCACACAGTTTTCCACCACAACGTCGTTTGGGGTTTGTGCATGTTTTGTACCTTCGCTGCTTACTAGGCTCGCACAATTTGTCACAGTTTCCCCATTCACCCCACTCGGTTAGTCCGCCATCCACTGAATGCCAAAACAAATGTTCAACAAATACAATGGGATAGAAGAAATAATTTTCAAACAAAAATGAAGATCTTAAGAAATCCAAAAACTTATTTCACGAAGATTATTATTGCATTTGTAATTAGCGCATGATTCTAAAAAGATAAAAAAGGCTTACCAATACCTAAAGACTAGCTAGGCGCAATCCTCTTCACTTATCTCGTTAATCAGGCTAAAGTGTTTGTATGGAAAATTTCTCGCCTGCAAGTCGTGGGCTCGGTGTTTAAGATCTAGATTCAACATTGTTTCCGTTCAAAAATTTGCTTAGTGTTTTTTATGAGAGCAAGCAAAGCCCGGATGTCTTGATCTCGGTTTTTGATTCCAAGGTCTCTGTAAACGGGCTTACATTGTCACTATTAGGAAATACTTAACCCCGCTTGCTATAGAGGGTCTCGCCTTGTTAATCTTGGCTATCGATTGCGGGCTGAAATTCCTCATACGACCTGTGACTGGGGTAAAATTGCCTCTTGCTACACCTAACTGACATTTCCTATAACAACAGAAGAAAAAATTCGCCTCGCTATTCGGGCCAGCTGGTGAGCCGGTCACAAAAGGGGAGATCTAAGAACCCAAGCAGAACCACATAAGCAAAACAAAATTGTAAAATGTAGAAACAGTGTGGAGTAGTGATTGTTCATACCGAACTGGCCCAGTTTGCTGTACTTAAATTTAGGGTAATTCCCTGCGTTTACGTCAATACCTGGTTTTCTCTCCTCGTCACAATCATCCTCATTTAACCAGTACCAGATCACTCCTGGATTTTGCATTCCCCCATACCCAATCCAATCGGACGGATACCGGTCCGAGCCGCCCCAAATGATCGAACCCGACGGGTAGTAGGTCGTGCTGCTGGATGTGGTCAGCAGAGCCTTTTTCTCAGTTCCTTTGGCGTCAAACCACGGCATTCTCTTGTTTAACGACTTCCACCAGGAAAACTTCCAATCGTCAAATTTCGTCGTTAATTCGACGTTGGTTTGCGAATTATCCGATGCCATGAAGCTTCAATAAGCACAGAAGAATCGAACTAGTCAGCGTGTGAGTGAATGAGCGAGCGAGCGGGTGGGTGGGTGTATGCGTGCGTTCAAGCGTTCGCGTACTTACGGGCACATGAGTGAGTGGTCGAGTAAGTGAGTTTAGAGATCAATTAATTAAACCATTAAAGGCTCTTTACGAATCACGTAACAGATTAATGAATAACCGAACAAATGAATCAGTTGATTTCACTTTGTAACTCCGCCTGAAGGCTGTCCAACGACGCTATCATAAGCCACAATAACCAGATGTATACCGCCTACAGTACTCGTATATTGTACACTACACATTATTTTGTTTAATGCAGCACCTTTTTTTCAAGCAGAATGTTGCTGCAGCCGTCGCGAGTGACAGAGCTTAACAATCATGACTATCATATGTAAACTTGCTGTAGAATACGTTGGGTCATCCTGGATGTGAAGTAATGTGAATTTTAAATTATTTGACTAAAGTTTTACAGTCACCACCAATGGTAGAGTAAAGCTATCAACAAATGAGTTATTTCGAATAATGGAAAGAACGATTTTAAAACATCCATTTTTCAAGACGTACCCTCATTTTATCGGGAGAAAAGAAAGCCTTATTCAAATTATGCATCTACAAAACGCGCACCTCGTTTCTTGCTACATTCAGTTATTAGCTAGTTTACTGTAACCACTGATCTTGTAAACTGCGGATGGAATAAAGTTATGACTTTTGTCTTAGAATAAGAATCATCATTCTCTTTCCTGTTTTCCTACCTGTAAGATGTAGGAGCTTCAAAAATCCCTCCCCAGTGGCGTCTAGAATGAGCATCCAACATGTACTGGAATGTGCCATTGTTGTTCAGGCTTTTAATACTGTCTGCTAAGTCTAGGATGGAGTAGTCTCGATTCAGTCCTGGATGAAGGACATTTCTAGAAATGACAGAAATATTTATCAAAAAACCGTGATCGCTTTAATAACTATTCACATAACTTTACTTTCTCAATAGGGCAACGTCCTTACACAAACCCGGCTAAACACATTTTAAAACGTATCTTTTTTTGGGACTGGACACAGCATAAAAACGCAATCGTTAATATTTATTACGTAAATAGTTTGAAAACTAAACAAAAAATGTCTTGCTATTATCATCATAATTTTCATTTTTTTGTCATTAGTATTATTAATACTATTACCAACATTATCTTATAATTATTATTATCAGTCTTCTTGTTATTATTTCAACTTTTTGCGATCGAAGAGCATTTCCACATGCCCTTCGACGAACTCTATCGCATCACGTGACCAAGTCACTTTTGGCTTTAGCCTTTCATCTCATTGGTTAAGGAGGGGCAAATGTTATCCATTACTACCTGTGAGGGACCTGTGCTCGAGTCCAGTTATTGTTAGCACTCGTCACAATAAGAGTGAAAGCTCCTTTTGCTGTTGTCATATCACAGTAGACCGGGAGGTACTGGGTATCACTGGTTTTTACCAGTTGAAAACTATCGTCATACTTGATACCAGCTCTAGCTCCATGTAATTTCAAATCGTTACAAGATAGCCTGTTGAAAGAGGAACGAGTCTAAATTATAGAAGTGAAAGAATCAAAGGTGAAAAACTTAAAGGTGCACAACTCGTGCACCTTTAACAAAGGCAATTAAGTTTTACGAAAGTCATCGTTTGCAAAGGTAAATCTGCGCCCACGGTAATTTGGTGTTTCATCAAGATACAGACGTTTTGTGAATGCTGAAGATCTACTTGTTTCACAAAGCAATGGTTTGCTATTCTTCCAGAGAAATTAGGGGAAATACATATTAATATCTAATCTTATGGCAAAAGCCTTTTTCAACAAGAAAAACTTTGTAAGGAAGAGATCTACCAATATGACTGTTATACTGAACAGTACATATTACGTGATACTTATATCTGTCCTTGATAGAGTTAAAAATTCGAATTTCACCTCGTCAAGTGAAATTGCTGGAATGACTAGCAAAAAAAGAGTGTACGTTTATACCACTGCCACCGCCTTAACTTACGACATATGCTGCTCAAAATAATTTTCAAATGACTATCTGGACGTAAAAACAAAATCTGAAGTTCACCTAGCACCCTCTCTCATCCAGTATCGAACAACATTCGGTTTTGGCTTCTCTGGCTCCAGATACGAGGCAGAGCTAGCGCCACTGTTATATGCCAAAGACCCTGATGAGTCATTCACAGTTGATGCACTGCTTAATAAAAGATCTTTAGATAATCCCAGTCTAGGCATGCGCTTTCCCAAGTTGCTGTTCTCATCCCACGAATCGAATTTCTTCACGATTTTTACTTTGGTTTGTTTGTCGCTCGTGGATAGGAATGTATAGTCACGTGGTGCTTCCCAGATCCCTACCCAGCGGTTGTTGCCGTCTGCCTCAATTCGGTATTGAAAGAATTCCTGCTTGAAGACAAGGCAGTACAAACGTAAGTGTCAATAGAAAATATTGCATTTCCGTGATCTAAATATGGCGGAAAACGCGAGTGACTAAGGCAAAGCTAAAGCAATCATGAATAAAGGAGGTAAAAGCTGTTGGATGATTTCGTATGGGCACCAACTTGGCGGAAAACGCGAGTGACTAGGGCAAAGCTGAAGCAGTCATCAATAAAGGGGGTAAATTTCTTGAGAAATGGTGGTGCTGCATCTGTTGGGGAGTATAACAAGATAATTTGGTTTTATTGACTCAGTTGATAAAGCCAAATCATAAAGCAATTATGGATTTCTTGCGACAAATATTTGAAAATTGCTCTATAGTGCATCCTGGGTTACTTGCAACAATCACTCTACAATTGTTCTTTGATCGGGTCTCCATGGGAAATATCAACGTCTTTAAAATCCATATATCAGTTCAAAAGCGACATTGGCCCATTTCGTATGGGCACCAATTTGTAGGGAAACATCATTTATTTTCCTTCAACAAATATACTGAGCGCGTCCTCGAAAATCACCCCTCGATCCCTAAGAAGTCAAACTCATCTCATTGCGATGGATTCACCTGAGCTTTGTCAAAGTCCTTTATGGCGTCTGCAAGCCCCAGTATGGAATAGTCATCTTGTAAAGAAGGCTTGTTTGAGTTTCTTTCTTTGATGCTGTCTTTGTCCCACCCGCTGTGGGTCTTACTCGTCACGAGTAGCGTCCAGGGCCCTCCCTCAGTCGTAAAGTCGCAATACGTTTTAACTTCATGCTGTCCAGGAGGTTTGATCGCGAAAAATCCATCTGAAAAAGAAACAATCAAACAAAATTCACGGTTACACTTAACTCTGGGAAAACTAATCAGCCACGCGCTTCGAATGCCATCCTGAGCCCTGCTTAGGGTCGCCTTAAGACGGACTCCCGACGAACGACGAAAGAAAAGCTGTCTTAGGGAAACTTGGAGGAGAATCGTTGAAAGGGGATATAAGGGACGTAGGCTGGACGTGGGGCACCTTAACTAGCAGGCAACCGACAAAAATTAGTGGCGTTAAACATTTTAATCGAAATCAAATTTTTCGACCAAAATACTATTGTGGCTTTCTCATAGCTCGAAGACAAATTTAGGTGGTCACAACTCATCATAGCCATTGTGGCCGTGCCTTACTCATGTTAATATAACAGGGCTCTAAGATTAATTTATTATTATTAATATTCATAAAATAAATTTTTATATCTGGCAATCATGAAATGGTTGCCAGATGTAAAATTGCCTGAAAGAAATGGAAAAAGGATATGACACTCCGTGTTACTTCAAAATGCGATGTATTTTATCTCTGGTAATCATTATAGGAGACCCACCCGACATCTCAAGGCTTGGTACTCGACCAACCAAGAGAAGGACAGTTTACACAATTTTATTCTAGGCACACATTTATATCACTTTAACATGGATGGTTACTTTACTCACTTTCATGGACAAATCTAGTCGTGAAAATGTTTTCCTATTCTTCATGGTGAATGAAACAATCATGGCTTATTAGGATGTGAAACTTTCTCCCTGAATTGTTTTACAATCAGTCAAAGTACTTTCAGCCAAAGCGTTTCTTTGACGCGCAATCAACTGTCGACTGTTTCTATTCACTCAGGCGCTTTTAGAATAGCTGATGTAGCTATAACCTTCAAAAGAATCTCAACAGCTGATCAGAGCCAAAAAAAAAATATCAAAAGCGGGCAATGAAGAGTAAAATCTAAACATAAGCTTCTGAAGCGGCCCCAAAGGTGAAATGTGTGAACGTCGTTGGTTAAAAATTAAAATCCTTTTGCCCTTGCAAGATTAAAGAGAAAATTAAAGCACAACCAATGTAATCAAAAATTTCTTCTGACACTAAACAAAGAACTATTCCAATAATTTTGAGTTATTGGATTAAACAACTCAGCCTGGTAAAACATACCCAGACTTACTTGACACGGGGTTTGTCAGGAGCCCTCTGAAGTATACTTCTTTACATGAGCTAGGAGTTTCATGAGGTCCCTCTCTCATCCAGTACCAGATATATGATGGCCGACGCTCCTGCAGGTGACCGATGATCCATGGAGCGGGGTAGTATTCCATATCGTCCGCTAGAAAAATATATCAACTATCAAATCATTATCCGAAATAAATGTTTCGAAAGGATCCGATGAGAAAGCACACACTTTATCTGCTCCTTTTTTCTCAAGACCAACGCTGCACTTCACGTCAGGTGATTTTTACCCGAAGTAAAACATGGGAAACTTTCGTTAAAAACTTTGTTACAAAAACATTGGCTGTGGGAATGTTTTCCTTCGAAAAATTTGTAAAATAAATGTTATTAGAATTTTCAAGCCATAAAAAAATAACTTAGACGACTGACAGGAAGACTGCATGTAGAAGGATAAATATATATTTCATCAGGCTTTCCTTGTCACTTCAGTGATTACCTCGAAAATCAAAATTAAATAGAAGAAACTTTATTTTCTTCGCCTTCGGTATTTTTTAAAGAGTGCGTGGAAAGTTTATTGCTTGTTTATTATATAATAGTAAAGGCTATTCACCTGTTATTGTCCCCCACCAATGTCGCTGAGCATCCTGGGATGTAGTTAACTTGGCATCAGAAATCCACGGCATTCTTTGTTCAATCCCATAGTCTGAATATTCCCAATTGTCAAACTTCTTGACTAGCTCAATATCCGTTTGTTTGTTGTTGTCAGCTGTGAACGTAAAAACTCTGGGCGCCTTCCAGATACCTCCCCAGCGACCTAGAAAATAAAGCATCTTTCTTCAGATTCATTCCAGGGCTGACCATGATTTAGATTCACATTCTATTTAATGGTCATCTGAAAGTGTCCTCGTGCATAAAACTCCACCGAAACACAAATAAACGTGTTAACTGTAAAAGAGTACTAAGAGCCGCTACGGTGTCAAGTGATGTGAAGTTTGCCCTTACATTTGAAGACGTATGGGCTTTGTAACCAACAAATGAAGGGAAAATGGGAAGGGGCGGATGGAGCCCCTTTTAGTTCGTTTAAGTCTTTTACCCTTTTTGGAAAAATCTAACTACACTTAGCAAGAATGCGATGTGCTCTACCGGAAAAGAATTTAGTGTGAGTTATGAAAATTTTGGCGACATAGTATCCTCCATGTTGGTGAACACGACAATAATTGTGTTCCTCAATGTTTAACTTAAAAAAAAAGGTTAATAAAAAAAGAGCAAGCAATTGCATTTCGTGCAATTGTTTTGTCTTTGTTAGCATATTCCCCTGCAATGTTTTTATTGAAATAATTACCTGGCGATTTAAAAAAAAAAAACGCGACTTCCGACTTTCATGTTGACCACACTTTGTTATTGTGGCTACGGAAACTCGCTTCGCTAGCAACCCCTGCCCTGCCCGTTTGAAAGGGAACAAGGTTCTTTGAGTATAATGAATCACCTCGGCTCTGAGCTTCTAATCGATATTCAAACGTAGAGCCAGCTACTTTGATATTATCTTTAATACTGTCTGCATACTGTAGGATGGAGTAATCATCAGTCAACTTAGGAGAGTTCGCGTTTCGTAATTTCACATTCTGTGCCGTCCAGCTGTTAGTATGACTGGTAACCAATAGTGTCCATCCTCCACCGTCACGCGACATATCACAGTATGCCATGATTGGCTGGGAACCTGTGGGGTAAATCCTGTAGACGGCATCAGGATAGTTGTGATTCGTTTCTTCGCCAACTTGTTGTAGGTGACGGCATGATATCACCTCTGAGTAGCAAATACAAAAATTTACAATTAGTATAATTTTGCCACTGGTAAAGTTTTTGCTATATTTTTCCATTGGAATGAAAACACGGGGATTATCTGAACGACTCTTATAAGACGAGATTTTATCTTCCAAGTTCTTTTATTGATCTCTTTACTAATTCAGACAAAATTCCAGATTTCATAAAAGTACCAGTAAAATCGGTAAATGGACTGGCACCAATAAGTCAGATCTCTTTCAATCTAAAAGCAAAAAGTGAAGAGTATGAGTTAATTGAACTCCAGAAGGTCAGGATCTTTCACAACTTGTTGAGCCGATCATTTTTACTCTCTGTTTTAGAAAAGACATAATACGATACATGTGAAAAGGATTAGAAATTTGCACTTGAACAAACTTGTTCCCGTGATTCCCCCTTCTAATTCGGCACATTCCCCTTTGTAGCACTAACTTTTTATATAATTTACTATTCCATTTCTCTTGTAAAATGCAACAAGAATCACACTAAGAAATCGCGACACAGGTTTTAAGAATATTTTCTAGCCTCACAGAGTAATTGCTCCTTTTTTCAGTTCATTTATGAGAGGACTAGTTAAATTAAAGTACAGAAAAAAGGAAGTAACAGAAAGTTTTAAAAGTAGATTTAAATTCACTTGGACAGCTCTGGGTATTGCAATCCTCTGTCTCGTGTCGTTTTTCAGAGCAGTCAGCCCCCCCATGTAGAGGAAATGGATTGTCACAGAAGCGATGTCTTTTTCTCTTTCCACCATCACAGAGCTTGTCACAAACAGTCCATGAGGACCAATCACCCCACGCTCCATCTCGAGGCACCAGAGCTGGAATGAAACAGTTTAATAAATGCAAGCATTAATTTAATTTAATTTAATTAATTTAATTTAATTTTACAAGTGAGACTGTGATAAACAAAACCTTAGCACAAAGTAAACAATTGTCAACTAATTTTTTTTATTTTGTGCCATCTTTCTTGGTATTTTTAAAAACTATCGATTGTGGAAAATTTAGAAGAATACAAAAACATACTCTTGTTATTATCATCGGGAATCCTTGGAATATACTTCATTCAGCAAAGCAGAAGGAGAAATGAATCTATCACATGAATTATGAATTACTTCTGAAACGGCAAACTGACTGATAATATCAGTAACAAAATCAACGACAAAAAAACAGAATGTCTCATCAAGAAGGTTAAGTTCTCCAGTTTAGTGTTATCAGTACACAGATTAAACATAATTAAATTACACTTTGTTTATCATGAGTGGAAAACCCAACCTAAACTTTCCAATTTTGTCATTCGAAACCTGTTTTAACCTTTTACCTGATGCACAACCGTCCTTCGAATCAAATCCTCCCTCACAATGACACGCCTTTTTGTTTGTGCAAACCTAAAGAAATAATGAATGCACATCAAACACGACATGAAAATCCTGCAAAAAAAGGTATTTCTACACAGCACATGGGGTAAGAAATAGCGCTTTTACTTTGATAGTAGTTGTTTTTCAACAGCTCTGATTGGTGCAATTCGATCCTTGCTGTTTAACTCAGTGATTTGCTCCCTCGGCGGTTCGCTGTCCGCGGTCGGACTTCGACGGTCGACTTCGAACATTAATTATCTGTTTTATCTTTGGACAAGTTTTGATTTTATTAGGAGTTTTATAAACAAACAATTAAACACTTTTCACTTTAAACAGTTGCTGATACACACATGATGCCTGAGTTTCTACGTTTTGCTTGAAATTGATTGAGAATCGAGCATAATTTGAGCATTTTTTTTGACGTAAAGTGGAATTTCCAGGAGCATAAAATGCCAGTTTTAGTATCATAATCGGGAAAGGCCTTAACTCTTTAATTATTGGATAGATAAATCATCAAACTGAGCCTAGGAACACCACTTAGACAAAATAAAAAATAAATAAACATGTTTGTGACACTTGACTCGGCGGGAAGTCTATATGCATATCTCATAAAGGACGTGACTTTAAAGTGATCGCAAATGGGAGGATATTGTTAGGAAAAAATGTTTCTCGCTTTTGAAGGCGAAATGATGGGGGCAATAAATTGACAATAGGTATAACACAGACAAATGCATCTGCTCCATTGTATGGTAGGTTACAACAACTTTCAACTTCTTTATCAGCACTCAGCATTCTTTTCTTCTCCACGCCATTTTTTGGAAATTTTCTCATTTTTGTTACCCTATATAAGGAATCTTCCCTGCATCCACCTTCCAAACTGTTCTATCGTTGTCTAGCAACAACCGATCTGTTAGTCGGTCTTTTAATTCATCCCCTCAGTGCTACTCATTGGATGTCCTCGCTTCGTGAGAAATGGAGAATTTGTCGATACACATTTTCTGCATGGTATTTAACTGGCTATATCTTATGCTCAGTATCCTTAATGACGATGACAGCTATAAGCGTGGACAGACTTCTCGCCTTGCTGTTGAGACTGATGTACAGACAAGTCGTGGCTTTAAGGCGCATTTATATCGTCATAGCCACCTTTTGGATTATATCTTGAGTCGCTACTTTAAGTAGTCTTTTTGACTACACTATAACCTTTTGGTTTGGCTGTGTCAATACGACAATTTCCCTGACAATCTCAATGGTTTCGCACGCAAAGATTTTCCGGGGTCTTCGTAGTCATAGCGCCCAAATTCCGCAACAGCCAAGCCAAACAAATACACTGAACATGGCGCGATACAGGAAGGCAGTGTACAATGCATTGTGGGTGCAATTAGCATTAGTTGTTTGTTATTTATCGTATGGTACACTGGTTATTGTGCTAAGTTTAAAGAAAACCAATTCATCAAATTTCATCTTCACTTGGGGAATAGCGCCAATATTAGTGTCCTTTAACTTAACATAAAACTCATTCCTGTACTGCTGGAAGATTAGTGAAGTAAGAGAAGCAGTAAAGCAGGCAGTCAGAGAAGCGCTATGTTTGATACCGAGTTAGTTAGTCCTCGAGTTATTCAATATTGGGTTCTTTAATTTAGCTAGTGTGATAAACTCTTCGATTTTACTCCCCGATAAGAAGAAGCTTTGTCAAATCCGATAGTGAACCAAACAATGAATATTAAATCAGAGCTGGTGATTAAATTCGTGTAATCAAATTCAATTGTCCTAGCGTTCTTCATCTTCTTATTGTGAACCTTTATAATGTCAGCAGGTAAGTGTCTTTAAAAATTAAAAAAAAAAACTTCGTGTCAGTTTGTAGAAATATTCGTTGATGCGTAAACGAGAAAATGTTAAAAAAAAAAAGATCGCGATGCCCTGCTAAGTTGCTTGTATATCGAGGTTTTCTGTGGCTTGTTGTAAATATAATTAGAAAGTAAAGATTATTTACACGCCTGCATTCATCAATCCGTTTTTTAAACAAACTGAGACGAGATCTTTTAAAGCATTACAAAAGTGGCAGAGGAGATTGGAATTTTCATTGAGCAGCTGAGGTTCTATACAAATCCATAAATTCGAGAAACGTTGGCGGAAAAAAAATGAAAACATTGCATGCGACTAACTTAAAACGGTAATTTGGGTACCCGGTAATCAATTAACTTTAATAAGTAAAAAATATAATTTATCAACACATGATGCCTCGTCCTTACAATGACGTTTTCTCAGATTTCCCTAAAATCCTGAGGTCAAGCCGGAACCATTACCTAAACACTACCCCCAATACATTTCGAGGATGTCCCATGCACTTGTACGCTTTCTTCCAAAAACTTTTCTCATTGTATTCAACAGCCGTCTTATAATAGCTTATCACAATTCTAAAGCTTTAAAAACATTTATACAATCAATGCAAAACAATGCATATTAAAATATTAAATGAGGACTAACTAGCTCAAACAAAGCACTACTTGAATGCCTTCCCAAAAAGAAACGTTGAAGGTTTTCTCTGAATATATTCAAACTAGGAATAGATTGAATTGAACACGGGAGAAAATTACAAAGTCGAGGAGGGCAGAATCTCCAAAATATTGCTGGTTGTCACCTTTGGGGATGCCAATAGAATACCAAAGTCATGGTTGCGCCATAGATTATGCTTGGGCGGAAGTGTAAGATATACAAATAAGATTACTCAAATACTCAAAGTCACAAAATTGGAGAACAACTTTATACAAATAAAAATGCCTTTGAGAGAATTACTCACTCGGATAGAAAAATCCAAAGGAGACAAGAATGATTACATCGGGACAATTGTGGCTAATGATTTGTATCTACATGTATGGATACTTTATTGACCACGCCCCCAATGGAGGTTTTCAGGGGCCAATACAAACAAATTGCAAACAAACAATATGAATGAACAAAGCGTTTTATAAAATCCCAATTGGCAGGGGCAGAGCAGTTGGCTATATTCAAAGTGCAGCCAAAGATTGAACCCTAATCACACGAGAACAAATCAAGGGAGTATCAGGATAAAAGGCTTGAACGCGGGAACACCAAATTACAAATTCAGCACCCTAATTACTCAGTCACACTGCTTCTGACGAGTCAGAGGATCAACATGAATTACAAACAAAGAACTTGAAAAACTCACCCTAAAACATAGACTTACCCCTCTTCCCCCGCACTCCTTGTTGTTCATCACTGGACACTTTCCGAAGTTGAGGGAATCAATCGTCTGACACTGGTTATCTACACACATCTGCAACAAAATGCGTTGAAGTTCTTGCCGTCATTGACTCGTCAAAACTCGGAAAACAAGGTCTAATTTACTAGGTTAGATCTCTTTTCAGTAATTCTTTCGTATAAAAAATTCCTCTTTTTTAAATATCAGTTGTGGCGTAAACGGCCTTTGAAGTGTCACATAGAAGATAACTCGCGCAAGTATCTGCAGTTTCAAAATCATTCTATACATTTTCTGCCAAACTTTTCTAACAATTTAGTCTCTTAAAATTTCGGAATTTGAGTGTTAAAGTAAAAAATGCTCCCTTACTAGTAATTCGCTATCTTCTCATCATTTTTTCTACCCGACAACGTAGTGATATTATAATGATAAATTATTAATGAGTGGATCGTTCTGCAAGCGGATAGGGCTAAGTTTTACAGTGGTACCTTATCATCTCCGCATTTTGTCCCTTCTCTGACTATTCCCTCACCAATGTCATCTATGGACTTCAAGGTTGCAGCACTGTGGGAAGAAAGAACGCATCAGGTTGGTTAATTTTCATGGGAATCTGTGCTGTACCGCCCTGGAATGGAACCCTCAGGGGTAGAGAGGTAGAGACCGTCTTAAGTGGTCCTAGAAGCCCCGTGTGAAAGAAAAGCTCGCTAACGAGAATATCACGTGGAAGGAGGCAAAGGGAACCGCCAAACAATAGACTTCGGCGGAGGTTCATAGTTGAAACCCTTGCCCTACACCCTATAGGTGTGGTGTCTCCAACCACGAAAAATGTTGATATTTTTTAATAGATAATTTACCACCGTAGCGTTATACAGTGCTTTCCCTTAATAATTCTTACGGCCTGGTTTTTCCTTAAAACACTGTTCAAGATATCTAAACTTAGTATAAACACATCAGTTGATTGTTGTTTAATCTTTAAGAACATGTTTACTTACTAGTGCTTTTTTCTGCAACAGGAAAGTGAGTGAAAGTAATACCTGCATTGTTTTCCGTTATCCATACTGATCTTAGTGTAAGTCCATCCGTAGTCCACAACAGGTTTATCTCTGCTGTCTTCACATTGCAGTTGACCACATAACACGTTTCTGATAAAACGAAAAAAAGAAATGGAAAACTGATATCTGACGTCTACAAAACGTGTATTTCATTTTCAAATATCTGTGGTTGTTTCAAAACCATTTCTTTTTACCTCCAGATAAAATTTAAAGAAACTGATATCTGACGTTTACAAAATGTGTATTTCATTTTCAAATATCTGCGGTTGCTTCAAAACCATTTTTTTTTACCTCCAGATAAAATTTAAAGAAACACAAGCACGTCGATATTAGGAATTTTGCAGCGTTTACGTACAGAATACCTTGGAGGCTCTTGATAGATACAGTAATTTCGTTTCCTTCATCTCTATAACCATTACCATTTATAGTATATATTGCTGAATGTTCAGTCTTTCGGTCTCTGGTTGCTATTAAAAAAATCATAACCTTAGTAACCTGAGTGGACAGCTGCCCTTATAAACGTCCTGAAACACAAATTTTGTGGGTACTGTTTCGCAGGTTGCCCTGATCAGTTATAATAAAGATAAATGATTGTGGCCTTAAACCTTTGATCCCTTCGGGTGATTAGCATCTGATTTATCCATAAAATATCACCGTGAATCAAACATTAAGGTCATGAGAATAGATAAAAGATCCTCAACTAAAGAAGGTCTTGATTTTTATACGAATTCTCCTTGTCAGCCCCTCAGGAAACGTATAGAGAATGGTATAGAGAATGAGCGTACTGATGTTAGCGTTTAAGGCTTAATTCCTAAGAAAGATTTAAAATTAGATCTTTTTTCATAATACTCTGGTCTTGTACCTCACAGCGCATGATACATTTCTGAGTGGATCACATGTGCCATATCCATCCGCTTTAGTGTTCAGTATGTTATAACATCTTTCGTCGGCATTTTTGGCGGCTGGAAAATTAACAGAAAAGCGAAAACGATAGAAGTGTTAGAAGCTCAGATCTGAGAAGGTAAATGTTTTTTTCATGAGTTTAAATTAAAAAACCACATAAATACCTACCTGAATAATTAAAGATGAAAGTGTTTTAGGGATTATCAATTTGAATTGTTGATCTGATACATTCAATATGTAAGGGAATCAAATTTTGCATAGATATGACAAATAAATCTCACTCGATGGTTAAACACATAAAAATGTGCGGATATTATGCGAACAATGAGCAAAATTTCCAATCATATTTATTTTCAACCATCGAATGCCTGCGGCCTTATCTAAGCATCTTGTCGATCACATAAGGCGCGTTGTTTATTCAAAATTCTAGCTTAAAAGACGACAGAAAATGTCTCATTTTGGTTGGTTCTGTACGGCCTTTTTTTGCTCCACTTTCTATCCATATTTTTACCCTGTTCTACAGTGTACGTAGTTGCACATCTTGTGCATTCCAAAAGTAGAATGATGGTAAAGTGGTAAAACATATAAATGGTAAAATGGCGTAGTGGTGCAATAATAAAAACATTCATTTCAACGTACTGGCTCCCCACAAATCCTTGCACTGAGTTTCGTGAATTTCGCTGCATTTTCCTCGATAGCAATGCGACTAATTAAAACAAAGAAAAGTTGTTTCAGTCAACGAGCCTGTTACACTCAGATGATAACAAACAGAAATGGCGGAGAAAGATGCTCCCTTATTGACACAAGCGTACAACTTCACTAGTCTATTTACACATAATGGTTCTTGAAAGCTTTTCTTAAAAGGAGCACTTGTGCGCTACCTTCTATTGCCGTGAAACTTGTGAATGACATTTTCGAAAGAAAAATTTCAGGGCTAGGATTAAATCATTTACAATTTCCTTGTTTCCTGACCAATTCTTCTATACGAGCGAATATCGTCCTTACTTCTTATTGAATCATTTATAAGATTACGGTAAAACTCCATGAAAACTTGATAATGTAAAGGCTAAAGGCACCTTTAAAATCACCATTTAAAATTTTTTCCATACATTGGAGTGTTGTTTGTCTCCACTCTCTGAATAACCCGTCCACCGCTGACCATCATCACTGTAGTACAAGAAGAAGCCAGTCACCCAGTCGTACCAGTTTCCACGTCCCTGTATCAAGATTTTGTTCACCGTTCGTAGCTAAAATATGAAAAATAAGCAAAAAATTACTGAACATCGATATTTGATTGCACTTTCCCGTAACTTGTCAGAGTCAGAAATGCAGACGAAGAAAATCCGTTGAGACTAACGTTATTTCCGAGTTTAAACTTTACTCAAATCACTTACAGCGTCAAACACATCGAGAATGTGGCTTGATACTGTGAAGCGCACGTGTTTTATCTCGTTCCTTTAGCTTTCGATTATTGTCAACCTCCTTTTTAAGGATGCACTTCGCAACGTTCCGCTATTTTTATTTGCACCAGACTAAACTGACGTGATGTCTTTCAAAAAGCCTTTAAAACAGAAATTACATCATCAGATAAATTAAAATTGAGGGTACCTGTCCAAGATCAATCTGTATGTACTCGTCTCTTTTCTTCTCTTTGGCACACCAGTACTTTCCATTATGCAGCCTGCCATAATGTGGGAGATCTGCTGGTCTGTATGAAGACGCAGTAATTTGGCTGTCTTTGATATCACCGCTCTGCATTCCAAGAGGGTCTATACATTCTATATATGAGAGATACATTATTGCACCAGTGATGTTTGAGCACATTTCGATTGGGTTTCGCTAAAACAAATCCTACGTTTGTAGTATGACTATGGCCTACCGGAAAAAATTGACAGTCACAAGAAGCCAAAATCATACTCCACGCTTGATACATGGGGAAAAGTGTAAAAGATGTGTCTTCACTTCTAAAATTTCAGTAAGTTCTGCAAGCGTGTAAGCAAGCGTGATAAATCTGCCACTGTTGAGTTCGATTAGAAATCACTAATATCATTTCAAACCAAAATTACACAAAACGAAGTTCAATTACCAATTTATTGCATCCATTTTGAGATCCCAAATTTAATTACCCAAAAAATATCTTAGTTACGTTATTCAAAAACTCCTTGACATTATATTCATCATTTTCTGCTTAAGAAAAAAAACTATAGTTTCAAGAGTAGGTGAGAGTAGTGACGTGCAGTTTACATGTTGCGGTGCTTGGGATTTGCACGCGCGTGAAGCGCATGTAATGCTGCAGAAAACACGAGCGGTACTCTATATACCTTGCTTTGCAAACCATATTTCTAGCCGTTTTTCGTCGCATCCTGACCACAATACCATATGTCTGTCGACGCCGGGCCAAGCTCCATAAGTATGGATACATTTGTTACTCTTTAGATGCTTCAAAGATCGTCCTGTCAAAAAAGAGAAAATATATAGAGAGGGAGAGAAAAAAAGATAGTGACACACTTGTATTTTTCGATCGGAAATATCTCAAGGAGACGATGAGAACTCGTACTAAAATGGATCAAATCAGTATCTGAGCACCTGCACATCTACTATATTTTTATTTACATTTACAAGCCTGTTGTATATTACTTTCATAATGAAGGTGTTTAAGCAAAGAATTGATGTATGTTGTGAACACTACGAATTAATTCTGGGTGTCACTTTCGCAAAAAAACTGAAGATGCATTTTCTGAGCCCCCTTACTGAAGACGTTAACGGTACTTCACGAGGGAAAAGCGCTACATTGTAAATAAATCTTACCTGATGTTCGCTCAAATTTTGAATCTTCAACTTTACAAGCACTGCTTACAACAATCTTCGCACCATTACCATCGCCGCCATTCTCAGGGCAGACCATCTTCCCACTGCAACTATGACGTAAAACCCCATCGGCATCAAGCGTGAACTGAAAGTGACTTTCCGTGCACTGGCCTGGTTTGTATATCAGACGGTCGTTGTCCTTTGGCGAGCAGGACTGGCTTGATGGAGTGAGACAAAGATCAAGACCATAGGACTTTAGAGGTGTTGGAGCAGTTGGACCAACTGTGGAAAACAAAGGCAATTAATTTATAGCTTCATTTTTTAGAGTGCCATAAGATTGCCAGAAATCCATAAACATAACGCCAAATCAAAAACAAGGTTTTATAAAACCATATCATTGGCGTGTTAGCTGCTAACTTATAGAGGTCGCTGCACATACACAGCGTCAAATTTCAGCAAGTTTATCATGAACAACTGTTAATAAACAATCAAGTTTGTATTTTTCCTCAAAATCACTCTTGATATTTGCGGGTGTGGATTATTTACGAGTGTAGCCTAAACACGAGTTTTGATGGTGACATGATCTCAGCGATTCATAAAATTCGTATTTTTTTCTAATATTGCTTAAATTCCTCAAAGGTTTTAGAAGCACTAACTTTTAGGTCAAAATTTCTGATTGAAGTTACTGAATTTTTTTATCGACCCTTATTGATAAACAGTGTCTTAACTTGGCTCTTAATTTTCGAATTGTTTTAACTTTGAGTACAAACTTGCTTCTCTGGTCCCATCATCTAGGAATTTTTACATTCATTTTTTGGACTATCCGGAATCTGCATTATGTGTGCTATTAAGCCCAGTCCTTGCGGATCTGGTTAACTGAGGTCCGACTGTAGTACTTCCCCTGCCACATCTCAGAAAATCTTTGAAATCAAACATTTGGAAACAGAAGAACACCTTTGCCGTCTCAACCTTTTTAACTCCCATGAGTGACCAAGAGATAATTTCCCCTTACAACATCAATACAAGTGATGAGAGTAAAGAAATATGTGAATCATGGGATTGTTGGTTGATTCAATACCAAATTAAACAAGCTAAGAACATAAGAATGGCATGGCAGACAGTAATTAAAATTACTAATAAGACCTTGGGTATGAAAAGTTTGGATAACTAATAAATCAATTAATTATTGCTCAATCACTTATCTATAAATTATTATTTTATTTTTTATACACTCCATATTATTTTTCAAAAATTGAGACTGGCAAGGAATCATAAAAGAAATCAAAACAATTTTTTCCACTACAGAAAAACAATTAGTTGCTTACAATTGAAATTTAATCAACTTCAAAGCACTGTAAAATCTGTCTATAGTAAAGGATAACTCATCATCGATTTTTTGATGTTTGGCGAAGAATAATTTTTTAACAATCACGAACGTAATTCATTTCTTTACTCTTGTGAATTTAATGTTTGATTCAGGGAGGATGCTGTAAAAAGAATATAGAAACCTTTTTTTTTTTAATCAAGTCAATCTTATGGGTCAAAAGGTTAAATAGTGGTAAACGCGGGGTTCACTCACTGTTTTGGTCTGACTGCAGGGGTATCCATCAATTATGTATGTATCTCCTGGACACTGTAAAATAAAACAGAACTCATTTCAAAAATTAACCAAAAAAATCCTCTGCGGACAAACTTGGATATCTTGTCTAATCGCCCCTGTGGGATACAATTGCCGGGTCATTCATTAATGTGGTACGAAAAAGTCCAAAGTTAATGCATTTCTTAGAGCTATACTTACATCGCCAGAATCACCAGTGCAGTATTCTGGAACATCACAATCTGTTTCGACTTCACGGCACAACGATCCTTGTTTCTTAAACTAAAGATAAGTGAGTAAGAGGTGATGACTATTACGTTTACGCATGTAACTTGGCGCTCATTTAAAATAATTTGGAGAAACTTTTCTCCTCAAAACTTTTATTTTCGCCAAATGTCGAAAAGATAGTAGTCCCTCTGAGCACAACAACCGTGTTGTTATAGCCTAGTAACCTCGCCTCACTCTCAATCTCAAGAGCATTTCTGATCGCTTCATGCAAAGACAAAAAAAACCACAAAAAAAACCAAAAATATTGTTATTTAACCCTGGAACATGTTATAAATCCTTTTCAATTAAAAAAAAATTAGATTTTATGACTATAACATTATGCCCAAAATTCAACCAGCATAATTTATTTGGCCCTAGTTCCGGGGGAATATTTCTTCTGGAAACAAAAAAGCAAAAATACCAAAAAGCGAAAAAAAGAGGTTTCATTTTTGCTTGAAATTCCCGGCTCCTCTGTCCCTGTATCATTTGCGTCCTTGAATCAACCGAGCGAAGTTCCACAGGCGGGCAGATTAGGGTGAAAATAGATTATAAACTATTTAAGTTCCCTATAACCAATGGTGTGTACTCTCAGAGAATTTACATTGAAGTTCCATCAAACTTTATTATATCTAATGCAGTCAAAACTGACAGCTTCCTAAAATAAATCGAATTGATTTTGAGCTTATACTGCGACATTATTTACCAGGCAGTTCTCGCAGCATGAATGATGTAGGTCACTGCACTGTGATTCCCTTTTGAGAACACACTTGTAGGGTTGACAACAGGGATCTTTTAATTCACACATCTGAGGAAAATAATGAATCTTTCCTTATTTATCGAAAAAAAACTTTGACTTTTCTTGCGTCGATTTAGAACTTGAATCAACTAATTAACGTTCGTAAGTTAAAACTCTTAGACTGTATAACAGTAATTAGCTGAATTGAAATAAACTGAATTAAGTAAATTAGAAACTAAGAATTGGAGCTTAGGGCTGGGCGAAGGCGAATTTATTGTTAGATTCGTTACCTTATTGGGTGAAAAGATTAATGTTATCGAGTTCTTTCAATGATGATCTTTCTTAGCTATATTCGTGTAAAACAGACCATCTTACGATCTGTTTTCAGACAGGCGGGATCATATTAACTAAGTTAGACATATTCTAGTGACTTGAAATATAGGAATTGACCTGACATTGACTGAATTGTGTTTAAATTATATTTCAGCCTTACTCATGTAGTAGTGAAGAAATGTAAAATGGTTTCCGTGTTTACATAGCCTGATGTAAACACGCGGGAGGTTGGGAGAACACGAGATGAGCGTAGGTAACCACGAGGCGAAGCGGATTGGTTTCCAGCTTATCGAGTGTTCTCCCAACCTCCCAAGTTTTTACATCAGGCTATGTAAACACGGAAACCATTTTACATTTCTTTTAAAAAATAACTAATGAAAGAGCCTCTTCTTCCAACGAAGGAAAGCGACGTGCTTGTTGTTGCTGTTCATTTTGCTTTTCGGCCGTTTCTTGAATACTGGGAAAATTAAACTCCAAAGAAAAATTTGGAAAATCTTCTTCTTCCATTACTGTACTGAAAACAAACTATAAAAAAACTGACTTACTGCTAAATTAATAGCAGGGAGAACTCCGCGAGAAGATTCAGTATGAAAACTGTGTTTACATACGCTCATGTAAAATGGTTTTGTGGCCAATCAGAGCGCGCGTACTTTTTGAATTATTTTATAATATAGTCTACAGTTTAAGCCTTAAGCTCGGCTCTACATCTTTATCAGAGCCAAAAGTATCACCACTTCTCATTATTTCCAAAATTCGTTCCTTGAATAATATTCGAGAGACATCTAAAAAGTTTTAGAACTTTTAAAAGTTTTTTTTTTAACAATTTTTCAAAAATCGTTGTCCTATGCTCCCTCTTTTTTTTATTATTTTTATTTTTTTCATATAATCACTATCATCCTTACATTACATAGAAAGTGACCAAGACAAAACAAAAATAGAAAAATCAAAGCAATAAAAAATAAATTATAAAAATGTAAGTTAACAAACCTCCGGAGTGCCACAGTCACATTCTTCTCCTTCTTCGCGAATTTCATTTCCACAATAACCGTTGACAGACTTGAAAAACAGAATATCAAACGGAACAGAAAGTCATCTTTCTATGTATTGATTACACAGTGAAGTTATTGCATGTCAATAGGTGATGGCGAATCAATCTTTTTATATTGTTTTATCTGGAACAAGTTTTAGCTGGATAGATACCCTTCAGAGCTGCGTAGATTTGGTGAAAAATGGCAAACACTGACGGGGTATAATGTCACCTAAATACCTTTGACACCAGCAAACCTCTTGACTTAACGCTGTGTATGTTTCAAGGCTGAAGTTTGGTTAATATAACATTTGATCGCTTGATTACTTTAGTAAATACTCGTTCTTGAAATCAAAATGTTTACCTTGTACGATGGCACGTTAAATAAGCACCAGTCATTCAGTTTTTGAAGCTGAGTCAAACTGCAGTTAGAAAATCCTGCAACTCTGGTCCTGCGAGCCAAATTGTATATCTCTGTGATTAGCCCGAAAAACTTGCAACAGCCTTTTTAGCACACATCAACCTTACCGATCCCAATACGCGAATGGAGGAATTAATTACGTTTGAGTTCCTTGCTTTTTTTGCTCAATGTGATCCGTGGTACTTCTTGCCACGATGGGATTTTTTGAAATCGCCATTCTTTTCCTATCACGTGATTGTTCGTCTATGTCAAAGTAACCCCGATAACAGTACTGACGAAGTAAGAACGGTGTTAGTAACTTTGCAATGTTTGCCTCAAGATGGCTGCTTGTGGTTTACAGTTTGGTTTTGGTTCTGGAACACCCAATCAAAAGATTTTGGAATGAGTCATGTTACTTGCCAAAGACCACTGTTTTATTCCAAATGCATCTGCTTACGGTTTTTCACCCTGTGCTACCGAATTTATCCATGGCCAATGATTAAAACTATGACCAGAGAAATTAAAAGTATTGTTGACTGAACACTCGTCTCATGTTTCGAAATAGCATGCAGATATTTATGCTAATAATGTACAGGAAAAAATCACGCGCTTTTGATTGGTACAAAACGAGTGCATTCTCATCTACCACGAGTGCAAAGTTGTATTACAAATATTACACAAATACAACATACTTGTGACGGCCCATGACGCAACCTCTTGGGGTCAAACACTTACAGCTTTCTGCGAAAAGAACAAATTATTTTCGATAACTTATCGAAAAGTGCAGACAATCTTGTGAATAACCACTTAGTTGTAAATTCATTTATGGGTTTGAACTACGGATTTTATCAGATAATACGTTACAATAAGCAAATAATAGAAAACCCAAATAAAAAGGGATGTGTTTGACCTGGTAAATGCGTTTTTCTCAATAGGGTATAATAATTATACTAACAATGTTCTTTATTCTCTACAGGTCAAATAACACTAGTAATTTGTAAATTTGCGAAAATATGGAATTTGTGTAAAAATAGATTATTAATCAAATAAATGAATGGATAAAGACAACAACAAATAAAGGATTAAGTAAATTCAAGTTTTTTTCCTGTGAATAATACAGAGAACTCTTAGTGTAATCGTGGAGTGCGATCTCGTGTTTCCTGAGATCGACAACGGAACTCAGTCACATAGGGTCTATTTCTACCTGTGTCATGGTTAAATCCAAAGTTGTGACCCATTTCATGAGCAACAAGCGCGTAAGGGCCAATGATATTTCCATAGTCCCACTAGAATAGTAAAGTTGAACAACTGGTGTCAGTATAAGATAAACAGCAGCTAACAAAACTATTTGGCCTCTTTAAAATGATTCTACTTAAAAATATTGGTTTTTTCTTCCTTTGTTCGTTTTTATTGTTTTATAGAGGGTTTTTACGTGTGCTATAATGCTTACGCGCAGTATGTAAAATTTTAATTTATGCCATAAGTGCAAACCGATTCCACTAACTTTGTTTCTATCACAAAACCCGAATAAGCAAACATGTAATGCCGTTTTTGTTGAGGTATTTGCTATTCAGGTTGAAAGGGTAGTCTTCCTTATGAGTTTCATTCATATTTATTGACAGTGTGACAATTTCTAATTTTTTTTTTCTAGCTTACGTTATTAATACCACTTGATACAGAGCCACACATCGCCATTACGAATGCCATGCCAGAACAGTCAGACCAACTCCAGTCGCTGAAACCAAAAAGAAGAGGGCAACTCGAAGCAGCTCCTCTACTGAATAACGACAAATTTTTATAAGCTACGTAAAAATAATGCGAGTTTTTTTGTGGCCTGAAAGACCATATAATTTTGTTTCCTACTGTATTGAATTAGACTCGTTAACCCTTTGTAGCTTAAGCGTTTTAGGCCTTTAAAGGTAGCGGCTCAGTTTTTTAAGTTACTTAAAAAAAAATTCATCCTTTTTGCATCCAAGAAATTGTCTTTGGTTTACTAACTTATTATAATCATGGCAACCGTATTAAGTAATGTGGTTTAATAGTTAGCCTCGGGCTGTGTAAATTTTATTTGCTTTATATAAACAAGATTATACTCGGCTGCCATTACAGTAATTTTTTTTTAAACGCTGCGTGCTTCAGTTTTCCTTTTTTTAAAACATGTCAGGAGATTTTAAGAAATCTCAGGACAGATATCAAAATCAGCATGCTGGATATTTGTCAAATCCATGCCTTAATCATTTGATTAGACGAAATCATTTTGGGATTTTTTTCGTAAGTCTACTTTTTTCATCAGTTATAAAATGTTTTGTCATCTATACAGTGCTTCAGTTTTCCTTTTTTTTAAAACACGTCAGGAGATTTTAAGAAATCTCAGGACAGATATCAAAATCAGCATGCTGGATATTTGTCAAATCCATGCCTTAATCATTTGATTAGACTAAATCATTTTGGAATTTTTTTCGCAAGTCTACTTTTTTCATCAATTAGAAAATGTTTTGTCATCTATACATAAATGGAGGTACTCCAGATCTTTATGAGAGAAGAAGCCGGGGTAGGTCGAGGAAGTGGCCATGGTTGACGACAAGTTTATACATGATCACATTTAAGTCAATAAAATCAATTAATACAAGCAATCATTGTCTTTGAAACGAACCTCTTGATCAATGTAGTTTTTAATTCACAAGAAAATCTCTCAATAACGACTTTTTAAGCCTTACGTCGTTTGGAATCTTTGACTTAACAGGAACTGAGAGTTTCTTACCTCAATAATTGTGCGTTGTCATGAGGAATTGTTTTTGCCAATATTTCTTTTCGATATGTGTTAAAGCGACCAAGGTCGTCTCCTCCTTTCTTTGAACGTTCAAAAGCTTCGCCGTTCGTCCAAATTTCCAGCCCCTTTACCACGATCCTGATATTTATCTGCTGATAAATCTGAATGAGGAAAATTAATCAGGAAATGCTAGACACTCCGCTAAACTGATTCGATTGATGTTGCTCTCCCCTAGGGACGAGGGAAAGGGCTTTATATCTCAGAAAATGAATATTGACTCAGTGTAAGTAAAATATTATGGTTTGAACTATCTTAGAGCAACAGTGAATCTAACATCGTGATCTTCGAAGAGTGAGTCACTTTGAAAAGAAATAGCAGACCTGTACCATAACTAAATGGGAAGCCACTTTCTCGATCTACTGGAAAGCCCTTGATTTATGATTTTTTACTTACATACTTTCAGACGTGTGGTAACTGCTAAAAAAGAAGCTTCCACCTTTTTCGGTTCCTCACCCCTCCCCCTCTTCACTGCCCTCCCCTCCCTTCATTCTATCATTAAAAGACTATGTCTATATTAGAATCTCTGCTTCTAAAACTGTATACTCACGGCATCAACAGCATTTGCTAGTGTTACAACGCGATCTTTAATGACATTGGTGTCATTATTGTATTTCTGGTACTGAAAAATAAAAATCGAAAAGCCCTCAGTAAATTCTGAATCTGATGTAGAAGAATTAAACATTTAAACCAGGTTTTAACCGTGAAACTCCGAGAATACTTCTCATTAAAGTATCATTATTCATTATTAAACAATTTTCTGAAAAGGTTCTGATATTTTTAATTCATTAGGAATGTTATGGTGACACTCCCACTTTCGTATGCCAAAGGAGTGTTTACAGCCATAACAATATGAAAAAAACAAGGCAACGAGATGAAATACACTTGGCTGTTTGATAGTTTCATCGTGTTTAGGCTTTTACTCCTAAGAGAAACCAACAGCTATTTTCTCTCTGCCCTTTTTACTCCCCGGATTAATCTTCAAGGTCGTGAGAACAAAGGAAATTATCGTTCTTTTAAAAACTTCTTGACATTTTATCTTTTGTAGGACCATAGGAAATATAAAGGAAACAGTATGAACTAACACCTAATTGTCTCAAGTAGTAAATGCTAGAAAATTTATAGCAGCTGGAGTCTACTTACCATTCCAAAATCAACAACCATAAGCACTTCAGTGTATCGTGTCTCGCTTGTTGTCAGAAATGGTTTGTAGAATTCATCAATGTCACCCAAAACGCTTCTTCTTACCTATTAGTGAGATGAAAACGCAGAAAACACCTAATCTAATTGTAATTTTTCATGCATTTCATCCATTGATTCTTTGATTTCTATAGAAATCTAAAACTTAATAATAGGAAAATCATAATCAGCATTTTACCTTAGAGAATGGCCTTTGATTTCCATCTGAATAATGGGAATCTGCGTGAGTCGCTTTGTTTCCTGAGGTAAAGAAAATACGACCAAAAATTCATGTTAGGAACAAGCCTTGCTGAAATGACTACAGCTCTTGAGACTCTTTCATTACAAATAAAAGAAGAACGAGCAAAATTTACAAATTTTCCCCTTTATGTCAGAATGTGCTTGTGTCTTTACAGTTAGGACTGCGCAAAATCTTGGTTGAAGGCGCATTTGACTCTTATAACATATGTCATCAACTTTACGTACAGTGCCCGAGGGCATGTAGCAACACGTGAGAGTGCTGTTCAAATCAGAGAAATCTTTTACCTATGGCCGCAGGAAACTGACATTGATGCTCCTCAGAACTGATTTAAATATCAATCAACGTTATTAGAATATGAATGCTTTGGGATGAGCTCAACCTTTTTTTTTACAACATTTCTCATTCTGTGTATAACCCTACCGCAGTTATTACGAATTCGAGTGGCTTCGTCTTGCCTCGCCCGGACCACTTTGTGGGCCCCAGTTTCCTAAGAAGAAGTTCGATCATGAATAGAATTACTAATCGAAGTTTTTTCCTCTATCTTTAAATCACAAATAAAAATCAATTGTAAAATTCACTTTTTTTAAGTTTCATTAGATTAAAATCTTAATTTCAATAACAAGACTTACTCTTTTTCCCGACTCGGGTGTTATATAAAATGTATCTTCACCATCATCTATGAGCCCTCTGTCGAAAGAAATTATAAGATGTTTTCTTCATCTACTATTATACCTGGGTATGACTCATGGTAATTCGAAGCTAGCCGAGAATATCCACGCGTGTAAATTTGTTCCTTTACTCTGATTTTACTTTGAGTTAGTGGTCTGAATATGACCGATATGAGTAAAAATCGTGTGGTTGGATTGTGCGGGTGAGGGCTTAACATAATAGTTCTGTCCGCAGTTTAAATATAATCCGAGGATTAAAAAATCTTATTTTCTCTCCGGCCCTACTTAGGAAAATGTTTGTGAAACATCCGCTACTTTATCCAACTCTCTAAACCAAAGAAGTGCAAGCCTTTGATCAAAACCTCGAAACGGCTATTTTCGGTTTGTAGTTATACTCGTAACTTCTTTATGTCTCACAAGGAAAATAATTTGTACTTTCTTACGGAAAAAAATTATTTTCCTTCGTCCTTCATGATCAGCTACTTGCGTGTTCTTTCAATACAAGAACTTCTTGAGACTTTTCTCGTGCACTTTGACAACCTATACGTAAGCCATCATCATAAGCGATTGAATCTGTTGGGATAAACTGTCATTGACAACAGTCCTTGAAAGACCACCCTCCTATGGGCGATCGTACTTTCCCATTGTTTTACTGGTTTGTCTTTACTCTTGAGTGACTCACACAGCAACCTAAGCTAGTTTTTCAAGGCATCGCTCCCAGATTTTCATTCATGAATGTAACTTTAATTAAAGTAATTGATGACATCTTCTCGAACCTTAAAACAAATATCTATAAATAGTAAAAATACCTCAGTCCTGAGCAAGTATTTAGTACAACGGTGGAATCTTTCGAGCCCCGGATGGACCCTTGATAGTGGCAATGATCAGAACCCCCCTGAAAAAGATCAGAAAAAGAAGAAAATAGACACTGAGGGAAAAAATATCAATGAGCGTAGTACCTAACAACTTAAACGTGGACGGAAAAAATAAGTCCTTGTGTCCATGATAGATTGCGTTTGCAGTTCTCTTGTGATAAACAGCTCTCTATTCTTGAAAGAACAGCGTGACGATCTTTTTGGAAAGATAGTTGCAAACTGTTTAAACTTGAAACCCTCTTGCACCTCGTAGGGATGCCAGTTTGATTAGTTAGAATTGCTAAAGTAATCTTTCTTTACATGGCAATGCAAAAGAGATGCTAGTGGCATGTTTGTGATGACAGATGATATTAAGACTTTTAAAACAATTTCTCAGCAAATCACCTCTTGAATCACTTCTGAACCATCGCTAGCAAACGTGCGAACGGCAAATGATGGAGAAATAAGTTCTCTGTGGGATAATTAAAGCAAAAAAAAGTAATAGGGAAATCCTTTTTCATAAACAAACTGATAAATTAACGATCATTATGACAATAACAATAACATAATAATAAGACATTACAGATTTACCATATTAAAAGATACTTGAAACAAACAGTCCAAGAAATTGTGCAAATGAAGAGCCTGGAAGCTGAATAACCGGCAAGATTTGGAGTCAGCCTCTAGTTGAGTTCACATACTTTAATGTGACATTTGAGAGAATACAGAACCATACTTAAAAAAAATAATAATTGTAATAATAACTATTTGGAAGGAAAGATAGATACTGAGACAAATATTTTGAACATTTGAAGACATTGAATAGAGTTTCGCTTTTTTGAGAAATTAAAGACGTTTAGATTTTTTTAAAGTTATCTGGCATTTTGTCACAGAGATAAATAAACTTTTTGTATGTTTACTTAAACTTCTTTAATTTTGCTTCTTTTGAATCATTAATATTTGTTTGCCAAAAGTGTAACCTAATAAAACTGCAGTAGAGTTTGATTTTTCGGAAATTGTCTCTGTCTCACAATATGCTGGACGTTGAAACAAAGAGAAGTTGAGAAGACCTTGGCTTTTTCTTTTGGGTTTGGGTGTAAAATTTGTTTTTGTGCGCATTTGTGACCATACTTGTAATTTACAGAAAATAATCAAATTTCTTATTCAACGCCCAGTTGTTTGAAGGTCGATGAGCGCTAACCCGCTAACTATTTCTTTTTTCATATGTCTTTTTGGGATAAATTTCTCTCTTCTTTTTGGAGCATCCAAGAATCAAATTTTGGACAAAGAGAGATAAGACCGAATTTTCTCTTACAACTTTCAGATCTCAAACCAGATTTCACACTAACCCTGGGTTATCTTAACCAAGCTTTGAACAAACCGGCCCTGGGCTTTTGTGAGCTTAGAGAACTGTAGAAAAGCACTGGATGAAACAGAGACACCTAAATCATTATCAGGCTTTAGCAGCAGTTATATGATGAAATGGAACATACTTATTTCTCTTCACATCTAGGGTCCAGTCCTTGTCAAAGGCAGTCAACCGGTAAGAGGCATCATCCACGTGACCTCCCTAAAATAACGTAGCATCGTCATCCGGTGTCCACCCCACAAGTGAGTTAACAGTTGATCATCTTGGTCGTCGAGGATAGTACATAAATACGAAGAGTGCTTCCGTAGTAAATAACTGAGTTCCTAATTTACGAAGAACGCACGAAGGACTTAAAAGCAATAGGTAGTTCCGCTCGGCCAGAATTTTATGAACTCTCTGATTGGTCAATTGTTTTTGTTCGCATCAATTATAAACAAAATGTTGTGAAATAAACTCCGATCAAACAGAACTAGAAATCCCGAGTTCCTGAATTTTGCTTGGCCATGTAATTGGCAGAAAATTTTTTGAACAATATCGTTTCCATGTATCTTAAATGTTTGGCAGGAGCAGTTTTTCTATTCTTTCATTCGTTAAACTAGGTATCATCAGATCTGAACGCGTTTGATTTCCACCCTTCTCGCAGAGAATTAAAAGAGTATTATTAAAATAACGTTCAAATGACTGTTAAAGGATTTATCTTCAAAAACCTTTTCAGATGTTGATAAATCCCTTTTTTCCAGTCTGCCATTAACGCGTTCCGGGAAAGTGATGTCATATTCTCTTGGAGAAGCCCCGTCTGCAATTACAAACTGTCTTTTGTTAACCTTTTCACTGCCGAGCGATAAATATCAACTCTTTGCAGTATCTGCCATCATACATTTCCTATAGGTTTGTCCATGAGAGATTATGGTCAAACCATTGAAACAGTGTTTGTTTCTTCTCATCACCTTTCTGCTTGCATATATTTGATAATTCAAAGGAAAATTAGCTCTTGGTCGTTCTTGGGAGTGAAAGAGCAACAAAATTTTAAAAGTCAAGTCAAGTTTGAAGCATAAGAAAACCGCAAAACTTTATGATAGCATCAGTATATCATTGTCAAATCATAATAATTATAAAGATGGAAAAAAAGAAATGACAATATACGGAAGTGGACTGCCAGAGACCAATAGTTCCATGCAGTTTATTTAAAACGATTAGTGATGTTGTGGCCAGTAATAAAAAATATGGTTTCTTGCCCAGGGTTATTACATCCGCATGTTAGTAGGACAAACAAAAATTTGGAAAGATTTTCATAAAGCCATATACTTTTCTAAAACAACAAAGTCGTAGTTCCAAACTCAGTTCATTGTTTTAGCCATTGTTTTTTTAATTAAAGAACTATAACCAGAATGAAGTATGAGGTTGGGCGGAAATCTTGTCAAAAATTTTTGTTCGAATAGAGTCTGTTTTGGGGTTAAACTTCGATTTTTATCCGAAAAGCAAAAGTATTTGTTTGAGTCACCATCATGAGTGTTTAATTAACCGAACACATTTCTTATTTTGCATAAAACTATTTCACCTGGCTCTCTTTTGTTACCTAAATTTTTGTTTAGTTTTTTTTTTAATTTGTGATAATTTTTTCGTTTGACATGCTTGCAAATGACATCATGATACTATCAAAACGCGTAACTATATGTAAACTGCTTACAAAGTCAAAACAACTGCAAAATATAATTAAATCAAAAGATTTTTAAATGACTGTGAATATTTGAAAATCATATGCGTGAACTGCGGATAAGGAAGTGAACATGAAAGCGATCTTTGCAGTAATGAACACTACTTAAACAGTAGTGAAAATAAATATGTTAGTTATAAAATCAACCCGTCAAGTGATGAATAAACGACTGTGAATACATGTCTAATAAAAACCTAGCAAAGACAGATTTATTTCTCAGCGTGTCGGCTTCATTAACATTATCGCTATTATCTAGGGTAAATTTAAAAACAACAAGCGACTATTGAATAAGGTAAAGAAGTTTAAATATCCCCGTAGAAGACGTAAATAGGAGACATACAGTTGGCACTAGCAGAGGTCTGTTTCGATTTTGCCCATGAATAGCGCATGCCTTACAAGGAAGAGAAATTTTTCTTGGTTTTTAAAGCTTAGGAAATTGATCTAAAGGACGAAAATGTGTTTGATCATCATGTATAAAAAATGTCAAGGGGGCAAGTTTCTGAAAAAACTGTGATACTGCGTCGGTGGAGAATATCACAAGAAAATTTTGCGTAACGCTCGAAACTTCAGCTTTGAAATTCTTTACGATGGCCAACTCAAATTATCAACCTAGTTGATAAAACAAAATTTATTTTGTTCAAAAGGTCAGTTAATTACATGCCTACCTGTAAACTGGAGGCTTGTGTAGAGCAAGAGCAACCATAAAGTGCAGACGATAAACGAATCGAGCTCTTTCATTAGCAGCATCCTCCCTTATCTAACGTTAAATCTACGTTTCAACAAAGTAAATACGCTTTATTAAGTTTGTAACTAAACGGTACAGCTAATGAGAAGCTCGAATAACTTATTATTATTTATTACTTATCATAAGATTTCATTTCCAACTAAGATAATAGGTTTTCGCCAAACTATTGTCGACTTATTGTCGACTTTGTCACCATTGTATATGTTTAATTATTCATTTTCAAGATGCTTAAAGTGGAATTTTACTGAGGCCTTTATTTAAAAAAAAAAGCATATTCGGCAATGAAATCCTCAGCTATTTCATGAAAACTTTGTTTGAGACTCAACTAAACTATAATAGTTGATAAAAAGGTTTATAACCAGGCAACGAAGAGATCCCAAACCTTCGATTCATTACTGATAATAGCAGTATGAGTAAAAAGGCCATTCACTGGACAGTTATAAAGACGTGATTACATTGTTTTTTCTTTAATTCTAAATTGCCTTGAGTGACATTAAATAAAGGCCTCACATCTGGAATCTTGCATTAAAATTGTATAGCAAAAAGAAATTGCTGACATGACGACGTCACGAAAGAAAAACTAACATTAGTCACCCGGTAATTTTCAGAGGGTGCCAGGTTCCCAATCGTATACAGTCTTACTCTTCGTGTCACTGTTTCTCTGACCGCCATCAAGGGATAGTTATCACCAGATTAGAAAATTAATGCACTTTGATAGAAAGTAGAAAATGCAGACGAATTAAACAACAGGATCTTTGCTCTATTATTAGCTCTATTATTAGCATTTAAAAATTTTATGACCTTATTGAACGTTAATTCTACATTTAAATAAAATAACGTTAAATCTACATTTCAACAAAATAAATACGCTTCATTAAGTCGGTAACTAAATAGTACAACCATTGAGAAGCCCGTATGACTTTTTAAAGCTGTCATTTCCAACCAAGATAATAGGTTTTCGCCAAGCTATTGTCGACTTATTGTCGACTTTGTCACCATTGTATATGTTTAATTATTCATTTTCAAGATGCTTAAAGTGGACTTTTACTGAGGCCTTATTAAAAAAAGGCATCTTCGGCGATGAAATCCTCAGCTATTTCATGAAAACTTTGTTTGAGACTCAACTAAACTATAAGAGTTGATAAAAAGGTTTATTACCAGGCAACGAAGAGACCTCAAACCCTCGATTCATTACTTATAATAGCAGTATGAGTAAAAAGGTCATTCACTGGACAGTTATAAAGACGTGATTACAAACAAAGGTGCTGGTGGTAACGCCGATTAGTGGTGATAATTTTAGAATTATCCCACCCAATTGTATGGTTAGTTAGGCATGTATGCTCCGATAAAGCTGAATTTTCCCTTTTGCAAAGGAAAACCGCTTTTTGGTGCTATTTTAACCGTGTACCAAACTGACGTTTGGTCTGTCCGATGTATTCGTTGTCACAGTCATTGCAAGGAATAGAATAAATGGCGTCGGTTCGTTGTTCTTTCGTGACAGGATCCTTAGGTTTGGCGAAAATATGCCCCAAAGTCTGAAAAGGTTTTTGAGCAACTTTAACGTTGTGGCTATTCAAAATTCTCTTGATGGGTTCCGTAATACCCTGTATGTAAGGAATAACAGCAAAACCAGTCGCTGGTTCCCTTTCATCAAGAGCGTTACTATTTGTAACTGATTTTTAGCAGTTACGGAGAAAAGGTTTTGTATAGCCATTTGCCTTTAGGACATTGGAAACATATATCCTCTCCTCAGCCTTCGAATCGAGTGAGGATAGAAGACAGTCAGCCCTCCTAAGTAAAGTTTTGGCTACAGACTTTTTATGGCAAATAGGGTGGTTAGAATCGCAGGCGAGGTATTTGTCGGTGTGGGTAGGTTTACGGTAGACACTTGTCTCTAAATTACCCTGAACCCCTCTGGACACATTTAAATCAAGAAAGGGCAAATGTCTATCCTTTTCACGCTCAAGAGTGAATTGGATCGACGGCTCTGCTGAATTCAAATGCGACAAGAGGCGCTACGCTTCATTACCGGATACAGCAGAAATAACATCATCGACATATCGTTTCCAGGAAAAGGGTTTAACCGGTGAAGTGGCTAAGGCCCTTTGTTCCACGTCTTCCATTACCATGTTAGCAATGACAGCAGAGACGGGCGAACCCATCGCTGTACCAAAAACTTGTTTATAGTAGGTGCCGTTATATGTAAATTGCGTGGTTTTGAGGCAAAAAGACAGTAGATGAATAATATCCTCCACAGGCAAAGAAGTTCTTTGTCCCAGGGAAGCATCGGTAAAATTTCCGCACAGCCCCATACTACATTATGCATTCAGTTCTTGAATAGAGAAAACAATGACAGAAACAATACATTTCCATTGGGAAAACAGATTTGTTTTACAATAGTATGGGGCTGTACGGAAACTTTACCGAAGCATCTTCTCTGAGTCTCTCCTCCGCAACCTTAACGGCAAGATCAACTGGGATTTTAGTGAAAAGCGAAACAACGTCGAAAGATACTAATTCTTCACAAGCGTTAAGAGTTTTATCTCTTATGAAATCCGCAAATTCGCAGGAATTTTTGACAGTGTAATCAGTATTCTCAACAACAGGCGACAAAATTCTCGCAAGATAACCAGAAATTGCATAAGTCGGAGAATTAACAAAAGAAACAATGGGTCTCAAAGGAATTCCGGTTTATGAATTTTAGGTAGCCATAAAAACGTGGGCATAAGCCGTCACTACTCTATAACACTTTGTACGTAGAGTCACCAATTTTACCAGCTTTTTTCAAATCAAGCAACATTTTGTTTAACTTTCTTTGAGTTTTACTAGTAGGATCAGAGTTTAAGACAGCATACGTACTCTTTCATTAAGCGGAGACAAAGCTTTGTCGTGATATTGCTGTTTGTCCATAACCACAACACAGTTACCCTTGTTAGCAGATAATACGAGCCTATCCGGATCCTTTTTGAGAGCTATAAGCGCATTGAAAACATCCTTTTGAATGTTTTTGGAAGGAGGTTTAGCTACCTGAGTATGCTACTTACTTCTGCTCTTACCAAATGCCTACGATCCTCAACAGCGGCGACAATTTCGGCAGTCGGTATTTTGCGAGGGGCAATAGCAAACTTCAGACCCTTCTCTAAACCACTCCATTCCAGCGCGGATAACTCCTTGGAGGAAAGGTTCATGATCCTTTTATCTTTCAGAGATGAGCCTGAATTAACAGGAGACCTCTTACTGAGCAAGTGACGGAGTTTTCTGTCGTGTTTCTCTCTCTGTTTCGTAAACGTCTGCAGTTCTTTCAAACTGCAGAACTCCTCGACCCAGGAAGTTCGGAGTTGTTAATCAAAGCAGAGAGTTCAAAACAAATATTTCACAATATTGGCTGCGTAGAATGTCTTTGCAAAGTAAATTGAATGGCTCCTCGGAAGGAAAAGTTTCATTTGAAAAATAGACCTGCTTTTTCTCCCTGCAGAACTCTTAGAACTCTAATAAAATATTTTTTTCTGCAAACTGATAGAGGACTTCCCAGTGTTTCTCTTAAATTTCTAAGTGTTTAACCCCATCGCCGAGTTCGTTGAAGAAAACTTGAAATAGCGAATGGGCAAGGATTGGGATTGAACGCGATGGTTCACAAAAAAAAGGGGTTTGATAGGTGGCAGATATGGATGCATCCTTCCGAGGCATATGTTTAAGGTACATGTGCAATGGCAGTGTGATAGCATTATTTGTCACTTTCAATAAATATTGACAATGCAAAATTTGTAACTTGAGTCTTTATTATCCATCATCTAGATTGTAACATATCGCTATGCTAATACACCTTTTTTTACCAATAAGCGAATAAGTTCTTCTCCCCACTGGAACTCAGGCCGATGGTGCACCTACAAGAGCGACGAAAATCATCACTATTTAAAATTTTCCGAATGTGGAATACACTCTGGGAGTCAAATTGAGTTTGCTTGTCTATCATTCGCACACTGTCTAAAAATCTTCGAGCTATTCTTTCCGTCAACGCCTTACCAAGTTTAAAGAAGTTGAGTTTCAACCTTTCCTCGTCACATCCTGGCCAGTAATTCAAGTGCACTCCCTCCCCAGGCCATCCACCGTTTGGGTGAACGCAAAAATTGTGCTTCAAATTCTTCAGGTTATAATGAGCCGCCAACCTGAAATGATTAAAAAAAATAAATGATAGACGCGAATAAAACCAATGCTCCCTACGAAAAAAAACATGCTTTTGCGATGTCATTAGGCCATTTGGGCACCAGTCATTGTGTATCGCCAGGGCGGGAGGGGCGGGGGGGTGGCGGATTTTTTTTGTCGGGGGATCCCCTGGTTTTGAGGGGGGAAAAAGAGGGGGATCAGTCGTCGCCAACAATGGGGGAGGGAAGGAACGGGGAGGGAGGGTCATAAAGAATATTACAGAGCCATAGAGGAGATATGGTAAATTTTATAAATATTAGCCCCCTCCCCTAAGGGCATTAGTCATGACCGGTACCTAAAAGAAAGGTTTTTCGAAGAGAAACATGCAACTTCCCTAATACAAGCTGTTTAACAAATGCCTCAGCGTGTTAATAAATGGTTCAAACACACGAAATTTGTACACAGTAAAGAAGTACCACGAGAGAAAAAGTAGGAAAGGGATGAATCCAGCATGCATGATATTTGAAAATATGAAGCTGACATAAGTGGACATTATGCTGCAGCCTGCACATCATAATTTGATTACATACCTGATATGCTTAGAAATACTCAGATCACATTTATCCTTCAGCATGAGTTTTTTGTAGTAAGTAGGGTTATTGTCTACAAAAATGAAAAACGAAAACAAACTTAATGTCTCAAAAAAGGGATTGTTCATGCCTAAGTTTTTTGTAACAAGCAGGCTTATTGTCCAAAAAAGAGACAAAAAGGAAAAGACCCAAATTAAGACAAAAACAGTCAAACAAAGTTGTTTAAAGAAAAGGTGGATTGTTCAAGACTTAACTAAAAAGATTGGGCCAAACTGCTCAATTTTCAGAGAAGCGCAAATTGAGACCAGCGGAATATTTGGAACCGTTGAAAGTGATATATCTCCTGTTCTTCCCCTCTTCCAGGTCACCTCACATTGAAATGGAAAGAACTGAAATAGTTCCACGGAATCATAGTTATTAACAGAGAAAGCTAGCTAAAAGTGTCACAGAATTATTTCTTCGTTTTCTTTTTTTCTTCACGAGAAAACAAGAATAATAAAAATTCAGTTATATTACCATCACAACAAGGAAAACCAACAAAGACTACTACAAAAAAAAATCACGGGAAAACGAGAAAAAAAACTTAACGATACAATAATTAACTACCCTGTGGACAGACTACTTTCTTGCTGCATTTGTGATGAATAACGCCATCTTGGTCAAGAACAAAAATCTGATCGGTCACATTACAAGCTGTGCCTTCCTTTTTCGTAAAGATAAGATAACTCCCATCAGGGGAGAACAACCTCCTTCGTTTGGGGCCACACAGAAGTCACCGTAGCTTCGTATTCCACTTTCTGAAAAAAGAAAATTACTAATTACAATAATAATTAAAATAATGATACCTCTTTCAGTCCTTAAATTATGTTGAGGATTCGTTTACCGCTTTTTCGAGAAACGATGTCGGGAAAAAGGACAAAAGTGCATGTAACAATGTCGAAAGGTACTCTGCGTATCCAGTAATCAATGAATTTTTTTAATAATATATATATACTTTTTTTTTTTAAATTTAATCAAACCGTAATGGCTCGTCCTTACGAAGACATTTTCTCTGGTTTTACTGGAATCCTGAAGTCATGGAAGCGGGACAATAAAACAACCCTCAACAACTTTTGAAGTCGTCACGTGCACTTTTATACTTTTTCTTTTACCAACAGCCTTTCTCAAAATAGCTGTACAGATAATATACGTACAGACGATATTTACATATTTAGGTTGTTTAAACAAGCCCCCATTTAAAAAATATTTCTGATGAAATGGGCCAGCCTGTTTGCAATAACGTATTTAAAAAGAGAACAATTAACCAATCAACCACACTTTCTATCGGTTTAGCGGCTAATAAACCACGCGGAAAGTTGGACCACAGGAGAAAAGCTTGTTAACCACAAGGCGTAAACTTTTCAAGCTTTCCCTTGCTCAGTAGGTGGTAGTTTTAGCTGGGATATATTTGATCACGTCATGCATTAAGACCAATCGCGTGCGAGCAAAAATACTTGATGAATTGTAAAGGTTTATACCACAGTGCAATCAATGAACATTCCCAGCGATTAAATAAAGTAAATTTCCTGGTCATATTATAAAAAAACGCCTACCAGGGCAATAAAAGCAGTTCCCTTCGTCTTGTGTAGGAATGCTTGGATCGCACTGTTTTCCACCACAACGTCGCCTGGGGTTTGTACATGTTCTGTACCTTCGATGCTTACCAGGTTCGCATAATTTGTCACATCTCCCCCATTCACCCCACTCAGTTAGTCCGCCATCCACTGAATTCCAAAACAAATTTAAAAAATACAACGGGTAAAAAGAAATTATTTTTCACACAAAAACCAAAGATATAGCTATTTGAACAAAACGCCTATCTTAGGGATTAATATTTCAGTCACAATTTATGAATTATTGAAAAAGATCAAAAAACGAGCCTTATCTCCCTAAAATCGGACCGGAGCGTCCATATGAAAACTTTTCTTGACTGAGTAAGCTGTCGGACGCCAAAAATGATATCTACGAACCTGGGTAAATCCACCCTCGAAAAAACAAAACTCGACTGTTAAAAAGGAGACAGTGCTGAAGGTGATAGTATAAAACGAAACGGCCTAGTTTATCGAGCTTCTAAGGAGGGGTCTTTACTGTATCTACGGTGATACCTGGTTTTCTATCCTCATCACAGTCATCCTCATTTAGCCAGTACCAGATAACCCCAGGATTTCTCATCCCCCTAGCCCAAATCCAATCAGACGGAAACCGATCGGGGCCCCCCCAAATGATCGAACCCGACGGGTAGTAGGTGGGGCTGTCGGATGTGGTCAGCAGAGCCATGTGGTGAGTTCCTTTGGCGTCAAACCACGGCATTCTCTTGTTTAATGAATTCCACCAAGAATACTCCCAACTGTCAAACTTCCTCGTTAGGTTGACGTGGGTTTGCGAAGAATCCGATGCCATGAAGCTTTGATAAACAAATGAAATATGAAAAACACAGTGTGTGAATAAATTAGGGTACGTAAATACCTCCAATTTTGGAAAAAATACAAGGTATTACAAATTTTCTTTGAATATAAGTATTCATTCCAATACAATCCTACTACTGTTTTCCCACCTGTAGGACTTAGGAGCTTCAAAAATCCCTCCCCAGTGACGTCTAGAATGAGCATCCATCATGTACTGGAATGTGCCATTGTTGTTCAGGCTTTTAATACTGTCTGCTAAATCTAAGATGGAGTAATCTCGATTCAGTCCTGGATAAAGGGCATTTCTAGAAATGAAAGGAGAGATATCAACAAAACGCAATCGGTTTTCTTACTTGGCATATACTTTTATTTTCCGCTTGCGCTTACTTAGATAAATTTTCAAACGCATCTATTATGTATATCGAGACTAGGAGTGGCAAGAAGACGCTGCTATCAATATTTAAACGAAAGGTATTAAAAATTTTTAAGAAATTATTTGGCCAAATCCTGCCATATTATTATATTATGGGACTAGTGGAAGACATTTGCCTTACCGCGGCTTCCGCTTACCATAGGGTGAATAATTGTTTCAGTACAGTATCATATAAAGGAGAGATCCCCCAAAATTAGTCTATTTCTGTTGATACATAAAAAATAGTCGGATTTTAAACTCTTTAAGCGCCATTTTGTCGTTTCTCTGCAAGAGGTTGATAGTACTTGCCAGTCGTTTCCGAAATAGCCAACTAATGAGCGCGAAAAGCTTTATTATTATTGTTTTTATTGTTATCATTATCGTCATTTCATCTTCTCTTGCGATCTAAGAGCATTTCCACTTTCCCTTTAACAACCACCAACGCATTACAAGGAACACGTCACTTTGGGCCTCAGCTTCTTATCTGATTAGTCTAAAGAACACAAGTATAATATGCAATTACCTGTGGGGACCTGTGCCCGAGTCCAATTGTTGTGAGCACTCGTCACTATAAGAGTGAAACCTCCTTTAGCAGTTGTCATATCGCAGTAGACCGGGAGGTACTGGGTATCACTGACTTTCATCAGTTGGAAACTATCCTCGCCATACTTGTTACCAGCTCTCATTCCGTGTAATTTCAAATCGTTGCAAGATAACCTGTCCACAAACAAATGACTCTCAATTATTGCAATAGACGATGAACACGATAAACATCTGAGATTTTGATAACTTTGAGATGTTATAAAGAAACGCTTTCACGAATTTACCCTGGCCTTTTAGCTGGAAACATAATTCCCCCTGTCTAAAACGGTATTTTTTTTTTGGTTATTTCGTAACTAGAGGTCGCAGAAAAACTTTAAAACATAAAGCTTGAATTTGAACATCTTTCCTATTATTACTGTATTTGATCGCGACGAAAAGTCGAATTTTATTCAGGCAAGCATAGTTGCTATGGATAATCTCCAAGAAAAGTGTAAATACAGCCTTAAGTGTACAACTGACAGGAAAAAATTTGTATATAAATACATACATATCGCATGCTCTCTTTCTCTTTTCTAGCTTATTTGCATTTTCCCGTGCGACGTTTTTCAATGGGCGCGATTCTGTAATGTCTGCACTGATTACGTATACACATAACATAAATTCACCTCGCTCCTTCTCTCATCCAGTATCTCACAACACTCGGGTTTGGCTTCTCTTGCTCCAGATACGAGGCGGAGCTGGCGCCACTGTTATACACCAAGGACCCTGACGGTTCATCCACAGTTGACGCACTGCTTAATAACAGATCTTTAGATAATCCCAGTCTGGGCATGCGCTTTCCCAAGTTGCTGTTCTCGTCCCACGAGTCGAACTTCTTTACGATTTTTACTTTGGTTTGTTTGTCGCACGTAGATAGGAATGTATAGTCACGTGGTGCTTCCCAGATCCCTCCCCAACGGGTTTTACCGTCTGCCTCAATTCGGTATTGAAAGAATTCCTGCTTGAAGACGAAATTGAGGAAACACGACGAGTTATGGAAGATGCAATCGAAATATTGCCACTCCATGATCTCATGATATGACGGGGAAACTAGCTTATTGGTGACTGGCAAAAGTTTTAAATCTCATTGGTTGAGATGGCGGCGTAAGGTTAACAGGCAAATCACTAGTTACAGTGAAAGAAAACCGTAGCAATTCCGAGTTACTTTCAACACTTAGTGGATAATTGAGGGACAAAGCACTTAGGGTGATTTTTTTATGGGCATCAATTCATATACTTTTCTACAAATTTACCAAGTATTGACTTTAAATCACCCCTCAGCCGCTCAGACATCTAACGACTTACCTGAGCTTTGTCAGAGTCCTTTATGGCGTCTGCAAGCCCCAGTATGGAATAGTCATCTTGTAAAGAAGGTTTGTCTGAGTTTCTTTTTTTCATGTTGTCTTTATTCCACCCACTGTGGGTCTTGCGTGTCACAAGTAGTGTCCAGGGTCCTCCTTCGGTCGTGAAATCACAATACGTTTTAACTTTTTGCTGTCCAGGAGGTTTAATTGTGAAAACTCCATCTGAAAAAAAAAACACATTTCAATGCAGCTGCAGTTAACTCTTCATGTGAAATTTAAATAAGGTGTGATCAGTTTGACCAAATATATATTAAGACACAAGAACAAGGGAGTTAGTAAGAAGGTAATTTTAAAATTCTTGATTTGTATTTATTTGAATGATATCCACATACGTACATGTAAAAACCAGCCAGAACGGAAACAACTGTCAAAACGAATTAGATCTAAAAATATTTGAAACGGTCTCCAATATGCGAAAATACGAGTAATGCCGTTAGTTCTAATTTGTGTTTTATTGCTTGAGGAGTTGGCAGGATTTGTTTCGAACAATACCGATCGTAGTTAAGAAAACAAAAGCAATACAATCTCGAAAGTATTGAACGAAATTTCAAATACTGGATTTCCCGGTAATTCGTATCCAGACTTACCTGAGACAGGGTTAGTCAGCAATCCTCTGAAGAACACTTCTTTACAGGAGCCAGGCATGTTAAAAGGTCCCTCTCTCATCCAGTACCAGATATATGATGGCTGACTCTCCATAAGGTGACCAGCAATCCAAGGTGCAGGGTGGTATTCCTTAGCGTCCGCTTGAAAAATCAATCAAGTTAAAGCATGAAGTTCAACCACGAAAGTCTTGTTTTGATCCAGTAGTAAGACATTCCCTACCTTTGACCCCTTTTCAATCCAAAAATGCAATGTTTCGATTCTAGGTAATGACCCGAAGGACAATATAACAAACTTTGGTTAGGGTTTGATAGCAAGTAATTGAGACTGGGGAAGATATTTCACTAACTATTCTTTTCGAAAAATTGTGAAAAAGGAATTAAGGTTGATGAATTATGGAACCATTGAAATCATAAATCAAACGCTTGAAGAAAATAAATCTCATGAAAAAGGAAAGCTGTATCGTTATAGAAAGCTCTTTTTCTCCAAGTTTTCCTCGTCATTTCCGTGACTATCTCAAAAATGGGGTTTGCCAAAAAGAAATAAACAACAACAAAAAACAATGATCTTGTTTAATTGTACAGAGGAGAGTTATCGCTTGTGTAGTATAGATTGAAGGTTATTTACCTGTTATCGTTCCCCACCAGCTGCGATAGGCATGATGGGATGTAGTTAACCTGGCATCAGAAATCCATGGCATTCTTTGTTCAATCCCACTGTCTGAATATTCCCAATTGTCAAACTTCTTAACCAGCTGAATATTCGTCTGTTTGTTGTTGTCAGCTGTGAACGTAAAACCTCTGGGCGCCTCCCAGATACCTCCCCAGCGATCTTCAAAAATAAAGAGATAAAGGTGAGAGAAATATGCGCTCAGTAAAACTAACGTTTTATTTTCGGCACAAGTGTTCAAAGTCTTCTCTTCAGGACAATTGATGTACGGCCTTTCTCTCTGTGCGACATAAAAGCTAAGTACCCTTATAAGCCTCGGCGCGTAAAGGGAAAGAGGGCTTGCTGGAAAGACTATCAAAGAAAATGTTATACATTGTTAATGATGGAAGTTTTGGGAATGAGCATCGTTCGTGATGATGGCCAAGATGACCATGTTTCTACATGTGTTGCTTAATTCTACAAATAAATAAATGAGTAGGAGTGAGATTCTATGCGAGCATCGCATACTTTCTCGTACATTCTATTGCTAATTTTTTTTCGAAATGGATAATTAGAATGGCGATCACTTTGTAGACAGCATGACTGCTGACCCTCATTGTGGATTATATTTTTTTACTATGACCTCCTAAGCTCACTCTACATCCACCCTATCCTGTCCTGTATGACGGAAATTTAGGTACCCTGAATACATTGAATTACCTTGGCTTTGAGCCTCTAATCGATACTCAAACGTAGAACCTGCCACGTTAATATTATCCTTAATACTGTCTGCATACTGCAGGATGGAGTGATCATCAGTCAACTTTGGAGAGTTCGCGTTTCGCAATTTAACATTCTGTGCCGTCCAGGTGTTGGTATGACTGGTAACCAATAGTGTCCATCCTCCACCATCACGCGACATATCACAGTACGCCATGATTGGCTGAGAGCCTGTGGGGTAAATCTTGTAGACACCATCAGGATAGTAATGATTCTGTTCATCCCCCACTTGACGCAAGTGATGGCATGAAATCACCACTGGATAAGAAAAAATAAAATTTAACATTGAGCAAAATGATGTTACTAGAAGTGTTTTTTCCATACATCGCCCTAAGAGTTAATACAAGGAGAGAAGTACAATAATATTGGAGGTAATGTAACTGCCACCAGTGAAATAGCTCAATGCAAGACTCCTTTTCAAAAGAAATGTTCTCCTATGTGTTCTAGTGTTGTTTTCTACTCTAATAATTAAGACACATTTACCAAATTTGAAAAGGCAAAAGTAAAAACGTTCGATAAAATCAGCCTTTTAATAATCTAAGAGATATCCTCCAGTAAGCGAAGGATACCTAATAAGTCGTTCAGGAGATCGACTGTTCTGTCTGTCTTAAAAAAAGGAGAGTGCAATTCTCCTAATAAAACCCTCCCCTAGCCTTTCCCTTCTCCCATGAATTTAATGCTACTCCGACTTATGAAACATTTCTTTTGCAAAGGAAATGAAAAATTGAAAAAGCCTTGCCGAACCAAACTTGCGACCCATGTTTCAAGAACTAGTTATAAGCCTCACAGATCACTTGGTATTCTGTTTTCAGTTCATAAGTAAAAGAATAGGTCAAATTAAAGAGGGGAAACTAGAAAAAAATCAATAATAAATACTTTAAAATTTTTAACTCACCTGGACAGCTTTGTGTATTACAATCCTGTTTTTCATGTCGGTCTCCGGGGCAGTCAGCACCTCCATGTAGGGGGAACGGATTGTCACAGAACCGATGTCTTCTTCTCTTTCCACCATCACAACCCTTGTCACACACAGTCCATGACGACCACTCACCCCAGGCTCCATCTCGAGGTACCAGAGCTGGAATGGGTCAGTTTAATGATTATAATAATAAAAACAAATATAATCATAATAGTTATAATGATAATAATGAATTCTACGATTAAAGAAAATACTTCCTCTTTACAAAAATTCCATCAGCAACCTGTATCAAAGGCTTTTTTTGTAAACGCTGAAACCTAACTATAGATAATTTTCGTGAGGAAGCTCCCTTATTTTCCCGAATTCTACGAAAATGAAAAGACTTCCCTTTTTTTAAAACGCTTAAACCTAACTGAGAATAAATTGTCGTGAAGTACCTCCCTTACTTTCCTGAATTCTCTAACTATCTCTTACCCGATGCACAACCGTCTTTAGAATCAAATCCTCCCTCACAATGACACAACTTTTTGTTAGTGCAAACCTAAATAAAAGAATGATGAGTTAGATACAGTCTATCGAACAAAATGTTGTTTGGCCAAATGTTGGAATGCATAAATAATAAACAAAGACAGGGTTTTTGTATAGCATTGAGATTCAGCTCTACTGCCGCTTCTCCTTTTTGATTAAAATATCGACTGCACGCACCTTCTTAATTTTTTGGGTTTCAGTTGTTTTGTTAAAAATTGTTTTGTTCTTTCTTTTTCTCGTTTGCTTCTTCGCTTATTTGTTTGTTTCTTTTTTGGCATCAACTGGGGATAGACATTAAAACTGATCTGAAGAGCCAGCAAAGCTTATCATGTCAAGTTTATTTCTGACGAGGAAACCATATTAGTGCATAGTATCTCCTCTAACTTTATAAATAACTTAGTGGCACTTTAAATTAAGACACCGATATCATTAAATGAAAAAGCTTCTGGAAGAAAGGCGGTGTGGTGAAACGCGGATTTGAATGCAAATGCATCGACAGAAGAAGTCAAAAAAAACCTTTGAGAGAGACATGTCACGATATTAGAGAATTACTTTCGAAAAAAAAAGACTTCAATGAGTGAATCGACAATTAGAGTAAACAATTACAACAACGGCAGAATGAACGAAAAGTAACAAGTATGCTGAAGGATTTTGAAGGTCAATTAAGGTGTCATGGATTTGAAAAATTAGCCTTAATTATTAACTTACTCCTCTTCCCCCACACTCCTTGTTATTTGCCACCGGACAATTGCCAATGTCGAGAGAATCAAATGACTGACACTTGTAATTTATACACATCTGTAACAAAATACAAAATTCAACAAAATTCTTTGTTATCTTAACTTGTAGAAAATCATAAAATAATCTTGAGAGGTATTTGCCTCATAAAAGCTGGAATTGTATACTACTGTAATTCTATTTTATAATTTGGAGTTTCAGGTATCAGTGTTGGCCTAAACGGCTTTGATAGATCACTGGCTTCAAGTGGAAGGAAAAAAATCGGTATTGTTTTTAAACTTAGAAGGAAACTCTTACTTTACGAAAGAACAGCCGAATAGATACTCTAAAGATCTCGATAAAATTTTCTCTATTGTCTGCCAAACTTTTTACAATTTTGGCCTCTACATTATTGGTGTTGAATTTAAAATCGTTGATTGATGTTTTTTCTATCTCCTCGTTACCATTTTTCTCCACAATTTATTCCTATCACAAGAAGGAAATGCTCAGGGGCCATTCCTGGGATAGGAAGTGTAAATTTTTATTCACGGTACCTTATCATCTCCACATTTTGTCCCTTCTCTAACCATTCCCTCACCGAGGTCATCTATAGATTTTAAGGTTGCAGCACTGTGGGAAGAAAGAATACATTAGGCTGTCACACTGTCCAAGAGCCCATGCTTTTTTTCCAAGAATTTTGGTTTTGTGGCGATAAGTCTTACTCTTTTTACACAAATCATTTTTGAAACATTATATAAGAACGTATACCTTTTAAATATTAAAGAGTGGGGTGAAAAGACTCTTAAATAGTTCGCATCTCCACGGCCTATCCCGTTTTCCTTAACATGAAGCGACTAGGAATATTCCTACTTCCTCGAAGCTGGAAAATGGTCCATCGCAAGTTACCCCCACCCCCACCCCCCTACCCCACCTTTCTCGTTATTATCATAACCACCCATATCAACAGCATTTCCATCGGTTTTCTTATAAGTCAGTGGTACCGAAGGAGGGTGGATCTGGAGTTCAGCGAACGAACCACAATAGATAGATATATCTATCGATAGATATATATTTCTTTCCCTTGATAATGTCCGTAGGCATGGTTTCCCTAGAAACACGTTTTTCAACTTCTCCTTGAATACTTTTCGAAGTATCCAAATTGATTAAATTAAGAAAAAAATAGAGAACACATTTGTACTTTTTCGCATGGGGTTTTGAACATACTTTAATACCTGCATTGTTTCCCATTATCCAAACTTATCTTGGTGTACGTCCATCCGTAGTCAACAACAGGTTTATCTCTGCTGTCTTCACATTGAAGCTGACCGCATAACACGTTACTAAGAAAAAAATTAAGGAAACTCATTAACGTTTGCATAATGAATATTTTCGGCAGATTGCATATCAGTGGTCGCCACAAAAAGAAATTTTCAAATTAAGGAAAGGAGAGAGATATGAAAATATATGAATTAAGAAGTTTGAAATGTTTGCCTACTGAAACACCTTAGGTATCCAGATACGTATAAAAGAAATCATAGCATTTAAGGCATAAGCTACGTCCTTCTATTTCTGGTTGGTTTACCAAAAATAGAATAATTATAAGGAAAGGCAAATTGCCCAAATAAACTTCCAGGACTTCACCCTAGCAACATCTAGAGGGACAATGGAATAGAAATCCCGGAAGTATGGATACTGACGATCAAGAGACACTACAGGTCAAGGGCCGTTCGACCGCGGACCACTGAAGGAACCTTTTGACGAAATGCGCTAGTATCAGCTGTGGAATTCCAACGAATAACAACTGAGAAGAACAGTTTATAAGGTAACGCGTACTAAATCGACTTTATCGCCTGAATAAGCAGTATGTAGTCGAAACGTCGCGGTCCATATACAAAGTGACTACGTTGTGAGATGAAAGATTGTACTTCGTTTTAAAACTCCCTGAAAAAGATATCTTTTAAGTCCACCGGGTGATTATTCTTCCAAACTTGCATTGTGGGCTTGTACCTTGCAGCGCATGATGCATTTGTAACTGGATCACATGTGCCAAATCCAGCAGCTTCAGTGTTTAGTTTGTCATAACATCCTTGGTCGGCATTATTGGCGGCTAAAAAATTAATTGATTTGGGTTACAAGTAAAGTATTAGAAGCTCAGGTAAATGTCTCTGTCATGACCTGAGATACAGCAACTTGAGGTGGCTGAGTATCTATAACTTAAAGATACAACTGTTTAGAGGATAATCGCTTTCAGTTCTTGACTGGACGCAGTTTAATTGTAAAGGCATTAAGTCATGTCTAAATAATAAGAACGTTTATTCAAACTTACTTGCTCCCCACAAGTCTTTGCACTGAGTTTCGTGAATTTCGCTGCATTTTCCTTGGTAGCAATGCGACTGAAACGACAATACTTGTGTAAGTCAGTGGCTTTAGAGAAATTTTCCTGACAGGTGCACATGTTCGCTATCTTTTATCGCGAATAAACGAATCAAAATGTTCACTTTTCCCTTCTCTTTTGTTTCATACCAAGTCTTCGAACCAAACAAGCGAATATTCTCCTTACTGAATCGGTTTTAAAACAAGGAAAAATGTCAATAAGAACCTAACGGTGTATAGTCACATTTAAAATCACCGTTTCAAATATTTCCCTTACATTGGAATGTTGTTTGTCTCCACTCTCTGAATAACCAGTCCACCGCTGACCATCATTGCTGAGGAACAAGTAGAAGCCGGTCACCCAGTCGTACCAGTTTCCACGTCCCTGTATCAAAATTTTGCTCACCGTTCGTACCTACAAAAAGAAAAATCGGCCAAAAGTTAAAACGGAGAGTCGACTTCTCATGATTCAGAAACACGTACTACAGGACGTGTCATCACTAACTCGTTTTTTAAATTCAACTGTACGCAAATCACTCACAAACTCAAACACATGGAGACTGTGAAACTATTTTTGGTCTTTCATGTTTTCTCTTATATTCTGCTTTCTCTCTTAAAACCTGTGACGCTGTAATGATTCGCTTTTTTTTCGCAGCAAACTATCACCAAATTTAAGGGAAAAACAGAAAAAATCTTAAAAGATAATTAAAAAGGGGACTGTAAAAAAAAAAAAAGAAAAGTGACTGTAAAAGCATTAAAAAAAAATTAAGGCTACGATTGAGGCTTTCTTGATACAATGACCGCGAGGTGAGGTCTTCAGTGTAGCACTTTATACAGAAGGCTCATAATATAACAGATCAGAGATTGGAGATACCTGTCCAAAATCAATCTGTATGTACTCGTTTTTGTTTTTCTCTTTGGCACACCAGTACTTTCCGTTATGCAGCCTGCCATAATGCGGGAGATCTGCTGGTCTGGATGAAGACGCAGTGATCTGGCTATCTTTAATATCACCGCTCTGCATTCCGAGAGGGTCCACACACTCTATAAATAAGGTATATCTAATTTCAATTGAGCGCGTTTCGATCGTGTTGCGCCAACCATTACCAAAGGTTATAGTAAACTTATTGTCCCTAGCAAAACAAATAGATTATCACCCGAAATCTCGGGCTTTATTTAAGAAAAGCTTTCGCCATCTTTACTTTCCTTTAATGGAGCCCGCTATGTTATGCAACCTTGTGCACGTGCTTAACAAACAAACTTATCATGCTTTGTCATCTTTTTTTTTTAATGTGATTTGTCCGATAGGGTATGTTCCTTGTGAATCGAGCGTATTTGTGCCCCTCTTAGAATTTTACGGAAAGAATGGTTGATTACTTGGCCATTAAAACCGCCTCAGTTACTTCTCTGTTGTTAATTTGGATTTTGATAAATAATCTCTCGGATAAGAAAACTCATGTACATGTTGCATGAAAATAATTCGTAACTCTTTATTGAAGTTTTTACACACTGTTCAGCTGTATGTTTCACCAACATAAATTACCTTGCTTTGCAAACCATAGTTCCAGCCGTCGTTCATCGCATCCTGACCACAATACCATGTGTCTGTCGACGCCAGGCCAAGCTCCATATGTATGGACGCATTTCCCGGTATTTAGATGCTTCAGAGACCGTCCTGTCGAAAAAATAGTTTAAACACTTTGTTTAAAAGACAGATGAGTGTACTGTAACGTTAGAAATGAACACAATGACTATATATTAATTGCGTTGTGAGAAGACGAGCGAATCATTTCCAAACGTATTTACATTGTATTAAAGACTTATATAAGAGTTAATTTATATTAGATTTAGGTTGCTCAATCTCTTCCAATCTGATGAAGTGCTGTTTCTGTTAGTAGCAAGACCGTAGAAAATAAAAAAAACGTCGTATTAGAGTGCCTTCCAAAGGATATACATTTTTCGGTATTATCTCTGACTACACTTACTTGCAAAAGTCAAAAGCCTTTTCCATCATTAAAAGAAAAAATTCTTCCCAATTTCCATTTACCTTTCCCAGATTTTGGAGAATATAAGATGAACAAGAGTCAGTCAGGTTTCAGGTAGTGTTGTGCTCAAGTGAACAGGGGTTAGCGGTGAGTGGATTATGTTTGTATCTCAAAGCCTTAATCAGTCTGTCAGAAATACTCAGAGACGCATATTCCGGATCCCAGTGAACTTTTAACAAGCCCACCTCTCTAAAGAGCCCTTTGACTGAAAGCATACACAGTAATTTACGAAATCTAGGAGCGAAATTACATCAAACCTGATGTCCGCTTAAATTTCGAATCTTCTGTTTTGCACGTACTGCTAACAACAATCTTCGCACCATTACCAGTGCCGCCATTCTCGGGACACACCATTTTACCACTGCAATTATGACGTAACACCCCGTCTGCATCAAGTGTAAATTGGAAATGACTTTCTGAGCACAGACCTCCAGGTCTGTATATTAAGCGGTCGTTGTCATTTGGCGAGCAAGACTGGTTTGATGGCGTGAGACAAAGATCCAGACCGTATGACTTAAGAGGAGTTGCGGCAGTTGGACTAACTGTGGAAACAAAACAAATTAACTTTAAACTAGGTTAGTGAGAGTTTCATGAGGTTGATATATTCCGTAAACGCAAAGCCAAAGCAATACAAGTGATTTCACCCCAAATTCCTGTATGCATTGTCGCCACAATCATTAGCGATAAATTAACATGATCCAAGCAATTCACTGAATGATACTTTCTGTTACTGTCTCAATTTCCTGAAATGTTTAAGGAGGATTTTTAAATTAAAATTTCCAAAAGTACCCCAGAGTTACAAAATTCTTGCGGTGACTTTTGTTGAAAGTCTAAATTTGGCTCTTAATTTTTCCAATGGTTTCTTCTATATTTCCCAACCCTTTTCTTAGAAACGCTTTTCCTACAAAAGGAAACAAAATTAAACATTTTGCCTTTAATAACAATAAGGCTATAGGCATGAGTCTTGTCTTTTCACTCAACTTCCTACAAATTATACTTTATTTTTTCATACATTCTCATTTTTCAAAACAGATTTCAGCAAGGAACGAGGATTTCAGAACCAGGTTTTTCTATTGAATTAAAATAAAAGTTAAAAGGAAATAAAGGAAATTTAACCTATTTCAAAGCGCAGTCAAATATGGCCAGAAATTAAATTAAAATTTTTTTCCCTACAATATGACATGACATTTACCTTCACCCGCTGAACACCCCAGAAACTCCGTTCTTAGACAAGGCCAGCCATTCCAGTACTGAGGATTGATACGAAGATATCGAGCGCTGACTCTTGGATTCAGGGTTCTGTGGTTCACACTAAAATAGTTGGTGTTTCCTTGTATAATCTTAATAAAAATACAAATTAATTAATTGTAATAGTAACTATATGTATGCACTACCACTAGCTGCTTACATCAGTAAACGATGTTTGCATAGCGATGCAGTGCTTTCATGAAGAGCACTGAAAAAGATATCGTTCTATACGTGTCAGACTAAACGAGTTAAAGGAGAAACAGTGATTTAAAAAGTGTCGTAAATGTAAAGCTGAAGATATCTCTAATAGCTTTCAGGTATGTTTAAAAAAAGACCACATCTTCAAATGACCATTTGATAACCACAATTTTTTTAAACCTCTGATGAGTAGTAGATTTCTACCCACTAGTTAATTGCTATGCACTATCTATTTCCATGTAATTTTTGAAAAGAAGTGAAGGCGTTGTCAATCAAAACATTATCTCATCGACCATTCGCTGTAATATATTTTGATATTGTTAGGAGAAGTTACATGTTAATCAGTTCTGGAAATTTGGAATTAACTTATTACATGAACCAAAAAATAAAAGCTAACAGCACTGAAAGCAAATCAGCGACATACACAACTTTTAAGTGGGCTTCAATTTAGCCCAATGCTGGCAAAGTGCTTCTCTAGAAAAAGAGCAGTAGGACTTTGATGTAACCCCTGTTGCTCATCTTTCATCTTTCACCTCTCCTAGCGGTCAGTGTGAATTAGCAATCAACCGATGCAGGATCAAAAATACTGTTTCACATGTCATACTCGTTATGCAAAGGCGACTGGGTTCACTCACTGTTTTAGTTTGATTGCAAGGGTATCCATCAATTATGTATGAATCTCCTGGACACTGAAAACAAAACATGGAATTTCTTGTTTTAGTGCTTCATTTATGAAGCAATTGCATGGTCAGTCATTAATGTGGTACAAAATCATTAATACTGAATTCATTTGTTAGAGCTATACTTACATCCCGAGAATTGCCAGTGCAGTATTCCGGAACATCACAATCTGTTTTGACTCCACGACACAACGATCCTTGTTTCTTGTACTAAAAGGAATGATTGAGAGAGTATGATGTTTACATCCACCCCGTTAACTTGGTGCGGCACTCTCATGGTGTTATTTTTAAACTTCTTCTTTAAATAGTTTCGAAAAGAGAATAGTCCCTCAGAAGAAAAATATGGTATGTGAAACTGCAGCATATTATACAGGCTTCATTCTCAAGTGAACATCTCAATTCCGGAATCGCTAGACTAGTGACTTACAGACAACTTACCACTGACAAAAAAAGTTGAAAAAAATACCTTAACGCTTTTTTTTTAAATCGTTTCCACTTCTGAAAAAGAATTTCTAAAGCATTTATGTTCTTTCAGCAAAATTGAGACTGGTTGTCCATTTTAAGCAGACTTGCCAAGGTCGTAATTTTCATGGGTAATTCCTTATCCCGGTTCTACTAATTTATCGAGTTTTGGCGATGGGAAAAGAGATTTGGAAGGCACGTGCTGGGGTGAAAGTTTTCATAAGGTTCTGGGGGCGTTTTCCCTTAAAAAATATTTCTCTCATCTTTTTCCAGCACTGTCCTCCCGTTATCATTTGATTCCTTGAATCAGCCGACAACGATTCACAAAATTGGCTGAGAGTTAAAGCTCCCCAGCCAACGATGCTCGCGCTCAGGAAGTTCTCAGAGGTATTTATGGTGCTCCTTCATCAAATTACTTCTCAGCAAGCTTATTTAAATGAATTAAATGGATTATGATTCTACATTACACTACCAGGCAGTTCTCGCAGCATGAATGGTGTAGGTCACTGCATTGCGATTCCTTTTTAAGAACACAGTTGTGAGGCTCACAACAAGAATCCTTGATCTGACACATCTGAGGAAATTAATTAATATTTATTAAATTCTCGCAAAAAGCTCCGTCTTTGCTATCGTCGAAGTAAGACTTAATTATGAAAATTGATTATTGTTTTGATTTAAAAACTCTTGAGTGGTATAAGGTACCTAAGTTAAAAAAAAATTCACTTGCAATTTATGACTAGTCAAGTTATATATTGCATCCATTCGGCCTAAGCGATTACAAGGTCTCAGTATTCCACTCTTCTTCAATACCAATTTACCAATACCAATTTTAAAAAATTCGGCCGCTCGTCCGTTCTGACCGAAAACTGGCAAAAAAATCAATAACTTGACTTACTGGAGCTCTGACTGAAAGCTTAGTCAACGAGGCTGAGAATGGTAGATAATTCTATTTAACTGAGTGAAGCAGAAAACAATTAATAGTAACCTCGTTGTTTACATTGTTAATAGTTTGTTAGCATGATCATATTCCTTGATCAGTGATTTCCCCTCAAGATCTCTGAACCTGTTCTAAGACTAGTGTGATCAAAGAGACCTGACTTGACTTTAATTATGTTTGAGAAATAAAAGCTGAAATATTTAATACAAATACAACAATGACAAACCTCAGGAGTGCCACAGTCACATTCTTCTCCTTCTTCACGGATTCCATTCCCACAATAACTGTTATAAGACTTGAAAACGAGAAAATCAAACGAAAATGAAACAGCCTTGTTTCTATGAAATGATTTCACTAAATGAAGTGACCAACGCTTTGTAGACTATAATTACCCAATAATATTCATATTAGCAATTTACTGAAAACCTTCAATCGAAATAATAAAACTATAGTTGTCCGACGTTTCGATGTTGCTAACCTCATTACCGAGGTTAAAAAATGAGAGTTTTATCGCGGTATGAATATAAATGAGTGGAATTAATGTCTATTATTCTAGTTCCACCAATTTATATTTACACCGCGAAAAAACTCTCATTTTTACCTTGATGACGGTTCTAGCAACCTCGAAACGTCGGACAACTATAGTTTAAACATCGAAACGTCGGACAACTATAGTTTAGTTATCAATATTTATGTTGCATACTTATGAAAAGAATGTTTTTCCACGAAGTTCAGTGAGCACAATATTTGATACATCTGTTACCATAGTAACTACTCCTTCTTGAAATAAGATTATGTACCTTGTGTGTTGGCACGTTATATAAGCACCAATCATTGAGTCTTTGAAGTGAAGTCACACTACAGTTGGAAAATCCTGGAACTCTGGCCCTGCATATCAAATTTAATATATTTGTGATATAAACAAGCATGAATCTCTAAGTCCAAAGTTGCCGATAGGGTTACATGAAATGACGAATTATTTCCGTTCAAATTTTTCGTGTTCTTTGGCTTATTATCGACCCGGTCCATTGCACAATTTTATTTGATTCGTCAATTATGTCAAAGTAACTCTATTTACAGTATCTGTACTGAAAGATTTGTCACTGGTAACTTTGTAGTATTTGCACAATAATAGCCATTGCTTGTAATTACAGTTTGGTTTTGGTTACATGACGTTCCTTATTGAGTCGTGTAGCCTGCTTGTTTTAGGTTAGATGTATTGGCCTCCGGCTGGCTCTTATTGCCCAGGCTGAAGATTCTTCTTGCGAAATGGCGTGCACATATCTATTATACAAATATCACATACTTGTGACCGCCCATGATGCAGCCTCTTGGGGTCAAACACTTGCAGCTTCCTGGGAAAAGAGTTCATTGCAAATGAGCGAAAGAGAAGATGATCCCGTAAACAATCACTTTGCGATGAATTCATTTGTAAGTTTTCTTTCAGAATTTCTCTTCATTAAGTAATAAGGTCACTTTAACGTATTCAGTGGAACAAATGGCAGAAATCTTAAACAGAAAAAACTTTTGCACGTCTGTTTTGTTTTACTGACGATCTTTCAAAGTACGGGAAAATGATTAAAATAATAAGTTATGTTCCTTTCCCTTAATAGGTTAACCATATCAGCAACAAAGTTGTTAACAACTTGGGCTTGTGTTAAAAACGAATAAAATACATAGAGAAATGAAAGAACTAGTAATCGAAAAAATGAACTCATAAAATTAAAATAAACCATGAAAGAAATTTAGATTTTGTTATCTCGAGATAGTACAGCGAACTATTAGAGTTAGGGAGGTTTTAATGGTTGCTGAGAGATCCCACCTGAACCTTGTCCACCTTTAGGTTAAGGCTAGGATTTCTAAGTATCTCGTCATTCTTACCTTCGTCATGGCTGAATCCAAAGTTGTGACCCATTTCATGTGCCAGTATTACATAAGGGCCAATGATGCTTCCATAATTCCACTTGGAAAGTAAAAGTAAACAACTTAAGTTCGATCTCTTAATGTAGTTATCAAGCCCGTTAAGATTAACTAGACCAAAATATCAGCCTCCTACAGAGACGTTTACATAAACGATAATGCATCTATGCATAATCTTAAATGTTTAGCTTCCAGTAGTGTGAGGAGTCAAGACTCTGAAGTGCTTTCTTCAGTGTCTTGTACATGTTATGAAAATATCGTCCAGTTGTGGTAACCAAACATAACCATAGACATCCAACTAGTCTAGGTTTTACTAATAGAAATTACAAACAGCGAAAATAGTAAACAAGGGTGTTTAGGGCTGTAGGAGACGAGGGAGATTAATCACTCATGACAAGCTCTAGAGTTTTGGGTGAATCTGTTCAAGAGGTACGTCGAACAAGGGGCAACTACTTTACAGCATCATTTTTAAATTTGTTGCTACAACTTGACTCAACTTCTCTATAAGAAGCTCTGATTTATGGTTTACTCAGTCTTTGACACTTATGCTTGAGAGGCTATCTGATTTCACTTTGTTTGATTTAAATTAAAAAAACCGAATAAGCATGTATCGTTTTCGGAAAGTTGTTAACCAATCACATTGGAGAGTTGATCTTCCAAGTGACTTTCATTCGTACTTAATTAGAGAGCACTGTTATCAGTTTTCGCAATCAGTCGATCACTTTTTAACTTACATTATTAACACCGGTTGATACAGAGCCACACATCCCAAATAGGAACGCCATGCCAGCACAGTCAGACCAACGCCACTCGCTGAAACGAAAAAAAGAAGTGAACTCTATGCAACTTCTCCAATGATTAAAGATAAATTTTTTTCGTCCATGTAAAACCAGTCCGAGTTTTGGAGCCCGAAGCCAATGAAGTTGTGTGTTTTGTGCGTCATCCATGTAATCCTATATTTTCTTAAACAAATTTGGAGCTTAGGTATTTAGTCAGGGAACTTAGCAGAACCACGACAACCGTAATTAGTTATATTGTTTCGTACTTAATATTCGACTTGGTACGATGAACAATTAATGTTTTATCAGTGAAACTTCCCACAATTAATCGTAGACCCTACATTTCCCCTACTACATTATTTTTTTAAGAAACAAAAAATATTTCGAACTTCTCTCTCATCTTTGATTTATTAAAATGCGAAATTTTCTTACCTCAGTAGCTGTGCGTTATCATGAGCAAATTTTTTTATTAAATGGTCGTTTCGATATGAAGTAAAGCGACCAAGGTCAGGTCCTCCTTTCTTTTGACGCTCAAAAGGATCGCCATTCGTCCAAATTTCCAACGCTTTCAATACTACCCTGATATTTATCCGCTGATAAATCTAAATAAAGAAAAATAGGGAAGTCATGATAGACATTCCATTAGACTGATTTGTTCGCTGCTGCTCTCCCGTGGGGACTAGGAAAATGACTAAATATCCAAATAGTTGAATATTAAAAGGGAATGAAAAATGAGAATGGAAAAATATAAAAATGGGAATGGGAATTTAACATGTCCACTGTTTCTAGATCGAATTGGAATTTGGACCGTGGGTTATTTATTAAAAGGCCAATTTTTCTCTGGATTTCGATAGTGACTTCCGTTCTGGCTGCCGCAGCCTGAGTAATTCAAGATCATTGGCAAGAGTTGTTTTCGTGATTACAAGTAACCAGAAAGTCGTGATTCACTCAATATCTGAAACTGATTACTCACGGCATCAACAGCGTTTGCCAGTGTTATCACTCGGTCTGTGATTACTTTGGTGTCATTGTTGTGTTTCAAGTACTAAAAAATTAAAAGCAAAATAAAAAGGAAACCCTCAGTAAGTACCAAACCTAATAATTACGGAGCAATTAACAAATCACGAATTCTTCTTTAAGACTGGGATCTAGGCCCTTTTACCCCCCAAATGAATTTCATATCTTCCATAAAATCCCATATCCTCAATGTCACCAAAACAAAGTTTAAATGTGACAAACTCTTTCGTAAATCACAAGATTGATCATACGAATTTTTTGCTTTCCAGACCATAGTAAGGTGTGATGGAAAACCAGGTAACTTGCTTTCCTGATGGTGTTATCAAGTTAATTAACCTTTAAAACCTGAAAGACACTAAGAACTTTTTTCTCCCCATAATTTACCCCTCGATTAAAAATAAATGTCAAGAGAATAAAGGAAACGATTATTTGATACATTCCCTTTTCAGGACCGTAGAGAAAGACTGGGATACAGTATGGAGAGTATAAAAACCACTGATAGGGTGCAAACGATTAGTGTAACATTACGTTCTTTCCTGTAATAAATGCATGGGAACTTGAGGATAAATTTTACTCTGAGATCATTACGAATCTCAAAATTTATCGTATAACTTACCATTCCAAAATCTACAACCAATAACAGCTCATTGTATCTCGTTTCATCTGTTGTCAAAAATGGTTTGTAGAATTCATCAACGTGGCCCGATATGCTTCGTCTTATCTAATGAAAACATAAAAAAAATCATGATATATTATGCTGTTTCAAGTTTTTGCCTCTCTCTCACTCTTACCTCTTATCCACGAGATCGTTGATGTATAAATGAAAAGAAGAAATTCCTAAGGAAAAAATTCTTATCAATATCTTACCCGAGAAATTGCACCTGATTTTTCCACTGATTGATGCAAATCTGCATGAGTTTCTTTGTTTCCTGAAGTAAAGAAAGAAACCAAAAATTGATATTAGAAACAAATTTATTGAAAAGGACTACGGAACGTTTGCATGAGTCTTCTAAGTAAAAATAAACACTTTTCTCTTTTCTTTGAGTGTGCTTATGTCTTTGCATTCACGGCTGAGCCAAATCTTGGCTAATAGAACGCTTAAGCACATCGACTTTCACACTGAAATGAATAGAGGCAAAGCATCCGTCCGTACTCATCAGCTTTACGTGCAGAGGTTGTGAGAGAACATTTTGTCAAACAAGAACGCTATTCAAACCATAGAAATCTCTTACTTATGTCTACAGGAGGGTTACAAAGATGGTCGTTAAAACTTGTCTAAACATTAGTCCACGTAGTTGAAAAATAAATGCTTTATGGCGAGCTCCACTTTTTTTTTTCTGTGGTAAAATTCTATTTCCGCCAATTGCCTTACCGCAGTTATCCAGGATGTGTTTGGCTTCGTCTTCATTTGCTTGGAATATTTTGTGGGCGCCAGTTTCCTACAGTGAAATACAATCACGCATATAATTACTAAGCGGGGTTATAACTGGTAATTTGAAATCATGAAGAGGAATCAACAGTAAAATTCTGTGTTATTAAATCAAACTCTTATTTCGATAATAAGACTTACTTCTCCTCCAGACTCAGGTGTAATATAAAATGTATCTTTGCCATCATCTACGAGCCCCCTGGTTAGGAGAAATTGTAAAATTTCTTCTTCATTCACCTTTATACTTGTCCATGTCTCTTGTGGTCATCATAGTCTAATCAAGGGACCCCAATTATTTTGTTTTGGACTCTTACATAGCTTTAGTTAAAGTTAATGGCTAAAATGCGGTATTAAAAAAATAAAATAAAATAACAGACGTGTAGTGAGACCCAGCCCGGTGTGGGTACAAAGCTAAGACTTCCGTTCGGTTTACCGTAGGTGTTGAAAAACAAAATGTATTTTTTTTCTCTTTCTGAAAGTGTCTAATAAATTTTTTTTATACAAGGCACATACGCCTACGTACGTTGATTAAAACCATAAAACTCGTGTCGGCAAATCACCGCGGAGTTCTTCAATGTGGGTCACTGTTGTACTTTTAACTTCATTCATCCTTTAGAGGAAAGGAATATTTAATTTCATGGATAAACCACGATGCATAATTTTTTAACCGCTTGGATGTTTTTGTAGCGCAAAAAAAAAAATTGTTGTGCTAGCTTTCCTTTTAAAGCAGTGCTGCAACTGTTTTATTTAAAGCGGTTAATGTTTCGACAACCAGTGCGTACGTCATTATAAAATCATTTGAATCTGATATGATATGCTGACACTGAGAACAGTTCTTTCACACGCCATACTGATCTGGACGATTACACTGCCTAACTATTTTATCGGTTTGTCTCAGCGTTTCAGTAAATCGCGTAACAAGCTGAGCTATTTTTACGAGGCACCTTGGGAATATTTTTCATGAATGAGGGCTTTTTTAATACCTCAGTCCTGAACAAGTGTTTAACACAACGGTTGAATCTGCTAAGCCTCGGATGGACCCTTGATAATGACAATGATCAGGACCTCCCTGAAAAAGTATATAAACCGAAAAATTTTAGAAATGAAAAGGGTAAGATTATATAAAAACTGTGGGGCCATGGGCAATTTGGTTTTATCAAATGAGTTGATAATTTAAATTGGCCAATGTACCTTAGAAACTGCTGAACACTTTACGGTGGCTAGTTTACATTATCAACTCACTTGGTAAAACCAGATTATCAAACTCTAGAGATTATGCACATATGCATTCACAGATCAACAGTGGAAGGAGGGAGTGGTGGCAGTTAGGGAATGTAAAACTCTAAATCTCAGGCAACAGTTTTCAACTATTCAAAAGCCAGTCGTCATGCACCACATTAGGTTGCCAGGTAGCTTGGTTTGCTGGTATTCCTGTGGTAAACTTTTTTAACATGCTAGTGCCAAAGTAAGTCTAATTACATGTTAATGAGGATAAACAAACTTATAACAAAAACTTTTGAGCCAACATCCGGGAAAACGCGGGCGACAAAGTCGTGATTGGTTTTAGGAGTGCATCTGATTGGTTGACACGGTGGCGCTAGTTTTCTAGACCAATCACAGAGCGAAATATAGAAAAAACAATGCGATCTCAGATTACTTTCAACACTTGATTTAACAATGTTCTAAACAATGTTAAAAAATCTTAGTTTTTTGCAAATTACCTCTTGAATAACTTCTGAACCATCACTAGCAAATGTGCGAACGACAAATGATGGAGAAATAAGATCTCTATGAGATGAACAAAGAAAAACAAAACAACTGGTTATCTCTCTCTCATAAAGAATAAGAAGAAAAATAAATTAATCATAACCCAAAAATTGACGGATTTTAGAGACCAGTGTCACTTTTTGTAACGTTTCATTCTGCATCCCTTATCAAGAAAGAGGGAAAAACTTGCCCATGTTACTGGTTAGCATTTCTCACTAATATCCCATTGGTGGTTTACAATCTTTTCGAGAAAAGAAAAGTTCACCAGAACTGTGAATATCCTAAAATTTCCCCCTTATTCCTAATCTTTGAAATTGTATTCTAGTTTGATGACAAGATTGATTTTCTCAAAAATTTGAAGTCACGAAGTCTCTCTACCGGGTAAAAGAGATAACCAGAACACTTACAAGACGAAAATGATCAGGTTTTTTTTTATCAATGCTTAGGTGAACCTATAACATGCAAACAACTTTCCACTAAACAGAGACATCTTGAAAATTAGTAGACTTTGGTCAAAAGTCAGTCGTATGATGAAACCAAACATACTTATTTCGTTTTATATCTAGGGTCCAGTCCTTGTCAGGGGTATTCAGTCGATAGGAGGCGTCATCCACGTGAACTCCCTGAAACAAAGTAACATCATCATCCAGGTCTACCGAGCTGCCATAATTAACAGTTAATCTTGGTTGAAGAAAGTGATTTATAGGAGCCAAAAGTGGTTTTCTATCAAATTAATACCCAGAAGAATGTTTTAAATAAAAAATTGTTCCGTTCCGCGTTAAAAACGCATTTAAAAATAAATCAATATATATATATATATAAAATTTAAATCCTGCTTTTCTGCATGTTGCTTGGCTTCGCCATAAGCACAAAAATTAGTTTGAAAACACTGATTCCGTTTTATCCCAATTGAATGCCAGGTTATCCATTCTTTTTCCCCGTCCATTTTTCAACAGGTTTGCATTACACCAATGGTTTTAATTCAACCCTCTAGCGCAGAATTCAAAAGCTTACGTTCAGAAAAACGTTTCAGTGACTGTAAAAGCGTTTGTCTTAAAAAAAAACCTTTTCAGATGTTGACAAATCCCTTTTTCCCCGCCTGCCATCCACGCGTTCCGGGAATGTGATGTGATAGTCGCTTTGATAGGCCATGTCTGCAATTCCAAATTTTCTTTGTTAGGGAATTAAAAAAAAAGGGGAAAAGAAAGTCATACATACAGCATTTATAAACCGCATAACGCTTCGATATCATCATTATATCTCTTTCAAGTAAAAAAAATAGGAAACTTACTTGCAAACTGGGAGCTTGCGAATTGTAAAAGCAACCACAATGTGCTGATGATCAACCAGACGCCAACTTTCATCTTCCTCTTGGTTAGAAATTACATATCACAAAAATAAATACGTTTTGTCAAGTTTTTAACCATGGCCATCTCTTAGCATAGCTAATTAAAAGTTCTTAGTGCTTTTAAAGTCGGTATTTACAAAAAATATAAAAGGCTTTTGCCGTGTCATTGTTCTCATTGTCGACGTTGTCACTGCTGAGTTTGTTTATAGGGTTAACAAGAAAATGATTTTCGCTCGGGTGATATTCGTTTTTAAAGATAAATCACAACGAAAACATCATGAAAAATTCATGTTTTGCATTCCTTTTCCCGCTAAAAGTGGACAGTTTTCCCAAGTAAAATGTTCTTTTATTAATAACACCTCAATTAAAATTTCTTACAGCTCCATCACATTAACACTCATCTATCGGCCTTCAAAACAAAAACTCCATTACAAGTTTCTTTTTTCACCCACAGCTGATAATGGCAATACGTTACAAATTTGTCAGTTATAAATTAAAGATTAGATTTTTTTCTTAATTCTCAGGATCCTCGAGGTACCTTTAATTATTAATTTTAAGAATAGCAGTAATCGCTATCAAGTCGTGATTTGATAAAAACCATAGTTTGCGACTCATCTAAACTTTAATTCAAAATTTACACAAGATTTTTTAACCATCCAATGAACAAACCCCTTCAGTTTCAATGCTGATAGTAGTTTTAATCGTAAAACCGATAAAAACTGGAAAGTTACATCCTTTTTCCTTTAATTGTAAATATGGCCTCAAGGGACATTTAATGAAGGCTTTCGCAGCTGAAATATTACATTTACTTTTAAAACATTAGAGGTTAAAAAAAAAGGTATTGTTGACATTAAAAGACATCCAAAACATTTATTAAGAAGAAAAAAATCAACATTTGTTTAAATAATACCAGGTAACTTTTCGTTTCACTATTTCTATGACCACCATTGAGCCGAAGAATTTGGTCGTGACCATGAGATGAAGGAATTGTTGAACTTCATAGAAAACAGAAAAGGTATTCAGATTAAACTATAGGTTTTTGCACGGCGGGCCATGTTGTTTAATATTTAAAAACTTTCACGACCTCCGAGCTTAACTGACGCTAGAATTATTGAAAACGAACTAACCGGCAAGAACTGGGTATCATGCACATCTAGGCACTGTGGTGTATTGCTTAGTTGGTTAATGAAGTAATGCAAGTCAAGCATGTTCCTGCTGTAATGAGACACCTCACGTATCTTCTCGAAGCCGATTGATTTTCAAAATTAGCAGGTAATCTGTCACACAAAAGTGCTACCTTTTAAAATTAAGAGTAACCTCCAAGGAGCCATTGAATTAACTTTGCGATGCCAACCTACATAACCAGAATGTGCAAGGTTTGATTAAAAGACATAAGTTATGCCCTACCTGCAAACTTCTTTCTTTCAGAGCCTAACTACACTTTGCTGGTTCAGCCTTGTGTAATAGCTGTTTTTCAGCCATAGATGACGCCAGAATAAGACACAATGAAAACTAATGTTAGCATGGCGGTCAAAAGATGTGTTTTTGTTGATTTAGCTGTTCGAGTTCAAAGTGTGAAACAAAGACATCTTACAAAGCCGGATGTTATTTTTCCATCGCTGTATACATTTAGCTAACAATCGCAACTGACATTTTTTTAAAAACACGGGCTTGTTTTATTTCCGCGTCGGTGCAATTTTGACAAATACCTTGTAAGAAAAGTTCATTTTTATCATTCTTACGCTCCTTTCGAAAAACTTTCACCTTTACTTTAACTTTATCTGATGAACCAACAAAAACTTGCGAACCTCTCGATAATTCTAACAAAGATGTGATCCCAATAGCACGCTGAGATGTTACTTCTCAGCTTTATATTTAAACAAACTCCTAGCAAACCAAAGTCTCTTCCCGTGTGGCCCCAAAAATGGTCTTGTACATCATTATATGAACAGCACCTAGTCATAAAGCCAGGTTATAGACGAGCAAAGTGTTTTTGACTCATTTGCAAAGAGTTCTCTCTATTTCAAAACTGGTCAATGTTTGGTTCTCCATTATTTTTCATTTTTTTAAATACTATGTATTTACTTTGTATTTCAGAGTTTTCCCCATAATGCAATGAAGAATTGGAAAACTAACTTTTGTTTTCATCCCAAAGGAGGATGGCCAAACGAGGGTGTCTACCTCGTTTACTACAAGGGATGGCGATCGGCTGAGGTTCAACTTCTTTAATCTCGGTTGGCAGATTTATCACATAAAAGCGATTTTTTGCGGATTCAGATATCATTTTGTACTATCAATTTAAGGGCGTAGTTCGGATTTTTTAAAGGATGTGACAGGGAAGAAAGAGAGAGGGGGAGGGGGGGGGGGAGACACTTTCGAATTTTTGCGGCCATACGTGATGTGGACCATACCGCTTACTTACCACGTGTATCAGCGGGCTCGTATTCACGCAAACAGAGGCAGCTGCAAATTAAGTATACAGCGCTGCGCCACCTGAAACAAAAGCTTTTTTGAGTTGATGAACTTAAAAAAGTGGTGGGGTGAAAAAGAAGCCAATGATAATCTTAAAAGAGTTTTTTTTTTTTCGTTTTAGTTTCAACAAGCGGCGCCAGCGACTGGCAGGCATGCAAGGATTCACATTGAAATAACAGAACAACCTTCGTTTTTCATAAAATTGTAATTTACAATCCTTGAACTTGAAAACAATCCGAAGATTCATTGAAAATATCACTTACTGCGAAGCGCTCGGAGTTTATAGATGTTCAAAAGCTTTTTCTGTTATGGCATGAGATTGCGGACAAAATCGATCATTACGTTTCGTCGCGTGTGTTTTTCCTGTGTGAAGCAACAGAAGATGCCGGCGACTGACGAAATAACAAGTTAACACGAAAATTAAATAACACCTAAACAAACAATTTTAGCTACCGATTTTTAGTGAATTTTTAAAGAACAATTTAGTTTTTAAGTTTCAAGACAATTTGAAGATTCAACATACATACAACGTACTAAAATGCGAAAGTTACACACCACAAAATTAATAAATAGGCCTGAAATGAAATTCTATCTTGTTATTGATTATACGTTGCCTAGCACGTGACTTAAATCTACCCAGGTGGAGAACCAAAATGACGGTGACAGGCTTGGCTTAGTTATATCACTCAAAACTCGTTCCCGTTTGTCTCGTTTGATAAAGAGGGAATCGTTAATGTTTTCAGTAAGACAGAATTGCCTTGATTTTCTAATATTTACAACGAAAGACAGTACATTTCACTTTTCACCCACATTTACTTCCAACCTTTTCTTTTGAACCAGAAACAAAAATGATAGACGTTTAAAACACGACATCATCCCCCTTGTCAAATGTAATAGTATGATCATTTCAATTGTAATGCCTTCTTATCCCAGCGTTACTTTGTTTCTTTGCTACATTAGCGAACACTGAACTACTGCTCGTACTCTAGATATGACAATCAACCACAAAATTCCCTAAACCAGATAACATTAAACATAATCTAAAAAATCATGCGTCAATTCACGAGTTTGCTCACGGAGCACTTTGATTTTAAATAATTTTTTAAATATTTTTTTTAAAACTGAATTAGCGCACAGCACTCAGCGAACGGTAGTTGTAAAACTTCTTTATTTTCCGATGCGTTTCGTCTAACTGTCGTAAACTTCTTCAGGGAGTTTTACAAGTTAAAACTAAACGCCTGTATTTATGAGCCATAGTTAGCAGCTGTACGGGGGCCAGTGACCATAAAGGCTTGGACATACGAAAAGGAACAGGCAAAGTTGTGAAAAATAAATTTCTTATTATTTTTTAACAATTTGTTTAAACATTTTTTAATCATTTTTAATTCAATTTTTTAATTAATTTTTTAACAATTTTATTAATTTTTATAATAACTTTTTAAATTATTTTTTTAAAAACTGAACTAGTGAGCAGCACTCTGCGAACGGTAGTTGTAAAACTTCTTTATTTTCCGATGCGTTTCGTCTAACTGTCGTAGACTTCTTCAGGGAGTTTTACAAGTTAAAACTAAACGCCTGTGATTATTAGCCATAGTTGGCGGCTATACGGGGGCCAATGACCAAAAAGTTCCCCTTTCATAAACTTTTTCTTGTTGCCAGGGGGTTAAAAAGACTCGAAGGGTATGTATAAATATTTGTTAAGAGGCTTCTGAAAGGCAGAAAAATGCAGCACGCTTGAGGAATTATTCTTGTATGGACAAAGATCTAGGAAAGAAATGCAACTGTAGTTAATACAAATAGTAAGCCTAAGGTTACTTCCTACCTTTACGGGTGTCCTTCGGGAAAAAATTCGTACACGCCCTAGTTTCGATAAAATCCTGGCAAACTAGACATAAGAGGAAAGCTTAATAACTGCAGATTACGATAAATATATAATTTAAGCGACTTTTCTTTTAAGAAACTGATAATGCGTGAAACGACAGAAGGTTCTTTTATTGAATTTATCGGGTATCGGATGCCGCAGCACGAGCAAAATTGACCTTCAAGCGTCAATGACGAAAGATCAAGATTTCCCGGGAAAAGTAACTCATTGCAGAAACGTTTTCTTTTTTTAATCTCCATCGCTCAGTGAAACGTCGAGGAGAAAGACACAACAATGAGCATAGTTGCCGATGGAAAAGGCCAAAACCGCGGCAAAAATAGAAAAAGCCGCAAAATGTGCTGAGGAGCCAGACAGCCAATCGACAGACAGCTTTTCAAATTACGATTCGCAGCTGATACTTGCATAACGAAAAGTAAACCTAGTTTTCAACATGATGTATGGCAAAGTTTGGTTTGACGGCGACTTCTTTGTTCGAAATCTGCGTCGGCGTGGAGCTCCGCCAGCATTAGTCGCTTTCTCAAAGGAAATTTTTTTTTTCTTTTCTTGACAGATTGGTACTCTTTCTTTCTTCTTTGGGCCCATTTTTTTACTAATGACTACCTTCCGCTTTTGATTTTTCCATGAGCAAAGATCTTTCCATAAGTAAAGAGCTTCCACGTGTGAATTTGTAAAGTGCGCGATGTTAACCAAAGAGCTAAATCCATGGTCCCCAAAATATCTTTCCCATCTTGTCCAAAAAATTTTCAAATTTTTCACAACTTTGAAAAAAAAAGTAAAAAAGGTTTTACAACTACTGTTCGCAGAGTGCTGCTCAATAATTTTTTTAAAAAAAATTTAAAAAATTGTTTTTAACATTTAAAAAATTATTTAAAAAAGATAATTAAAAAATAATTAAAAATTACTTAAACAATTTAAAAAAAAGTTTAAAAAAGATTGTTTAAAAAATAATTAAAAAAATCAATTAAAAAATACAATTATTTTCAAATATTGTTTTGAAAAATAATTTTTAAAAAATTATTAAAATAGTTGAATAAATAAATAAATCTGAAAAATTAAAAGAAAGGGCAATAGGCGCTTTAAACCAGAATGTAATTTCTTCTTACAGTAATAATGCTAAATCATTTGTTAAGAACACGAGAATAAAGGAAATGATCGTAGGCTCGTGATTGTTAATGGAAATCTCCTTGACACTACCTTGGAAAATGTTAAGAGAAGAGTATGGAGAAAATACATACTGATGTTAGGGTGCAAAGGGTTAAAACTTACTGCTGGGGAGAAGGTATGTGTCATGTATCTCCACTGGCCCAAGTCCACTTCATTGAATGTGATCCATCTTTATACCGTACAGACGATTGCTCAAGTGTCGATGTTGCTGGCACACTGAAGGCATAAACATCAGAGACGGCCTCAAATGAATACTCTTGATTGGAAGGGACAAGTTGAAATTAGTAAACACACTAATTATTTCTTTGAAGAGCGGTCCCGAAATTTTTACCTCTCATCGTTCAAGAAGATCAATTGATATATGACCCATTTTTTTCTTTGATCAAGGATTTGTTCTAGTTTAAAATTCCATGAAAATGTCTCAATGTCTCTCCATCTTTTCAGTGTCATTTTCGTTAAATATAACTGGTTTCGGACTATCATTGGTTTCGAGGTTGGGTTCGTTGTTCATATTTTGTCTGGCTTTTTCACCAAGTCTCCTAGACATCTTGTGACGTTGACATGAGTGTTCTTTGAAAATTGCTGGGGAAAAGACAAAAATAGGTAAGCAAACAAATATCGCATCAATCGTGAACATCGGCTTTTTGGTCATAAGTAAATATTTAAATCTCTAAATTGCTTATCAATGAAAATTTTACGGAAACGATGGTCCAGCTCGGTGGCCTATTCTTGGTTTTCACCCATGTGACTTTTGTCTTAAAGACGGTTGCTATCCGCCGTTTTGGTGCCTAAGAAAATAGTTACGAATGCACTTGTAGTATGGTGTGAGTAAGTAAAGTAAAGCCTTTATACAGGCCCAAGTGGCCCATGGGACCGGCGCTTAACTCCGATTTCTTTAGCATGAAGCGGCTAGGAGTATTGCTACTCCGCCCTGGATGGGATGCTAGTCCATCGCAGGGTTACCCCCAGCATATTTGCTGGTACCCATTTGTATACCTGGGTGAAGAGAAGCACTGTGAGAGTAAAGTTTCTGCCTAAGAACACAACACAATGACCCCGTCCAAGGCTCGAACTCGGACCACTCGACCGGAGTCGAGCGCACTAACCATGAGGCCACCGCGCCTCCTGCAAAAGGAGGTAAAGTGTGAGTGAGAAAGTAGAAATGGTTCTTTGTTTAGTTTTCAGCTGCGGCAGCAGAAGTGATCGGAACCAAGGGATTGGATTTCATCGAATACCATCAGTTATCAAATTCTTCTTTCGAAAAAGAATTGACAACAGAGAAGAGAGAAAAGTGGATACAAGCGATAAGTCGCGGTGACACGATATGAGAATAAAGGTAAAGACAGACCGGCAAGGACTTCCCATGTGGCTTTCGTAGTTGCGTCGCAGTACCACCTTCAAATTATATTTTTGCTCTCACAAGCATGTCTCAAAGAGACTTTCGTTTTTTGTAAAAGATGATCGGAGGTTTTGGAAAATTTTTTTTCAGCAAGGGCTGATTGTCTATCAGACTCCATTGATCCATCAATATTTGTTTTAAATTTTTAATTGCCGGGTGGTACATTGTGACAAAAGGCAATAAACATTCTTGACCTTTCAGCTTTTGTGTATGATTAAGGGCCGATTATCAAGAGACAAAGTTGACCCTAACAGAGACCTTTCTTTGATGTTTTCTGGGTACCCTCCTTCTTTGAGGCGTTGTTTGAATTTCAAAAGGCCCCCCTCAAAATGTTTTTTTCGAAGAGTTAGTTCTAGGAAATCTTATTGCTTGCCTTTAAGGCAACCATATTTTATGCCTGGTGGGTGGCACGAGGCGAAGTGCGTAAATTGAAGGGTCTCGGCCGGCTAATAAGAGGTTGGCACAGGGAGGTTCCAATCACAAAACAAACTGAATTTTTCTATTAAATCACGCATCATGGAGAATTTCATTCACCAATCACGCGTCGCGTAAAAAGGAGTAAGTACGCTAAGCTAATACTGTAAGATTTCAACCTATCTTATGTATTATTTAAAATTACATTCCATCCAAGGTTTTTTATCTGGGAATGAATTGCTTTTCACTTGTCACATTGTTTTTTGTTAGACAAATAAAGACGACTCACTTGTTGAAACTGGAAGCTCCGAGAGCGTTTACTACGACTTCGTATCGCAATATCAAACATCAAACCATACCTGGCAATTATCGAACACAGTAAAAACAAATTAAAGAATCAGGATTTTTAACACAAGAGTTAAGCTTACGTATTTACTTTCCAAGTTGCTTCGTTGAGTATCTTCTTCACCCAATAGCTTGTTGTTTGCCCCAACTTTGAAGTTCTGTTCAAGAAGATTTTTGATTTTTCCAATTCAGCATCTGAGGTGTTCGTCTGGGCATCATAGATTTTTGTTTAATTAGTAAGTAGTCGTAATTTTGACAATACTTTCGCAGTTTGAACTCATGTAAGGGTTATTAGTTATCTCGCGAGAACTAGTGTGAACGTTGCTAATTTGACTATCATTCAATTTTCGGCCACTCGTGGCTCAAAGAGTCTTGTGTACGAATTGAGTTCAAGTCCACGCCACCTCATCTATTCTTTGATACACGGGCAATATTTATGTCATAGCTTTGCCCAATCCCCTTCTAAAAGCCATTAAATGATATAACGTGGCTTTTGAATTCGTTTAGGTCTTAAGGAAAGGACACACTACCTGAGTTAGTTGGCTGTCACCCATTATAAGACCTCACGGAACCTTCTGCAGAGACAACAGGAGACAATGCTGCGTAAGAAAATTAATATATTTCAGGCGGCAGTTATACCAGGATGGTGTTTATCCTAGAGGCCTCTAATGTGTCCAACCAGGCAATATATTCAGAAGTGCCTACAAGTATGAACAACGGCACCTACCCCTTCAATTACGTAGTCAATAAGTTTGGAATTTTCACAAAAAGGGATGATAAGCAGCAGCCGAAACAAAGAGCTAGGCTGCCAAATTTCTACGTGATTTCACATCAGAAATTAAAGGAACTGTAGGTTTTGAAGAGATACATAAGGACTGCCTTCGAATAGCGAATGATTTTTGCTGTGGTAAGCTCCCCTACCGCACACGCATACATACACGCACGCACACACGCATACACGCACTAAAGGTGGGAAGGAGGTGCAGTTTTACCGTTAAAGGTGGCTGGAAACAGTTTTCCTATGCTCTGACCACCGGCTAATTTGGTAAAATTCGCTCCAAGGCGAGGCCTTTTCTTAAAAAAAAAATCCTGAGGTTGTGAGGATTTTCCGAGATCGTCCCAAAGAGCTGTTTGATAAGATTTGCCCATAACATTAGCACAATAATAGCGCCCACTAATTCAATCTATAATCCTTAAGTCAACACATGGGTGAAATTGGTTTCACTGCGAAGAGGGAAAAGTCTGAGGTTTTTGAACGCTTTAAAAGTAGCTGGTAGGACTAAAAAAATTGTTTCCGGCCACCTTGAGTGTCCTGAGACTTTTCAAGTCGCAGTGACGTTCCACAGTAAAGTCTCCCACGCGGTCGTTCTTTTCAATGTCACGCAACAGTCCCCCATAAAGATTACTCTTAGCATTGGTCTGCGGTTTTAACAGTATTCAAGGCTAAGATTTAGACGTTTTAAAGTGTACTATCGGTTTAAAACTGAGAGAACAACTTTAATTTTTGGTTTTGGTCAAACGTTTATTTTTTGATTTTCATTCTACTATTCAGCTTTACATTTACGTGACAAGCACTCTATAACGCTTTAGCAAATTTAACATCGTTTAATTCATTCAAAGAGTCTTATTATAAATCTAAAGAGAAAAAAATGCATATGCCGTCAAGGCAACCATCGAGTAAGTTTGACTTCTGTAGTGAACCCCTTGGACAGCTGTTTAAACACGATGGCACGCCCTGTAGTTGCACCGCTTGATTTTGGTCTGACCATCACGTGATTTGTTTTATCGGTGTCTGGGACAACCTCTCCGTTTACTCTCACATCTCCAGTTGCTATATTCACCGCATTGATCACTCTCACCTGAGATAAATCATTATTGGAGGTTAAAATCTAGAGCCGTTCGTTTGGAGAGCTTTTCCAATGAGTTTTTGAACCAAAACCAAAGCAATTACAACGGACAATCCGTTAAGAGAGTGGTGCGAGTTTTCTGGACCAATCACAAATCAAATTAAAGGAAACCCAATGCAATTCCAGGTTACTTTCAACACTCAATTGAAAATTGCTCTAAGAGACGAGTGTAATTATGAATTGTGTTGCTATTATTTTATTGAACTGTGAAGGTCCCGAAACTCACTCCTCCTTCTAAATCACTCAGATCAAAAGGAAAATCAATCTCGACTTGGTCACACTTAGGTTCGTTTGTTTCAGTTTCTTTTGATTGTTCACAGGTTTCGAGTGACAAGCACATTCTTTCAAATCGGTCGTTATAATAACTTTAATGATGTTTTTAGGGAAATGAACTGAAAAACGCTTTCTTCATACAAAACAAGATTACCTCATTCGTTTAAGCCACACTATCATTATCTAATGTGTAAATTCTTGATTTTTTCTGCGCAACATGTTGGGTTAAGATATTCATTAATGAGCACATGAAAACTTTTTCAAAGACCACTAATTGCACGAGCCCGTAGGGCTCGTGCAATTTTGTTAGTATTTGACGAAATTTATTCCTCCCTATTTAGTCCAAATTGCACTTGAAATCATGTGACTATCTATAGAAATCATTTAACAATTGTGTCATTTGTAAATAATCAAACTACTAACAGCCAATCAGACTGCAAGAATCAACAGTATTCTCAAAAAAGAAGTAAAAAAAGAAGGAATATCAGTTTTCAGATTACCTCTATTTCAACTGGTGTGCTAACAGAATAAAACCTTTCTTGCCCATTGACCAGAGTGCCCCAATCCAAAGTCCTGGAGATGTTGAAATTTAGATTTGGATAAGAGACTGCAATGTACAAGTTTTGGGTATCCACTTCTTCCACCATCACAATGCAAGGATCCTGTGAGATAAAATATCAGAAGAACCGCAGATCAATCGATATTTATTTACACAAAAACCATATCACGTCCAGAAATGACCAAAAAAAAATTTTACTTTACATAAACTTAAAACAAATATATTTAATAACTATGCACCTAAATGGAGGTGGCTATATACTGGTAACCGCCGAGACTGAAGCAAAATGGGACAAAAATATGATTTAAACCAATTTATTCCAGAAACGATTAAAATGTTTTCTGCCACAAATCCAGTGCGAGTTCCTCTGAAGAACAGCGAAGGATATTTCGAGCTTGAGTAGCCAATCAGAGCGCGCCTTCAATGCTATCCACAGTTTTAGATTATACTACATACATACTACTCAAGTTTCAATAACGTGGCACTCTGCCATGTATATGAAGTAAATATGCCTTTTTTTCCATCAAAAAGGTTACGATCGATACATATATATTTACATCAAAGGAACAAAGAAACAAAGCCTTTAGAAATTTGGACAGCAGCTCTTAGGCTTTTTGTCCCTATCTAATTAAACTTTCTTCCTTCTTTTGTGACGGTGAATTATACTGGAAGGATGAAACAGTGTTGAAACGGAGAATTATGTGCCTTTTGGTAAAAAAAAAACGCTTCTAGACACAATTTTTTCCACGCTATAAAGCTTCAAAAGGGATTTGGAAACCCTATAGTAAAAGAACCTTTATGAAAATCCGGAAACAAATGATAAATATTAATAATAGTAATAATAACAATAACTTACGAATAAATATTATTAATAATAAATAAAAGTAATATATAAGAAATGAACAATAATAATTAATACTTGTATAAACATATTCCGCTGCGACTAACAACGCCTTTTAAAATAAAAATTCAAAACTTCTAAAAACAGTTCTGCAAACAATTAGTTTATAAAAGTTATAGTATATAGAGATTTAAGATCAGGACTAAATAACTAGCTCTAAGAAAAAAACACCAAAAAATGCCTCTCTAAAAAGAAAAGTTGAAACTTAGCATTATATTTCTACGCATAATTTTTTCCAAGGTATAGAGCTTCAACAGGAATTTGAAAATCCCATGGTAAAAATTCCTTACTGAACAGCAGGAAACCAATGATAAATAATAATAATACTAAATAATAAGAAAAAATAATAGTTCTATACACATGGTAAACTGCGACTTACAATGCCTTTGAAAATTCAAAACTTGTTAAAACAGTTTGACAAACAATGCATAACAATTAATGCATATTAAAATTTAAATCAGGACCAACCAACTAGCCATAAGAAAAAAACATGAACAAAATGCCTTTTTTAAAAGAAACGCTTTACGTCTTTATTTTCTTTTAGCAAAAGGAGACGCTCCATATATTCGCGAATTTCATCCTCTCTGCTAGTCTCGTTAAACCAACTCTGTTTTTACTCCTATCTAAGCTAGACCACACCATGACAAGTTTTACCTTTGTGACGCGCCTTACTGGACCCGAGGTACGGACAGATTTGTCAAAAAAAACGTATCCATACTGTGTCTCACCCTGCCTCGGGCAATTATTGATCTTCACCACGTGAGCCCTATTGTCTCTCTGAAGTACTTGATACCAGTAACTGCCACTAGCTTGATTTTCGGCCAAAGTCTTTCAAATTATGAACAGAAAAATGTTAGTGCGAGATCAAAAAGAAAAAAAAATCGTAATATTGCTGAAGGCTATTTGAGCCCTGTTAAAATAAAAAGGCTAGGAATGTGGCTTTCCATGCGAGACTAGATCATTTGGTACAAAAAACATTGTACATAAGAATGCTTAACGTGTGTGCTTATCTATCCCACAATTTCCTATTTCGCCAGATTTTCGGTTAAAATCCATTGGCTTAGAAGCGAAGAAGGAATGCTTCTTGAAAAGCGACCACTGAGATACAACTGTTTCGTTTCCAGTCCACTTGTCAACAAATACTTGCTGATAAAGGCAACTTAACTTCCAGATCCTGTACGAAATTCACCATACTGATTGCCATACATTTTATGGTAATGAATTAGGTGTCATGGCAAAATAGCAGTCTACAGCATAGCTGATGACCTTGTGTATTCTTATCACCTGTTTGCAGACTATCTATTGAAATCGCAAGAAGTTACACATGCAACACTTCTGAGAGCTAATTGTTTAAATGCGCATGCTTGAAGGAATCGTTTAATGAACTCCAAAATTCCTACCCGGACTTCTTCTGAGGGTCTGTTAACCAATATGGTGTATTCATAACCCTTGTCCGTTGGGTTCACTCCATGGTTGAGCCATGCGGTCGCGTACCGAGCCGATGTAGCCTTTGAACCTCTTCGGTGTCTGGAATTTTGCAGGCCAATTTTCACATTAAGTCCCTGGTTATGCGCGTCGGGAATATAGTAAGTGTTTCCTTAAATTTTTAAAAATGAGAGAATAATGAAACTTCTATTATTTTTACGAAAAATAATAGTGTCCTAAACACAAGCATAATAACCAAAAGGAGAGGTCACGTTAGACCTCACAGCAAGATTTAGATATATGTAATTCGAATCCTAAACTCATATTCATTACAGAAAAGCAAAATGGCAGTTATGATGTCACCGTCACCGTCACCGACAGTAGACACTGAACGATCACAACCCAAAAGAGCTACTTGAGTCTTGCAGCCTATAGTATCACTGCAAAACTGACCAATCAGTCTACAAGAACCAGACTTAAAACACAAACCAAGTTTTCACATTCCTCATTTAAGGGACCAATCATTATTTATCATTTTTTGACAATCATTGGAGAGGGGGGCTTGGGCGTTAAGAATATTACAGAGCCTTCAGGCAGGACCGGGTAGATTTCAAATCGAAGCAATCAATTTGATTTATAATTCTTCGGCGTGATGTTTTGGCCATAAGGCATTTCATTTAAAGCAATTTTCAGTTAAGTATCAAAAGGAAACCGTAACTACGTTGGCTCTGCTTCAGCGGGCTTTGTGATTGGTCTAGAAGACTCGCACCACGCTTCCCACCAATTAGATGCAAAACTGAACAATCATAACTAGTTCGCTCGCGTTTCCCCGCGCTTTGTATGTTTGGTTTTTTTTCTCTGAGTTCTGGTTGGCTCTTCGTGATTTTTTTTTTCAATTTTTCTTAGTGGTTGTTGTGGTAACTTTGGCTTGGTATTAAGATACACAATCAAAACGCAGTCTGTTGAACAAGCCTGTTGGATTAGAGATGACCAACGTTAGCCTTGATAATTTTTTTCCTGGCCTCTACATGGACCACGCCAGAATGTCTCAAGTCATGAAAACGAAAAAAAGAAGTCGGCCACAGTCGGGTCACTGTGTAATCTTGCTTAATAAAATTTTTTTTATGTATTTAGTGAACGTTTGAGGTTGTCCTTCAGTAGCATGTTGATTAAATGGACGATTCGATTGGTTTTATATCGGAAAGTGTAAGCCCGAACTTAATTCCCGGGAAGAATGTACTGGACTCAGAGACCATTTATTTTTACCTGGGCCGCTTACATCTTTCGTTCTTCTGCTCATCAGCGATTTTCGGTGGAACTGTTTGTAACCATCACCACATTTGAACAACTCATTTTCCCTATTACATATTCTAATTATTCTTTCACTCACATTGTTTTAATACCATGCATAGTGGCCTCTAGATCGGGGAAAGTTTGGAAAAAATAAAGAAATACAGTAGCTCAATGCCTAAATCGAATCGTACATATCATGTATTTACCATTGACATCCATAAGTGTAGCTGCATGGTTTCCTGTGCCAAAGAAGGACGGCGCCTTTGTCAAGTCGGTGTTGAGTGAGTGACTTGTTTCGTTTATAAGAATTGATGATGGGTTGCTTGCGTTGAGAAGCTTCGTCTGGAACAACGTGGTCTGCAACCAATTTCAAACGTGCATTGCTCAGTTTTCTCATGAGAAAGATTGAGAAAATATTGTCGCGTAAAGAAAGGACATAGCATGATTGATGCGACTGAAAGGTTCACCATTTCAGAACACAGACCCTATTTCTACCTATCCAGGGGCCCGTTTCTCGAAGGTTCCAATAACTAAATGCGCCCAAAGCCCTATTTCAATATCAAAATTTAAAGAATACAGAAGCAGGTTCTGACATCCTAACGAGTCTTTTTTGTTCCTTTATCTGATAGTTTTATTGTATAATTTTCAAAAGTTTTGAAACTCCCATCTTGAATGACAACAGAACAGCTTTAAGGGCCCGTTAAGTGACTGGGACCTTCGAGAAACAGGCCTCTAGTTTCTGAGGCATGAAGTGACTAGGAATAATTTTGGCATCCATTCAACAATAACTAGCTGTTTACAGGGCCGTGCATTAACTAGTAAAGGCGATATAACGAAATCAAGGAAAGACAAGTATAATTTAAGAGACCACAGTATACTTACGTTAACAAAGGTTAATGGCACAAAACACGGTTTAAATTGAGGCTAAGAAATGGATCTCGCTTCCGGATAACATACGGAAACCAGCAACTTTTTAAGCATATAAAAACGAGAAGTATTCAGTTTTCTATATATACACATATATATTTTTGTTTTCAAAAAAAGTATTTTCAGTTGAAAATACAAAATTACCTTGTTACAATCTCCCACCGACACAGCACCACAGTTTCTTTAGAAACTTAACCCCTTCATTCACTTTAAATAAAATTGTCGATCTATCTATCTATCTATCTATCTATCCGTCCGTCCGTCCGTCCGTCCGTCCGTCCGTCCGTCCGTCCATCCATCCATCTATCTATCGATCGATCTATCTATCTATCTACCTACCTACCTCTCTATCTGTCTATCTATCTATTCCAGTGCATTTTAGGCAATAAAAAATTTAATTATCTGGCCAAAAGACTCAACAAAATGACCTTCCCAGGACTCAAACCCAGACTCTCGAACAGAGGTCCACCGTGCAAACCCCTTCGTCACCATACTTCCTCCACGTTGATTGTATTAGATAAATTGCAAGTTGCTACAAGTAATAGTTCTTACTGTATCTGTCCCCGCCTTTCGATGACGTTAAGTTTTTGGTTACAGAAATAATTCTAACAAATTTGAAGGAGAGCGGTCTCTAACAGGCTTGATGCTTAATTGAAAGGGAAACAATTAAATGTACCTGAGTTATATTGGGCGAGCTCATGGTTGTTGTGATTCCAGATCCAAGACAAATCACGGCAAAATCTGCGAAAAACATGCTCTTCTTAAATCCAAATGTGATGTCAAGTTGAAAGGAACCAGCTGGAAACTTATAGCTTGGCTGTGAGAAATCCATTCCAAAGCCCCCTGTAGCATAATCACCGCCACCAATCAAAGTCAATCCGCCCGCAAGTTCCCTGGGTTGAAAATATCTGTGGAGCCACTTCAAATGTCAGATGATATAATTGGTTCATTTGTCCTACGTGGTACAAAATACTCTTCTTTGATTGTTTATGTACCATATGAGCCTACACAACTCACAACTCCCACAACTCCCTGTCATTTTTAGCTCCTTAGTTATTCCAGGATGCAGTTACCCTCTTACTATGATACCAATAATAAATTATTATTATTTTCTATTCAATACATTGTTAAAACTTGATATAGAGTACATGACATTTGTTTTTGTTGTTGTTAAAAAGAGCCTTAAACGAAACTTCTACTAATAGAATAGTTCCCCAAAAGTTACGAATTTAGAAAACCGATAGCAGGGAGATTTTTCAGTCCACGGGATCGAAGAGGGCAATCACGAACGGGGAATATGAGCCTATCTTGCCCGCTAGGCTAACCAATCAGAACACGCGATTCCATTTGATCTGCCCGCTCGAGAAGCCAGCCAAACGATTAAAACGGATTTGAGCGAACGGGATTTAATTACTTACCTACGCTGCTGGCTAACCATCTGTTCAAGATCCATTTTTATTGTTGTTGTGCCCGGATGTCGTGTCCAGTCCCAACCATTATCGATATCTAGAGTTTTAAGTGACGCCTCGCTGTTTGCAACGAGAAGTGCTCCATGACTCTGATAAAGACCATAAACATTTTGATAGCTTGAAGCCTCGAAGTCCCAGACATACTTGTTAAAGCCTTTCATTGTTACCGCCCAATTTTCTCTTCGTGCAATCACTAGCGAAGCATAATTTTTCGTCCAGAATCCCTGGGGCGAGCTTTCGGCCGCTACACTCATCGAGGCAGCTTTAGAGCTTATTTCCTCCATGATGTTGATCGAACCAATAGTGTTTAGGTAAAAGATACTTGTGAATATCGTCCCATCTTCCAAGTAATCGCTAACATCCTCATTGCCTGCATCATTAAGTCGTAAAAACATTTTGATCTTATCACTGTCGAGAGCAGCAATTTCACCCAGACTTCCATCAGCGTTCAAACTGGGAGCAGTTGCACCGGCGTAAGCATAGGCAGGAAAATTCTTGGCCAAAATTGCACGGTAAAATCCTGGAAATCGACCACATACACTGTTCGGAGTTGAGTATTTAACGGCAACAATCCTCATTGTCTCTAGACCTTTCTTAATATGCTTGCTTGTGTCCTCACCTTTGAACCAAAACCACGAAAACACAACTCAAACTCTAATTACAAAATACAATTACTCCCTTTCTAAAATCAACGTATACCCCAAAAATTAAGTATACAACAGAGCTAGTTTATTACTGCGTCAGACAATTTTACACGGCCGAAAGATGAGAGTGCTCAGGAATCCTACGAGAAGATGCCTCTCTCCGCCTGTTGCCTCACATTTCCCTTGCGAAACAATATGATCACAGAGGCGTCTCCTCTTGCAGGCTAGAACAGAAAACAAAAGGAGCCTCTAAAAAGAATTATTGAGTTAATGGACGAAGAAGAAACCTAGATAAAAGAGAGCTTTATAGTAGTTCCAACCATGATCTTTGTGTAGTCGTTTCGCTACCTTGGAAACCACACTTCAGAGAAGTCATCCGCTGGCACACTTCCTTCCTAGCCTTTTCCCCTCTATAATGTTGTTCAAAGCCATAGCGCTAAGTATGTGGCTAACATATTTGTAAACGACAATGCTACTAACTGGAGTCCTTTCCAGGACTATCCACGATCGGACAATCAGACTTCTCGAGCATATCTCAAACCAACGGTTTCTTAATCCATTTGGATCAATGTTAGTATCAGAGAAACTGCACACCTACTCCTCCCCTAACCCAATAACGGTCTACTAAAACAAATTAGGGGTAATGTTTGGTTTGCAGAGGGGTAGGTACGCGGTGGCTCTTTTTTTTGTCCCCACTTTACTTTCCCTTGTAACTAGCTCATTCTTACTCAATTTAAATGGTGTTCCACTGAGTAGAAACTCGATGAGTGCGCCACAATGGATAGCAAGCGGAGGGTAAGCAGAGGCATAAAAGCTGTTGTGATGGAATCCAAGGTAATCAGGCTTTAAAACTCCTGCTAAACCTTCATTAGGAGACAGTGCGTTGGCGTACCATAAGACAAGTTCTTCCATGTCACGAATTTTATCAAGCTTTTTGGCATCTGTTGTAGTTGGCATCATTAGAACGGTAAACAACCTGCAAAAGAAAGAGTCAGCGCACCAAAGGCTGAGGATTGAACGTCTTTATTTTTTTAACAGTTGACTTCACGATAAATGAGTTTGCTCGTGCAAGGTATTCATAAATTTCTATCGAGTGGGAACGCAATGGTCTAAAGGGAAATGATTTGACAATAATAACAAAAACAATAAACATAAGAAGGGAAAAAGAAGGCAAAAAAGGGAATGGTTGAGAAGGGAGAGATTAAAATGTATTTTTTAAATACAAGTTTCGTAACGGTAGAAGATGGAAGAATGTCTCAGGATGAAGTTAATTCAAAATAATTGCAGATTACGAACTTAAAAAACATAGACTGAATGTTTTAAGATGTTAAGGCGTAGCCCACGAGAAACATAGCCTTAAGTATCTCTGAAACGTGATGCTGAGTTTAACACTAGAGCGCATTTCGACTGGATGTCATAAAACCGACACCAAAGTCAAGCAGCAAGGACTCGAACTAAAAGCGAAGCTAACTTCTTGAAGCGCGGAAAGGCGCAATTGACCAGCTCCCTACAGGCCCTTGCGTTGGTCTTGCATCTGTTTGGTTGAGTGGTAGCAAGAGTTTTCTAGACCAATCACAGAGTGTCGTGAAGCAGAAAAAAAAGAAATCCCGGATTACCTTCGAAGATTAACAAAGACACAACACAATGACCCCGTCAGAATTCGAAACCAGGACCTCACTGTTTGAAGTAAGAGAACAAACTACTAGGCCACTGTTGGCTCTGACGAAGGGCAAACGCTCGAAACGTCAGCTCTTAGAAACTCTTTACAGTGGTCAATTGACATTGCCAACTCGGTTAATGAAACCAAATTAACTTGGAATACCCCATCGACGCAGCGACACAGTTTTCTTTGGAAACTTACCCAATTTTCACACAGTTTTGTATTAGTAAACAAAAGTAACGCATACCTAGAAAAAACATATGTCACATAAGGAACTGACATGAAAAACATCTTGCCTGAATACTGCAATGGTTCTCATACGATCAGCAGTTGTACCAGCATATTCAAACGGGTCTTGATAAACTTCTCCAAACTCGTTGTACCACTTCATAGTAGCCACATAATCATCGATTTTACCAGCGGCGGTGATTTCCTTCCTCAGTAGAAAGACTGCATTCATAAAACCTGCACCGGAATGGTTCATCTCATGATGCAAAGTACCAATACCACTACCATCGTTCCAACCTGACAAATGCAAGAGCTGAGTTATATCCCATTCTCACCAAAGCTTTAAACATGTTTTAGAGCTATTTTGGTAAACACGGTATAAAATTTGTAGATAGAAATAAGAGAGATGATAAGTTTTGAGCTCGGTAAAGAAACAAAGAAAGAAGAAAAAAATTCCGAGTCCCCATGAGGAATCGGAATTTTTTAAATAAATAAAATGATTAGCTACTAAAATAAGCCCTTGAGCCACAGAGACTCCACGGTGAGCGAGGTCTACTACGAAATTCATATGACACGCGTCGGAGGACGGAATTCGAAGGTATGAGGTTCGGTTCCTCATGGGGACTCAGAGTTTTTTCTTTGTCTCACGCTCGTGACAAGACGAAAAACGTCTTTCTCTATTTCTTTAACGAGCTCAGAACTTACCAGTTCTTAATTTCATGAGCTCCAGGAATGGAATTGTATGAATTATCGCATCAATGTCAGTATCTGAGCAACTGGGCACCTACCCCTCCCCTAACCTATATTAACCTTGACTTACTATGAGTTCATCGTTGGATCAGGGGAGGGGTTTTGCCCCAATGACTCGAGTTCCATACTTTACCCTATTATTCATAGACTCACCTTGATCTTCAATATATTCCAAAAGGAGAAGTAATCGTTCCTTTCGCTTCGTATTCAGAGTGCCTATGGCCACCTTCACTTTCTCCAACGTGTAAGATTTTTGATTGGTACCCAGGGCGGTGGTGAATATATTTTGAATGTTCTGATTACCTCCTGCTATTTTCTATGGTTGAAAAAAAGAAAGAAAATTCAGTAAAACCATCCTGCATTCTCTGAAAAGTACTTATAATAAATGTTCCCTCCGTCATCTTGGCGGCAGGTAAAATTCAATAAAAAGAATGGGGCCTATTTTGCATAAAGTTTGCTTAAGGCAACTGCACATTTTTAGAGCTAAGATAAACAGCAAAAAAAGAAAATGTTATAATTTAAAAAGGAGAAAAAAGTAAAAAATTCACTTTCACGAGCAGATGACTCAGAAGAAAAGGTCTACAAGAACGTCACGGTCGCTGGTCTTGCCTTTTACGAAACAATTTTGGCCGCGGGGGTGGGGGAGGGGGTAATTCGAGCGAACCAATCTCCAAAAGCCAGGGAGGTTGCCTAGGGGGATTGCCTGGGGGGGTTGCCTTGGGGGGGTTGTTAAAGCCTCAAATTGATCGAAGCATGCAAATCCAAAATACAATTGAGATTTTTCTTAGCATTCAAATATTCTTCCAGCCTCTTGTGTTTGGACACGGCTGGGAGAACACTGAGAAAGAACTCTACTTTGCTTTTTTAACTTGTATCTAGAAAACTTTGACAACCATGTTTACAAACCCTCATCTGAACACACCTATCAAGGTTAAGGGTGAACCTTAACCCATTTTACCCCCAAGAGCAGCTAACATCGAACTTCTCCTTAAAGTATTTCTGCTGAATAAAATATCAAGATCATGAGAATAAACAAAATGATTAGCTACTAAAATAAGCCCTTGATGAATGTAAAATTCTCTTGCCAGTATCGTGGAAAATGGACAGAGAACACTATAGAGAATTAGTGCATACTGATACTGGACTATAAAGGGTTAAAGAGCCAATCAACCATACCTTTATGGCATCATTTTTCTGGTCCATGGTTCCATTCAAGTTGGACAGTTGATCGGCCGCCAATGCATTGACGTCAACATCACGTGATCTCACATGATAATCCAGTGCCAATGGAAGAAGCACTTTTACCATCACCTCCCCAAATTTTTTACCACCAGTAACTTTAGAGCTGTCAGCATAAAGAGGCACCCCTGCAGAGTAACAATGCAAATACAATTTTGGAGATTTCATTTTTGGATAAAGCAACAAAAAAAAGCTGTTCTCAATCATTTTTCTGACACATCAAATTATCAACAACCAACTTACTGAAATCATTAGGCAACTTACCAACACCATTAGGCAACTCATTGTTGTCATTATTAAACTTGCCAACACTTTTAGTCAACTCCCCAACCCCCAAGTTCACCCCCTGGTGAACTCACCAACAACTTAGTTCAATACCAGTATGTCAGTGAGTTGACCAAAGACAACCCTATGTTATGCTTAGATATAAGTGCAACTGTTAAGTTGCAAAGGAAATCATGGCCATAGAGCACCATTTCCGTCAGTTATATATCATATTAAGGAAGGGGGATGTAAGGAGAACGCGGAGCAGTGGATAACATTATCCAACAAATAAATTGCTATTCAACTGATAAGCATTTACAAACTCCATTGCTTTATCCACAGGACAGTGATCTATCCAGTGGATACCAATATCCACTTCAAATGACTAAGGCCCAAAAATTTTAAAAAATTATGACTGAAGGCGCATCGACTAAGACTTGAAAATTTTAAAAAAATCATGATTGAAGGGATGTCATTTCCAATTTTTTAAACAGTCAGTTAGCTTTTGACCCCTTTACTCCCAACATCTCAAAAGTGATTCTCATTAGTGGGTACTATACAGTTCTTATGATGTGAATTGAGAGAATTTGGTGTTAGACCAGGTAATAATCCCTCTTAATAATATTTGCCCTTATTCTCATCATTTTACTGCTTGATGCTGCATTGAAATTGTGAGAAGAAATTCTGCATTGGTCACCTATGGGAGTTAAAGGGTTAAAACTTCATTAAAGTGGTTAAGCTATTATTTTCAGTCCTTAAACCTGCCACCAAACAAAAAGTTAGAATTTTGCAAAAAAGTCATAGGTTAGTTATTAACATGGTGTTTACCTGTAATAACACCTTCTGAGCTTTTGACAATATTTAGTTGTTCATACTGAGTGTAAGCACTATCCACTTGCATCTGTAAAGACATCCATCTCCTCTGAGCATTTGTTGGAAACTGGAGTGAGCTCTGAGACTGATTAACAAACCAATTCTCTAGTCGCTTTTCAATCAGGGTCATATTGTCCAGTTTTTCTTGACTGGGTGTGGTAACACAAATGGTTGGTGGTGATACCTAAAAGAAATATGCATAGAGTATTTTACATGGCTGTACATGGATGTGAATTTTTTCTTTGAGTGAGAGATATCTGATCATCAATAGAAGATAAATTGTATCCAAAAGCAGACAATAATGTAATATTCTGTTTATCAGTAAATATCAGCATCATAACTATTTAAATCACTGACAGCTTTAAAACATTGTATTTTTGAGAGCACCTAATGCAGAGATCACCAAAACTTGCCCCAGCCATCATTAATTGATTCAGTTAAAAAATCTTCCAGCTCCCCAAACTTTACTCCAAGACCAAAGGACAAAGTGATTTACAGTTACTGCATGAATGAACCCTTTTAGTTTGCATAAATGAATTTTGTGGAACAATATTGATATCAAATACATCACATCTTTCAAGACAAAACTGACTGAGCATTTAAACAGATCTATACTTTTTTCTATTATTAGAGCGGGAGGGAGGAATGGCACTGTAGTGAGAGGGTTCACCTCTTACCACTGTGGCCCAGGTTCAATTCAAGGACCTGGTGTCAAATGTGTCTTATGTTTTTTGTTGGTCCTCATAGTTGCTCTGTGGGTCTTTCTCCTATTCCTCTGCTTTTCCTCCATCCACAAAAACCGACATTCTAAATTCCAATTCGACCTGGAAACAGTGGACAAGAAGAGCCACCTTCTAGAATGTGCACTGCTTAATCCCACTTCATTCTTATTTTATTAGATATATTTTAACACAAACATGTTCAAACATACCTGACTCCAGCAATAGGTTTGCTGCCAGAAGTTGTTGTTGGAGTAAAGGTTTGGATCTATTGGTGGTACCACTTTGTCACGGCTTTGCCTCATGACTTCACTTGCAAAACGCAAGAGATCAAAATACAATGGATGTATGGTAGCTTGAGTTGTAGGAGCAGTTATTTTCATAACATTAATATCTTTGTTTTTAGTCACAATAGCTTCTTGATAGGATACCCACACAGCACGCCACCCCTTCAAATGGAAAGAACAAAGTGATTATTATACAGCTGGTTTCAATTTCAACATAAGCCTTATAACTCCCAGAAGTGATTAACATGTTACTCCTCCCTATAATATCCATACATTATCTGGTAAACAGGTAGTGACTATACTCAAACTCATCAGGTACAAGTTATTACCTCGATCACACACCAAATTCTCATAACAAATTTACAAGGAAATGTCTAACAGTTAGAGGGGAGAATTAACAATCAGATCTTGGGAGTTAAAGGCCTACATGCAGGCTCTCATATTTTGCCTTACAGCCCTTTTTCAGGCACAGCTGTCTATTATATTATCAACAGCAGCTTATGGAAAAAGTTATTGAACTTCTGTAATGCCCATGATTTTACTCAAATTACTTTCAATTGCTGCTTTGCTCCATTGCTTTCTTTGTTTCACTTCCTACTTCTTTTCTACCCCCAAAAGTTTGGATAAGTAGTCATTCTATACACAAGTATTCTGGTGTCATGTTGACAGATGTTTAGATGTGGGCTGTGGTTTGGTTGCCTTAGTAACCTCCCTGATTCTAAGGAGATTGCTGTCTTTCTCTGTCCTTATCTTTGAAATAACCATCCCCCAAAGCTATCAGTAAAGTGTATTACTATAGCATTTTGCCATAATACTTGTTAACACCATCAACATGTAATCCATAGATACCCCTTACTAAACAAGTCTATGGACTGTACACTATGATACCAATCAAGTTTTTTCAGCTCAGATTTATAGCCTGCGAAAGGCTGAAAAAACAAGGTTCTGTAACTTATAGTGCAGTCCAAAAAAATGAGGTCAGTAAGTTATTTACTATATCTCTGAGTTCAAATAGAGGGGAAACATTTCAAGTCAAACAAACTCTTGAATTTAACAGGTCACAGAGAAATACGGCCAACTAGATTAACTAACCAGACCTCACATAAGAGCTAAGTGATACAATAATACATGATCATACTGCAAATATGAAAAAAATTCAATGTTTTACATTATTGCCACAAAACATTTCCGATTCCGTAGTTTTAAATGCCGCATTAATAGAAGATACCTCTGCTACACTTCAAAGCATGCTCATACACATCATCAAGGTGTACAAAGGCAATCTGCATACACATCATCAAGGTGTACAAAGGCAATCTTGCAAAATTGAATTTGACCACAGGAATTTAACAGGTGTTTTGCAATGTTACCCCTTACCTTAAAATTCAACTTAATATTGAACTGTGATACAGTAACAGTGGTGGATGCAGTATTTTGGAAAGAGACAGCCAAGTTCTCTCCTGCGCGTGGATTAGTGTTGTAAAGCCACAACTGAATCCCTCCCTCTTTAAGCTCATTTCCTGAAATCTGAAATGTATGTTGCAGTTAGTTTGTGATCTTCGTTATTTTTATATAACACATCACATAGACACTAATACACAAACCTGGCATACATTTGAAGCTTTAAAATAGGTTCTGTTTACTTACTATACACCAACATTTTCATTTCATCTTTCATTGGGTAACAAATTGAATTTTTATCTCTAATTGATTTGGGGGGTGGGATGGGGGTTGCTAAGATTGACAAAATAAGTTTGTAAAACATGTTAAATTATTTTCCTTGGTTGAAGGTTTAAGGCTAAATTTTAAATATGTGTTCAACATAGGTAAATAAATTAATAAATCTGGAAAGTTAAAAGAAGGGTAATAAATGCTTTAAACCCGAAGTGACCAATATCTAATTTCTCTTTTTTGTAACACTCCTGAATCATTCGTTACGATCATGAGAATAAAGGAAATGATCGCAAGCCTAGGAGGCTCCTGATTTCTTATAGAATTCTCCTTGTCATTACCTTGAAAAATGTAAAAAGGATAGTATGGAGGAAATACATACTGATGTTAGGGTGCAAAGGGTTAAAACTTACTGCTGGGGAGAAGGTATGTGTCATTGTATCTCCACTGACCCAAGTCCACTTCATTGAATGTGATCCATCTTTATACCGTACAGACGATTGCGCAAGTGCCGATGTTGTTGGAACACTGAAGGCATCAATATCAGAGGCGGCCTCAAATGTATACTCTTGATTGGAAGAGATGAGTTAAAATTAGTAATCACAATAATTATTCTTTCGAAGAGCAGAGAGCAGTCCCGAGATTTTTATCTCTCATCGTTTAGGAAGATCAATTGAAATTCTTCAATCGGGGATTTTTTCTTCTTTAAAATACCATGAAAATGTCTTCATGATAAATCTTGTCAGTGTCATTTTCGTTAAATATGACTGGTTTCGGACTTTCGTTGGTTTCGAAGCTGGTTTCGTTGTTATTATTTTGTCTGGCTTTGTAACCTCGTGACAATAACATAAGTTGTGGCTCTTTGAAAATTGCGCGGGAAAAGTCAAAAATAGGTAAGCAAATAAATATCGCACCATTCGTGCAAATCGGTTTTTTCAAGTGAAATGTAAACTTTAGTCATAAGTAAATATTTAAATCTCTAAATTGCTTATCAATAGAAATTTACGGAATTATGTAAACAAGTACGATGGTCTTTTGCTCATGAGCGAGCACGGTGGCCTGTAATTTGTATTGTATAATCTACGGGTACAAATTTTCCCCTTTAAATAAAAAGAATTAAATAAAAAGAAATATCAGAGAGAAAAAAGGGAGATAGCTAAAAGCGTGCACGAAGCCCGTACTCAAGGATAAAAACTATGACCTTGAAAGCACAACTCGAGGAACGTTTTGCGTCGATGTCGTTTGAGATTGCGTGATTTTCCCGTTAATCATAACCATCGCAATTTCCTCAAATGTGATTGGTGCATCAGCTGCTTTATATTTGACTAATCACCCTGTACAACTGTAATCGGACAGTGTAATCGGACGGTTGGCTGTAATCGGACACCTGTAATCGGGTAATCGGATAGTTGAAGCAGCTAATCTTAATAAGTTCACTCAGCTTAATCCACGAATCACAGAATGGATCACAATAACCATTGCAACAATCACTTACCCTGAAGAGAAAACTGGGAAATTTCCAATTTTTTTGCTTTAGACATCGTCCTTACTGGAGATATTTGCCCTAAATGTATCTTTTTTTGGGGGAAATTGTTATGGCTATGATTAATTGGCAACAGGACTTCGTGTCGTTAAATTCGGTTTGTAATCATACTCGTGATTGACAAATCGGACTCCCGCTTCGCGTTGTCCGATTTTGTTAATCCCTCGTATGACTACAGACCGAATTGGACTTATACATCAAAAAGTTTTTTCCAAGAACGCGCGTGATTATTACCAGCACAGGCAAAAATGAAGATTGGCCCATCATATCTCGTAAGAATATAGTGTCATCCATCTTATATACCATAGTTCTCGAACAGAGTTTGATATATGCTCTTAGTTCTTAAAAAATGTCTAAAAGACGTTTTTTCCCCCTTAATCTATAACCAAGCTCTCGATAACACATTAATGCCTATTTACGACATGGGAAATTTGACCACTTTAATTAAATAGAGAAGATTGAAAGCGAAACCGAGAGGAAATCAATGATTTAGGGAACTTCAAGACTTACTCGATTAGTTGCAAACGATGAATACTTGAATAATAATTTACGACAAGGGAAGTGGCTCGATCTAAGTTAAAATACACTTATGGATGAACTAAGTCGATTGACTTTTCAACAGTTACCTGCAGCTCCCTTGATGGGTTTTAAGAGAGAAAGGACAAAGATCGCAGAGAGGGCAAGACGTAACATTCTCCTGTATGAAAATAGAAAATATAAACATAGAATAAAACAAATAGATATATATACATATATCGTAATTTTTTTAAAAATTAAATTGGACCATTTAACGTTGCAATGATAATGATGCGTTTAAGTTTCGCGAGAAAAACTGTGACGATAGGTTTTCGCCCCAAAACTGGAAAACTGACTCTTCGCGGACGGCACAATAACAACTGGGGGAAATAACTCGGTAGAGACGACTCGGCAGCGAGAACGGAAACTCGTCACGATTTCCTGGTACACGGAGATCTACTTCGAGCGAGCTTATACGGACGTCAAGGATAAGACAATCTTTGGTTCCACAGTACCTTTTATTCTAGGTCAGGCCAACAAGCGACATGACCTCTAGAATACTCTAGTTTGTAATCATCAAAGCTGTATAAGGTACTTGAATAAGAAGTAACTGGTGTGAAGTGCTATTGTTACAAAGATCGTAATATTTGAATAAGGACACAAAGTAGCGGACAAAGATCTCTTTGAAGTTAAACGAAAACTACTTAAATATTCCATCTGTTTCTACGACGGAAAGAATCTCAAAATTAAAAAGACGGATACAATAGGGTGGTCTGTGTGTGCTTGAAACCTCTGGTAGGGGTGTTTGTGCCAATGCACTGGCTGTTCGTTGTTGCGCTTGAGACCGTAGATTTAATTGGGCTCGTAGCACTTTTATTTCGTTCTGCATTTCTCTCAGTAATTCAGCTTCCATCGTTGCGACGTGTCGTTGTTCAGTCTCGCTGTTTATGTCTTCGCAGGATTCTAGATCTTCTTCTTGTTCGTCTTCACTATTTGCTGTATTATCTTCGTTTCCTTCCTCTTCGCTTCCTTCGCTAGAACTTGACTCGAAGCGAAATCTTCTTTGTGGTGCTGTTTGTTTTGGTTCTGTGTAATTTATGCTTTTTCGCACCAACGCTTCAAAATGCTATGGTGAATTAATTATCTGCAAAAATCTACTTCAGAGTATACTCTAGTTTGTAATCATCAAAGCTGTACAAGGTACTTGCTTAAGAAGTAACTGGTGTGAAGTGCTATTGTTACAAAGATCGCAATATTTGAATAAGGACACAAAGTAGCGGACAAAGATCTCTTTGAAGTTAAACGAAAACTACTTAAATATTCCATCTGTTTCTACGACGGAAAGAATCTCAAAATTAAAAAGACGGATACAATAAACTCTAGGCCATTAACGTAGGAAACTTAGGTGCGAATTTACAGCTCTGGTATGGAAAACAATACCTATCTTAATTGCAGTAGCGCAGCTTAGGAAATAAAAAACGGAAAAGCTATTAAAAGTTTCTGCTTATTAATGCAAGGTTGGTTTGGAAACCATCGCATGAAAAGAAATTAGATTTACGAGTATAAACTCAGCTGCCATCTACCATGAAAACCAATGTTTCCAGAAAGACCATTAACACTTATATTTACCTAAAAAAAAAACCATGTAATAAATAACAAAAGTGCCGACAAGCAGGTGCATGTGATGAAAGCGAGTAACAACAAAAATCTATTCTAAAAGCTACTGTGGTTTTTATACATTTATTGATTTATTAAAATGAAAGGACTTGAAATGGTTAAATGTGAAAGTTTACGAATAAATATGTTTCGAATAACACACGCGGGAAAAGTAAGTAAATTTTCCCGTAACATTCCTCCCACCTTAAATCGAGACCTCCCGAGACTCCTAGAAACTTAGAGGTCATAGTGACCATTGCACTTGGCATTCTTATTACCATTAACTCGAGTTAAAGCAATATTTCTCTTCTTGCATTCCCTTATGTCGTATTTCTTACTGCGCGTAATCTTCTATTTACTAAGGAGTTGTTAACCTACTTCTTGGAAGAATTTTAAAATAACAAGTTAACAATCGTCTTGATCCTATCTTACTTCCTAGTCAACAGCTAAGTGGTACTCTCTACTTGTTGCTAAAGTCAGTCATGGGTCTGAGGATAAGTAGTCTCCTTAGGTGCATCATGAACTTAGGCATTTTCATTCCTGGAGGTGCTTCTTTATATTGATCAAATCCCTCGTTAGATTCCATTCTGTAATCAGTTTTGGCTGGAGTATCAGAAAGATCGCCTTGGTGCCAAACCTTCTTTTGTGACACCTGTGCGAAGGACGGTGGTGGTTTTTGGATAACGGACCTGAAGTTACCATTTGCGTCGGTGTGAAATGTTGCGGACAGGGACACAGCAATGAGCACTAATATCAATAGTGACTGGCTTAGTGCCACTTCTTTGTTCTTTGGATAACGGGAAGGCAAATCTCCTGCAGCAGGCTGCACTGAACCTTCACTGGGGGGGGCGTGTCCATTTCTTCTGACATTCTTTTCTTGAGGTTTAAACGTTCCTGTCAAAGGCACTGAGGCTGAACATGCTTGCTCTTGTTGATTTGCTGATTCTTTTAGAGTAATGGTGTTGTTATCGGGGTCAATCATAGCTCTGTTTACTTGGAGGAAATCGCGACCAAGGATGGCGTCATAAGTAAGGTTCTGCACGACCTGGAATTCACAAGGAAACTGACTTTCCTTAAGATACAACGGCAAGGTAATTCTTCTTAGCTGTAGGTTGTCTTTCCCAGTCTGAACTGTGGAAAGGGAACGTCACCGTAGATCTCTTTTAAAACTTCTTCTTTTATAGCTGAAACGCTTACACCAGTATCCAACATTAGACGAACAGGTTTTCCTGCTATTTTACCTTTAGTGATCAGGTTCCTAGGGTACGTGTCTGCTTCATTTACGAGAGCTAGCTGTACACTTGACTGATTTGACATTTGTAACTTTCTTGGCTTCTGGTTTGGATTTCTCGGCTTTCTAATCCGGTTACTAGTTCGTGTCGGCTTCATCTTCTGTAGTAAATCAGGGTTGTTTGTGGCGTTTTCCTGACTCTCGAGTTGAGATGCAGTCCCCTCAGCATACGATTGGTTCTCTTCTTCGTGGGTGGAAGATTCTTCTGGTTGAGTGTAAGTTGGTCTGGTAGCACGATGTAGGACCTGTCTCTCCTTTTGGAACCCGTCATTAGTTTTGTTATAGTTGCAGTAATATTGAATATGGCCACGGCGTCCACATCGATAACATACGGGTTTAGTCTTGAAACTGTACTTCCTCCATTTATAACTGACTTCCTGTTTAGGCTGTATACTCTTAGCGATTCCATTTAGCTTCATTCCAAGCTCGTTAATTTGCTCTTGCATGGCAAACATCCTAGAGTCTGGGTCTGGGAATTTTTGAGGAACAGGATAAGGGCTGAGATTGTCACTGTCTTCAAAGCATCTAACGTCCTCTACTGGATCTGATAACTGGCAGTCAGGGGTGTTTTT